TGTGATTGTCCCTGTACTGTGTTCATTTCAAGGATAAATTGCATAGTTTTATGTGTAATTTTCCATGGCTATACATGTATATTCCTCTCTGAGGCTCTCACTGAACCGTTTAATTTCTCTGTTTTCATTTGTATAGTATAAAGTCATCGGCGTCACTGTCGTTGTGCTGATCGTCGCTGTCATCGTCGTGTGTAAGTATCATCATAGGGCTGTAAGCTTATTGCAGTGTCCCAGTTTAATGGTAATAAATGGATTGTTTGGTAGTCGTTATATAATAATATTGTATACAGGCATAGTTAGTTTTCGTCATTTTCACACACACACTGGTTTCACTGCGAAATTAAAACATTGACGTTGTACATGTGTGTCAAAAGCTGTTGTCGGTAGGCGTACCTTGTCAAAAGCTGTTGTCGGTAGGCCTACCTTGTCCACCAAAAAGAGACATTGCGCGCCACAATGATGTGGGTCCTATTTAGATTTGCAGAATCTGTAATATATCCCTTTGTAAGTTATTTAATGAATTTCTCGACGTAACCAGCACTGTTTGGACGAACATTTGTGACTTATTGGATCAGGTTCTCAACTGTTTTCTGTGAAGGAATTGGCCACGTTAGTTTTCGCCGATGTGGTGTTCAACACACTTCGTTGAGCATAAAGACTGCTGGGAAAGAATTAAGGAGCTTCAGTGGCGTAGCGAGGATTTTACTAGTGGGGTGGGGGAGGGGGTACCAGCTTCTTATGGGGAGCACCAGCTTTCAGTGGTGCGGTTTGTTGGGGAGGCAAGCCTTTGTTAGCCTTGTTCAATATCTGTTCATCCATTTTTAGTGGGGAGGGGAGGCACCCGGGAGCGCCTCCCCCCCCTGTGGCTACTCCACTGAGGATCTCGGTGTGTAATGGTCCGCATTTTAGCTGCACTAAAGCTGTGTTGTTAGTTGGGTTGTGAAACGCCTGCTGATTTTATTCTTGGGCATACAACAGGTATTGTGCGACCTTGGGAAGCGAGCTGATCGAGAATGCGTCATGTGGTATCCTTTAATGTGGAAGCAACTTGGATTTAGTTGCCTGTGGACCGGGAGATGAATTTTCATATATTTTAAATGCGTGCCGGTACGAAGTGATGAGTTTTCCTACGAGGGTGTTTATTTTAAATCTAATTGAAACTGCGAAAAGATTTGTTTCGGCCAGTGTTTCAGCCGAGACCATCACAAGACAGACATAAGACCACGCACAAGAGCAAGCACAAGTAACATGGTGGACAACTACAAAGGAATGTTTTTGTTGCGTTTCATTTGAATAGCTTGTGACTTGAATTCAGACTGGTTGTCTTGTGTTGGTCTTCTGAACTGAGTCACAACTACTGAACACTGGTTTCGGCAGCGATATTTTCCACTAGTGCAGTCAATTTCTTTTTGTCCGATGTGTCAATTGACTGTTAGTGTGTAATTATACAACATAATTTGATGTAGGAGTATCGAAAATATGTACGAAACACTGGAATTTCGCAAAAAGACTCCTTTTTTAAAATATGGGAGCACTATGATTCCATCTTTAGATTTCGATCCATATGAAGGATGTAACGTGATGACTGAACACAGTACTGAGGTTACGGATTAGCTTGTTGAAGAATTAAATGCGTGTAATATAGTGAATTAAGTTGTATATGTTAAAAAGAGAAGCGTATTATTATGTTACGACACACACACACAAACTTAGGAGTTCAGTTTTTATCTGCACATCGTTATGCTGTGGGTTTGTTAATTCTCTGCTGGTACATTATATTCAGAAAACACAACATTTAATGTGGTTGTTAATATCAATTTTATGTAGCATTATTTCTGTATCTTTTTGATACAGAACTATTATGTTGTAAATGTAAATGTTTATGTAAATAAATAATTATTAATAATAATTTTAAAAAGAAGCCTTTCGTGTGCGTTGTTTGGTTCCCATTAAAGACCTTAAAGTATGGATTATTACACATGGGCCGCTGTCAAAGCAATAAGGACAATCACTGTGGCATGCGCAGTGGCTGAGAGCTTCAAAAAGATCAGGCATGTAACAGATACGCTCTGCCCCCTCCTCAGACTATGAGAAGGCCCGAAATAGCCCGGTTCTTCAGACATGGTGCTCAGGAACGAAGACGACGAAGGCGGAGTTACAGTCTAGAAAGATGCTTAGAGTTTAAACACATTTCTTAACACTTGTTTACCCACTTTTTAAAACACGTTTAACCGCAACGTGTTTATTGTTACGCGTTTAGGAATGTCTTTTAATGCTAAGCGGATTTCAAAAAGCTGAACATGTACCATGGAATAGCGTTAGCATTTAAACACATTCCTGAACACCTTTCAATAAACATGTCATGGGTTACACGTGTTACAAAAGTGGGTACAGAAAGTGTTGAACTTTAACCGTGCATGGATCAGGGAAGAAGCCCTCGCCTGATCGTTTCGCTTAAACTCTTCCAATAATCCTTCTGCTTGGCCCTCTGAGCTGTTGGACTAGTTGATTTTTTTCCATTGATTAGTGCCTGCCAACTATGCTGGGAAATTTTCAGATTCATAATTAAATAACCATCTGACAATTTAGTAACTCAATCGTGCAGGGTTAGCATTCTCCGAAGGAAAAGTAAGTGCCAATTAAAGCATGCCAGATGAGCAACATTATTCATAGACAACTGAAATTGGTGCGATATCGAGACACCCCTGCTACAAAATGGAAACGCCAAGATTTTGGAATCCTTCATGCGTGACGATGGATGTCAAGAATTCATGCAAACCACACCTCATTATCGCACGCCCCAGTAGTCCCGTACATCATATTGCGTCTCCGGAGAAAACGAGATCTTTAGAAGCTGGACCTCAAGTGGTGAACTGTACCAGTCCTGTGGTCTGATTATGGGCTGGTCCGCAGGACCCTCTGTGGCTTTGTGGCTGGGCGTGGCAGTTGGCTTTCTCTTCCTCTGCACTGTAAGTAAATGCATCTCGCTGAAATACTAATTAATCGCTGCAACACTGGGTCTTGACCTATGAACGCATTCTGGCAATCACGGAATATCTTAAGTTATATCCAATTTGGGAAACGGGTCACGAGTAAACCACATGTATAATCAATTTTGTATCCAGGTGTTGTACCAAAGTTACATGCAGAATCTTGCACAGTCGACTCTCGTTATAAAGAACACTGTTCTAACAAAAAACTGTTAATAAGAACCGATTTTGAGAAGCCTTGTTTCTTAAATTCTTATGTTTTTCTTTTCCTCTTATAACAAAGTCCTGGTTACAACAAAGTAAAATTACAAACAACAATGCTGCAGGACCACTGCGTACTTTTCACAACAATTTTGCAAAACCGTAATGTGCATAGAACACGTGCCACTTAAACTTTCAGTGCCAATAGAAAGGATGTACGTGCACGATGTTCAAAAGCCACGTCGGTTCCGGACAATAATGGACACTCGAACAAAATTTCATATTCTATGAAAATGAGAAATGCATTTCCTCTGTCAAACTAGACCAGCAGGATTGCAACCATGTGATCGGAAGTTAACAAGTCGGATAAGAATTTTGTCTTCCTCTTGCAATAATCAAAAAGGTCGTATTCCTTTCTTCAAAGAAGTAGGCCTGCATTATTTTGGAAGTGACGGTCGTTGCAGCTTTCTCCCCTATTCAAACTTGTCTTTTTCATTCAGCTTGGAGTAAAAGGCCAGACTCATCAATGGAAGAATAGATATTCATCATGCAGTGCACAGTGTGGCGGAGGTAAGTTGCTGTTTTCCGCAATGGAGTCGAGCCTTTCAGCGGCAACCCTTATAACTCACTGAGTACTGCAAAATGGTTCCCGGCGCTGTGTGGGCGGTGCTCCTTCCTGTAATGACTTGCGATTTCTAATAGGCCTCACCTTAATGCATGGAAACAAGTCAACGGATAAACCTAAAAAAAGAAAAGAAAAAATTACAAGGTAAATAGGCCTATATGTTCTGGTCTGCTTTAATGTGACTGCATCCTGTTGACAGGTGTCCAGTTTCTGGAGAAGAAATGCTTCACAACAGATCAGATTCCCAAACCGGCGCTTCCTTCCTTCTGTAGTGGCATCCCCATCCGTGAGAAAGACGTCATCTCCTGCAACACCTTTCCCTGTGGCAGTGAGTAGAATTGATGAACGTGAAAAGTTTGCAAGAGTGCTTTCAATGTGGAACCAACAGCACTGTTTTATTATTACAGTAACTTTCGACCCAGTTGTTGCGCAAGTCTGCGCGTGTCAGGCTAGGCTAGCTGCAGCTAGCTGCGGTTCTGAGTTGTGGTTGAGCGCTGATCGTCTCTTGGGGGCGGACTGCAAAAATGTGGAACACGGGTACCGGGAAGATTTGATCACGGAAGAACCATGAGTGTATGGAATTTAATGGTAAATGGTCCTGTTTATTCATGAAAGCAGGCTGATGAGTTTTATGTCTTAATAACGGGGATTGTAAATTTGGGGACCCTGTTCCTATAATAGAAATCAGAAGAAAGAGCTACATAAAGCTTTTGAATTGACCTGGTACATGATGTACTATGTAGTGTGAAATATGATCATGCGAGGGATAATGCTGTCAAAAAGGATAGGATTTTGAGTTTTGAGGGAAATTCTAAGGGGAGACTGTGAGTGTATAATGCGCCATATGGTGGATACAAATTTTCATGGTTAGTTTATCAGTAAGAAAGGCACATTTTCTCACAATTTACAGTTTGAAATTTCCAAAAATATAGGGTCAGTGCAATAATTTGAAGTGAGTGTTGCCTTTTTTGGGGGGGGGGATTTACCAGTTTTACAAGATCATAATGTCAAAAACTGGGGTCCCGAAATATACAATCCCCTTAATTACATGCAATGGAGCCATGGGTTCTGTTGAAACTAGCCACAGTGCTGAGCAAAATAGGGCCTAGGGGCACCATTGCTACTTGTATGATGTAGTCACTAGCACTAGCAGCTGACTAACGTTACTTAGGCATGCAGGCTGTAACGTGTCATGATTATCGTGACTATGGTTAAGTGACTTGACTGACAATTGACATGACCGATAATTAAATGGAAAAGTTATAGGCCCGATATTAGGCCTACATACTGCATGCCATCGCCTATCATATTTAAATTAATTGAAGTTATTTAAGTGCCCTGTGTAACGTGTTCAGTCAGTCTGCTGTCCAAAATTTCTGCAAAACAGTGAATAGGGTGATGTCACATTGTCATGATTGATGAGTCTAGACTAGTTGCAGTGAACATACCGAACATGCTCAAGACATACGAGTTGGAAAAGTCACAGCTGAACTCTGCACAAACTGAAAAGGAGCCAAGAAACAAAATCTGTAGATCTCGATCAATGTTGGAGCCTTCTTCAGATTTTGGACCTACAGACTAGGCCATCATGTACCGTGTGAGCCTTGTTTTATTGTCTAGCATGCAAACGGACCTACAACAGCCAGAGCGGCACGATCACTTCGCCCCACTACCCGGACAAGTATTCCATCCCTCGGTACTGCCAGTTGTTTATCTCCCTGCCGGCTGGCAACCGGGTCCTGCTGGGCTTCTCCGAGTTTGTCTTGGAGGGACTGAACCTTGCTGCCTTTGCTGAGTTGACAGAGAGTAGCGTGTGTCTGTGTGGTACACTTGTTCAGGTACTATGATCAATCTTTCCAATTTTAATAAAATACGGTTGCTTTACAGTGCCATGGCCGATAGACTGTCATTGAGAGGCCATTTTTCAAGTTTACAGTTGACAAAAAAGGCAAATTTGCATTTGAGCAAACGGCAAATGGTCAGGGCAGTCGGTGCCTCAAAAAAACCCCACCATTTAATAATTACATTGATACTTGGACCACTGCCGAATCTTCAACCCTGACAAAAAACAGCAGAACAAGTTCCCCGCTCACAGCACAGCCGGCACAAACATTTGTCATGTCGTGTTTATCATAATGCACTGCAAAAAAAAGCCTCTCTGTGACGAGCGCTGTGTGGCGCATGGCATTGTGAATTGCCTGTATTAGGCCTGCTTGTGCTACCATACCAATAACAACTTACAAATTTAGGCACTAGGCCCAGCCTTTGTGACCCCAATCACATCTTCCAATGTGAGCCAAATAGGCTAAACTAGCATTCATTCCTTTGTGATCGTTGGGGCCAGGTGGGGAGCACACTCAATTGGCTGTGCATACAATCAGCTTAATCACACCCTTTGTCTAGGGAACAGACACAAATGCCCCGGACTCATAACTGGTTAACTTAAGTTTTACCCGGACAAGCATTGGCGTCAAATTTGAAGAACGGGTCATTAATTCTCTTTCAGGGGAATTGTTTATTTTTGTGGGTATCTGGATTAATGACTCACCTGTTTCTCTTAAGTTTTCTTAGCTGACCTAAATTACTTTTTGTTTCCATAGATTTAACCCCATTTTTTTACATCAAAGAGTTTACTAGAGCAAACAATAACAGTTTTTTGGGGGTATGTGAATTTCTAATACCGTAGATTACTGACAAGGAGAAAGATGGCAGATCTAGCACATACTGTGGCACCAAACAGCCCTTCAGTTGGCTGTCGGACTCCAACTCAGTGCTCTTGGAATTTGTCACCGAGTCTTCCCACCTCTTCAACCGGTTCAAGGCTCATTACAAAGGGATCCCTGCAAAGCCATGTAAGTCGTCTAGGGGGGGATGAAGGAGACTACCCCGACTCTTCGCTTTGTCTTTGTCAGGGTTTCAGTAGGACAGATCACATTCCATGTGGTGCTTCTCGTTGCCTTGGTCAAGGAGCCCCTTTTGGTGTTGCACAGAATGTCACAGTGTCTGCTATGAGGCCAGAGTCTGGAAAGTAGTCAACTGTCGTCAATATTACAAAATTACTTGAACTGGCCAAACCTCTTCATAAAACCAAGACAAAACCCAAAGAAATCAGGAGGCCTGGGGCTTCAGAATTGGCTCTTTGTATGACAATTTTGTTGTTGACAAGAGTGCTTTGGCATTTCTATTTCAAGTTCTAAATGCATTAGATAGTTAAAGGTGATTATCCAGCATGGCACAAATGTAGACAGACACAGAGTCATGATTTAGATCAAGGCCCAATGAAGCCTGTGACCTTCAGCATGCAGACCATTCTGTAATATTTTGCAAAAGGTTAAGCCCACCTGAAATTTTGTTGGTATTTCTGACACTGGGCCTGCATTACATTATCTCATTGAAGTATTCCGTAACTTGTTTTAACAGTGGTGCATAAGAGTAGTGCTATGAGCCTGTTTGAATGAATTTTTTTGCAAAGCCAGGTCTTGTGTGACATCTTGTCTATAATACAGCATGGCTAAAAACAAACAGTCAAAGTCATCAGAAACGGAGGAGGGCACACTAAATATTAGACTCTTATAACATTCAAATCATGGAAATGTAGTCAATTACATGTAGCTCTTCAACTAAGATACTCAGATTGGAAAATAAACATACATGTAGAGTAAGTTGCCAAGATTGATTGGTTGAACTTTACTTTTTCTTCAGGTTGATGCATTTTGTATGGGTGGTTCTAAACTTATGTAATGTGCCCTTTTGGAATACAAATGCATGTGATAAGATCTTATTTTAGTTGCATTGGCTGTCTTCTTACTCTTTGTCTTTGTTCTGGGGAAAGGAGTTTTAAAGAGTTCACCATGTAACGGCGTTCTTTTACCATCCCAGCTTGCTATGATCGCAGAGACCTTGCAGCAGTTGGCAAGGGCTATGTCCGATCGCCGGGCCACCCTAACAAGTATGGCAGCGGCCTGGACTGCGAGTACATACTGCATGCCGATCCCAGCAATGGCATCGTCTTGACCCTTCTGGAGTTTCAGTTGGAGCCCAGCCCAGACTGCGATTTGGACTACTTGTCGGTAAATTCTGGATTTGTTATTGACCCAGATCCTACATTTTTAAAATCTGATCCCACAAAATGGGTCTTAAGGGCCATTTTGTTCAGTAGTGTTTGCATTAGGAAGAGCAAAATCAACTGTCTGAATCGATGCGTTACTCAGTTCTGCATCTTGAAAAAAATTGACCTAATGTTGGTTAACAATATACATGTATAGGGTTCCTATTGATTCACGAAGGGTATGATTTGTTTGGATGTCTTGTTCAACTCGAAAGTGGCTCTAGTGACTTCTGTTGCATTTCATTAGGCCCCATTACATTATTGCTTTTCTTCAACCAGGCCTTGCATCTAATTTATTTTACATATTATAAAACAAGCAGTGCTTGATACTCAGTCTACAGTGAGAAGAGAAATGAATGAAGAATGAAATTAAATTTACCAGGCAGAGGAGACAGAACTACTGCACACTGAAGCCGCAACTGAATTACGTGGCTGCCTCTACTAGTAATACACATGCATCTGGGGAAAATACTGGAAGCTGCCTGTTGAAGCCTAGCCTCTTGGCATGGCTGCAGCCACAGTTTCAAAAAGGTTACGTGTAACAAAAAAAGGATCATGACACAGACCAGAAACACAAATGGCACTCCTGTAAATTACAGTAAGCACATTTTGTGATTATGCGGAGCATACCAGGCTTTGCATCATTGTTGGAGCCAAGTAATTTTGACTGTGAAGTTTACTGCCAAACATAGTGACTTTTTTGGTGTTCCAAAAATGGAAAATATGGAGAGTGCACAGTAAATGTTTGAATAACTCTTCACAAAGTGAAAACAAAACAGACCACTGTTTTTTAAAAAATGTGAAGGATCACAGATAAAAGCATCACAGATAAAAGGAGTCCTGTCATACATTGTTGCCCTGAGCTGGATTTATTTTTGTAAGCTGGTTACGTGGCAAGAGTTCTTTATTCCCTCTGATCAGATTGAGGATATGTACAGTCGTCGCAAGCAGGTGTTTTGTGGCTCACTTGGTGATGCCTCGTGGACCTCCGATTCCAATGAGGTCCGTCTCACCTTTCATTCCAGTGCAAATGATGCCTACAAGGGATTTGTCATACTCTACGAGACAGAGAATCGAGCTCCGAGTAAGTGCTAGATACATGTATGTTTTGCTGGAAATGGGCCGTCCATGTCCGCTTAGTGAATGTAGTGTATTTAGAAGTTGGTAGAAAGTGAGTTAAGCTTGGGCAAGTCTCCAAGACAGTGGTAGTAGCTGCAGCCACCACCCATAAATGCCTGTTGATCCTGGCCTCAAGTTGACCCCATTGGATGGAATACAGGTTAGTACAAGATGTGTACAGACTGGCCCACTGGGCAATAAATAGGGAATGTGGGTGTACCTACATCCAGTAATTCAGGATATCCTGGCTGAGTAATTTGCCGAGAATTTCTTTCTTGGTGCTGTAGCCTAGAATGTTCATAATACATGTAAATACACAAGTCCAATAAAAGCAGAACTGCAAAATTGGGCCTTGTTGCTCAGCCAGAAAAAAGTCACCTGCCTTGGAATTGCATGGCATTTTTTGTGGAGCATCGTTTTTCACCTGCAGGAGGAAGCCAGTTCTTCATGGATCCCGAGGGAACAATCACCTCGCCCGGTTACCCGCTGATGTACCCGCCCAACACTCAGGCCCACTACCTCATCTACGCCCAGCCCGACCGGATCGTGGTGGTCAAGTTTGACGAGTTCCAGCTGGAGCGAGAAGACCAGCAGGGTCAGCCCATTCCCGTACCTCGCCAGCGCCGGTCCACGTTAGACGTACTGCAGTTTGAGGATGGGCTGCCGTGTGTCAACGCCGATCATGTTGAAGTGAGTCTACAACACAAATGTGTACCCCCTTTATACACCTAGAGTAGACTCTCGAACAAGAGGGGTTTGCATAATGCAGGTTAAGTGAAACTTGTATGGACTCAGCTAGGTCCACACAAGGTTACCCTCTTTCTGAAAAACAGGTTTAGAGGCAATTTGAGGTCAAGGTTATCTGTAACGAAAGGAAGAGAAACAGTCCAGGAAATCAACAAAAGAGCCAGCTTAAGAAAAATGAGTGTTTTTCTCACTAGAAAACAAACTCAAAGTCTGCCTTAGGTATGTAAATGAAACTTGTTTGTCTTTATGTTAAGCTTTCTTGTCAACCTGGGGGAGGCTTTTTCTTTCAACTGAAGCACCCTTCATGCATTTCCGATTTTACCCATTCATTAGCATCTGATGATAGTGTAATAATATGGTTGATTCACAATAGCGCGCCTCCGAGTTTATAACGTGTTGGCCTATCACAATGCACAAGATCTTTCTACCCTTTCGAAATGCACATTGGGCCGATGGATTGTGCGCATTGTGATTGGCCATGTGTTACAAACTCTTGGGGGCGCCCTGTCGTGAAACGCCCGTATTGATGGCATAGTTTGCAACCAGCCAGTGAGTTGTTTTGGGTGTTGGATTGAAGTGTCCAAAATCACTAGCCTTTTTCCTTAAAATCTAAACACTGACCTCAATTGTTGTGCATTGGCGATGTTCCCGAGCTAAATGCTCAATTTGTGTCGGTGGACAATGCGCCGGGGACAGCACTTGACTGCTCTGTAAAGTGCTAGTTGATGAGCATTATCACCAAAAGAGCAAAGCCATTTTGTAATAGCGTCCATGGCACCTGCCCATCCGGATTGCAGATTCTTGACAAGCTGGAAGGCACCTCCAGCTACTACTGTGGCAAGCTCCCACCTTTCACGTGGTTCTCACAGACCAACGAAGTCATCCTCCGATTTGTCAGCGATGCAGATGAGAACTACAAGGGGTTCCACGCCACCTACCGAACCATCGAAAAGCGGCCAGCCTCAGGTATCGGGGAATGCACCTCACTGACAGATATTGACTGTTCCCCTCATATTTGTCCGGAAAGTTGATTAGATTTGAGCAGATCAATTGATCTGGGGAGCCCAATAGCTAATTGGTTGAGCCAACAGTTGTTGCATACCAAAAGTTGTGTGTTTGAGAGTATTTTATTCAACTCTATCAGAAGTCCCTGCGAGTCCCTTTAAGTCTTGAGTCTTGAGCCAATTCACAAGCATTCTGTTATCATTGTACACCTTGTTACCTATGACCAAAGATCGTATAGTGCTGCAAAGCAGTGCAAGATGGCCAACTTCACGGTGAATACATGTAAAACGTTGTAATTGCATGGGCGTCATTTGAGAAAGCAATACACCTGCGCAATGCACATTAATACAAAGTTTCAGGCGCTGCGGCAAGCAGGTGCACCTAGTGAGCTAAACTGCGCAGGCGTATCACTTGCTCAAATGGCGCCCATTGTAATTTAACCCTTTGGGCAGATTTATCCATCTTGCGCCTTTGGCGCTATACGATCTTTGCTTATGACTGGACTTGTGCAGGGACTTGTGACTGGACTTGTGAAGGGACTTGTGAAACGACTTGTAAAACGACTTTTGAAGTGACTTGTGAAGCGACTTGTTAAGAGACTTGTGATGGACATGAATACGACACTGGTGTTTGAGTCCCACTCAAGCCAGCTTGTGAATGATTTTTTATGCTTTCAGCATGTACAGGTAGCGCGCAGTACTCACTGAAACATCCTGTCAGTGAGGAAAAAAATCCCAGTGATTAATTTCAAATCAAACACAAAGTCTGGCAATCATCAGTTAAAGGATGCTACTTTTTTGGAAAAAATGTTGCATCCTGACTCCACTTTTCTCATCATATACATGTATCATCTCAATAAAAGTCAGTCATTACAGAAATGCTGGAAAGACACGAATTCTGGACTGAGAAACATTTACCGATGTTGCTGGGAAATACTTAGAAAATTCTCTTTACTCCCCATAGACTCTGTACACAACTACTGAAGTGGAGACAGGATGCAACATTTTTTCCGATTTTTCTTGGAGCTAACATGTCTTGTTGTGAAAAGTGATTTTGTGATTGTTCAAAAGATATTCTTATAGTCAATAATTTTTCCAACCATTCCAATTACCTAGTAGTAATATAGTACAAAAATAATTGTGCCTACATATACAAACAGTAGTTTCGGAGACAACTGCAGTTTTAATACCAGATTAACTGTGATCTCGGGGTAACATTGGGTTTGGTGTTGTTGACATTGTCGGCATTTATTGAAATAATTGTCCCTCAGATAACGCCTCCAATATCCTTCTTTAAAAATAAATAATAGAATGGGAATTGGTATTCCGCGCTGCCTCGGACAAAGAGACCGGTGTAGTTCGCAAGTGGCTGGACACCAGTCGAGGCTACTCAGAATGGGACATAAAGGCAAAATCCATCTTCAAGAAAGACTCCCCACGAACCTTCAAGAGCAGAAAGGTGAATGACTGGGAGAACCTTGCTGTTAGGAAGGTAGGTTTTGTATGAATATATTTCCTAATCCCCTGTCTTTTCACGATGCGTACCATTAAAAGTAATTTTTTGGTGCTGCAAATGTTTCTGTATGAAGCTTCCAAATACATGTTTGTTAGCACTGTGGTAGGATAATGCAAGACTGGATCCAACAAAATGAGTCTCAAGGCCATGTGTTCTTAATTCAGTTTTTCTGCTTTAGAATAAATAAACTGAGCTTTTTAATCCAATCCCTCAGTTTGCCATCTTGACAATGAAAATGAGGTTCCACTGGAGAAAAATGTTGAGGTTCCCCATTGATTTCCACTGTGCAAGAATCTTTTAAAGGCCAATGAACTCAAAAAGGGGCTCTGGCAACATGTGCCTCATTTTGTAAGGTTGGGTCACATATGTACGGGGTCCTAACAAACGACGTCAGCGTACCACGCGACCACATGTTTTCCTCAAGATTGGCTACCACAGCAGTGGGCAAGCATTTGCTTAGCAACCCTACCTTTTAGGTGGTATACTGGGTTATGAATGGTGTCTGTTGGTTGATCCCAAGAGGATTTCGGTGATGCAAGACCAGTGGCTCTCTATTGTTTGCTTCCCGGCCAGGTCAAAATAGAGCTGTACAAGGCCGGTTCGGCTGTCTCCTCCTTCCACTTTGTAAACCACGACAAGGTGGACGACATCATCAGCTGGTTCGCTTGCGATCATCTCATCTACGCATCCTATGACGACCTCTTGCACATTGACTGCAGCAACTTAAAGTTCAGTACCACCGACAACTTTGCAATCACGTAAGTTACCTTTGAGCCAGGACAGTCAGTCGATAAGGGGGATAGTCACTTTTATTTCCGCAGTTTAAGTTGTGAAGACCACTGGCCTAGGCAAAGTAGCTGGGGGCATCTTTTGGCCACATCACGAGGAATTTCTCGTCTTTGAATTTAACAGTCTAACACAAAACATCTTTACAAAATCTCAACAACAATTTGAGTTTGATTTTTCACATTTGAGTACTGACAAACTCGCAGTGTGCTTTGCACCATATTTATCCCTGGGCAATGAGCTCAGAATCATTCCTACAAACTACCTCAACTTGATTGGGAGCACACGACCATTTTGACGATTTTGGGTGCTGCCAGGTGTAATAATCACCCATAATAACCCTCCCTGTCCTCACGGGTACCCACTTACTCCTGGGTGGAGAGATGCAAATTAGGGTAGTCTGTCAAGATCACAACGTAAGCCTGATCACAGGATTCGAACCCTGACCTTGCGATCAGGAGTTAATACAAATCCTAACCACTGGGCTACATGTCCCCGGATTGGATGGATAAGATTGGGTAAGAACTGTAATGGTCCACCCAAACTCGGAATTATGTTTTCATGCAGGCACAGCCAAGATTACATCATACATGTGCTGTATGTAAGCTATTAAGTCAGAGAAGTCTTGTGTCTCACAATAAGAAGTTCATCTTGAAAGAACTCATGCTTTAAATCATTTTGTGGAATACATCCAAACTGTTTAGTCACAACTTGTTGAACAGTGCAATTTGCACCTGTTAATTTCTGTATTTCCTTTTTCATGTTTTGTGAACAGTGATAACTTGGGCTCCTCCGGCTTCACCTGCAACAACGACACGGCCAGACTGTGGTTGGATGTCCAAGACAGGATCCCTAGCCCCCTCAGTCCAGCCGTCTGTCCGTACGAGCGTTCCGCTCGGGACGTGGCCCAGTTCTTCTACAGCATTGCGTCCGAGGCCGGCCTGACAGCCACAGGTTAAAAAACTAGCCCCTGGTCCATCCAACAACTTCATCTGCTTTGACCCCCAGAATGGCTACTCCTGTTTCATTTGAGGGATAAAATCCTGAGTATAGGCAATCCTACCCTCCCAAGAGTCGGTGGCATATCCAGGTCTTTGATCGGAGGAGGGCAGCATCAAACTTGGTTCAAAATTCTGTCCAAACTTTTTCATCTGTAAAATGTTGACCTTTTCAATTCCTAAGAAAAAGATATATTATGTGCAACATTTTGTTGGGGCAGGGGAGGGGGTGGGGGTTGGCAACTTCAGACTCCCGGGTTACGTCACCACAGAGAGTGTGTTCCAAAACTTTGAAAAATGGGTAATCTTCAAATTAAAACAAGCCTATTTTTATAGCTTTCAGATCTGTTTTGGCCTGTGATAAAGGTATATTTTAGACAGACGTTAGGTGGTTGTGATATCCATAACCCTTTTCTCAATGGGCCTGTATGATTCTTGCAGATCTGGATCTCAATCAGTGATCCTAATGCTGGTTCCCACCATCCATTAGGTGGGTTTTGGTATCCGTGAACCGACAGCAGGTCACTGATCTTGATTCGGATCCATGTGAAACAAACATGGCCCATACAGTGAAATACCATTCACACCATTGTTCACACCATTGTTGTATTGAAACCAGAGTTCTGAAATAAAGTTTCCTTCCACTTTTTCAGTGATTTGGAAGGTAACATTTTATCTACATGTATTTTGGTTTCCAAATGTAAACAGAGATTGAGATTTAAAAAAAAAAACAGTTCGGTCCTTTCCTGCGCTGATATTGTGCATTCTAATTTACTTACGGACCAGGTGCTCGGGCGTTTTAAGGGAGGAAATGAATTTCTGTTTCTCAGGGTAATACTGCAATATGAACAGCCCCTTTTGTGTTTCAATTTGATATTTGAATTACTTGAGTTTGCTAATGTGCCGTTTAGGGATTTTCTTGTGTATGATTTTTGTCTCACGATTTGGTTTTCAGGAACCAACATTGCTACTGCTGATGTCATGACAATATGGATTCAAAGGGGTAAGCTGAAAGTGCTGTTTTTGTACAAAGTCCCAGTGTGCTTGTAGAAATGTTGAGGGCATAGGGTGGGTTTGTCTCCGGTGGACAGTCATTGGAGTCATTTGTTGGCATGTGGATACTCTTGGCTTATCTGCCCTATTTGTTCCCGATTGATTTGTTGGTAAGAACCTAAATTGTGCCCTTGAATTTGTTGGTTTTCCATTCGGGGGAATCAGTCCTCGGCGTTTCTTTTCTTATCGGACTTGTACAATTAATTGCAGTGCAAAGCTTGTAAAATGGTTTTTGTTGTGTTTGTTGTCACTAATATTGCCATGTCTTTCCCCCTCCCCCCACGTGGCCTCAGACTGCGACCAGACTTTCACTGACATCCCTTCTGGCACCGTGGAGAAGTTTGAGTCCGAGGGTTTCAGTTTAGGTCGGGATTACCCCAATAACGAATACTGCAATTATTACTTTCTGAACGGCCCTTACGACCGCTTTCTGCTTCACTTCACCGAATTCTCCTTGGAGCATGAAGACAATGTGTGTACAAAGGACTACGTGGAGGTCGGTAACACATTTTCAGCTTGTTTTTCCATTGAATTCTCACCGTTCTGTCTGAAATACACGTATGCCAGACCGTAGGGTCTTGCATTGTGGGCCACCACCAAATTCGGACAGAAACCTTCCAGCTTTCCCATAACAGTGCACAAATGACTGTTGAAGATGGAAGCCCAACTGTGACGTCACAGAAAATTGCAGTGGCATTGGCCAGTTGAAATATGCTCGAACAACTGTATTCTATGATGACAACAAAACAGGGCATCTCACGGAAAACCTTGGGTGCTGTCCCAGTGCACAGATATTTTTTCAGTGTACCAAGATTGCTAGTTAAGATTCTAAACCACAAGTTCCTTGTTTTCAGCACCGTCGTTCAGTGGCCTCTGGATCAAGACCTCGATCCAGGCTTGATAGTCATTAAATATAAAGATTAGTAGAACTTGTTGATCACTTTTGGTGCAGCTCCAGTTATTTCAAGAGCGTGTATCTCACATTCTTGCCTTCAGCTTCTTAGGTTAACATGGCTTTGATTGTTTCACGTGGGTTAAATTGTTATTTGCTTTCGGGGGCATACACTGAGTATACGGTGTCAAAATACACGTCAGGCAGGGCAAAAATCCAAAATAAATTTATATCTTCCAAGTGCAAATCCATCCTTGAAACCTTACACCTTTTGATGGGTTCTAAGCATGCAAATGTTAGGGTATAAAAAGCTTAATTGTACTGTTAAAAACCGGAGTTATGCTCAGAACAGCTAGTACATATGCATGAGAGTGTCAAGTCCGTGAAAAGGTCCTCTTTTTGTCCAATTTGTAACACCATGTTTCATTGAATACATAACCATTACATGGACTACTAATGCAAAAATTCTTGTGAATATTCTTCAAAGGTCAAAGAGTAGAATGGAAAATACCAAATCCGTAAATGGCTTTGGGGGTAAAAACTTCCAAAAACATGCATGGCACATAGCATGTGCAAAATCATGGACTTGCCCATGACTAATAAGGTTGCAGCGTGCATTTTAATAATAGCTGTGTCAACATTCCAGATTGAAGACCTGACCACAGGGCACACAGAACGCTTTTGTGGTAATCAGCGGCACCCGCTGTTCACTTCAGCCGGCAACACGGCCGTTGTGAGGTTCCGGACAAACAGCCACTCCACGTTCCCTGGCTGGGCTGCCGAAGCAAGCATCGAAGGAAGAAACAACGAAGGTTGGTCCCCTTCTATCTAAAATCTCCACATGTTCAGCATGGGTGGCCACGTGAACTTTTCAGTGACAAGCTCTTTTAATTGTGCATACCCTACGTTGTACTGTATGTGCAAACAAGAAAGCATCTCATCTTACTCATGCATAGTGTGTAATTCCTGTTTTAATCGCATGTGATCTTGGTGCTATCTGTAATACTGTAAAATTCTTTTATGCCTATTGAGTTTTCCTTTATCTGCTCTTTTTAACAATGAATTAAGAGGCAGGAGACCAGAATCCTGAGAAACTCAAACAAGTTTTCTTAGACCTTTTGTGGGTGTTCTGATTTACTTTGGAAAAAAATGCAATGTATCAAAAACTGCGGCTTGAGTTGTAAGACAAACTTGTGTCCTTGAATCCATTTCCCAAACATGTTTGTGAGATCCTCGAAAGATGTCAAAGATGTCAACATTTTGCTGGCAACATATCACCATGTTTACATCCCAGCCTTAGAAACCGTTTCTCTAGATCTTGTATAAAGACAAAAATGCTTGACTCCTCTGCCCTCAAAGTAAACTCAACATTTGAGATATTTTGTTGCCGGTTCTTCTAAAGGTTAACACATCTTGAAGTTGATGCTGTCAATCTGTTGAACTCAATTCCTGACTGTGTTAAGCTAGCATAAATACAAGAACATTTGTCAACTAGAGTTTCTGGTTTGTGTCAATGCGCACCATTGTTTCCTTTTGTCATTGCGTGGACGTACATTGGTATTTATGCTTCATGTATGCATTGTTATAAGAGAAAAATTAGGCACATTTCTAATTATGATATGTGTTTATTTGGATGTGACATATATTCATAGTATATGAACCCCCCCCTTCAGCAGAAGACAAATTGTGAACTTTGTTCACCTGGTGTGAATTTTTCCCTACAGACTGTTCGTCGATCGTGACGGCCTCCTCGGGGAACCTGACCAATGCAGACTACCCATCTCCCCTGACCCACTTCCGACTGCAGGGCTGTGAGACATTGCTGCACGGCCATGTGGCAGACCGCGTGACAGCATCCTTCAACAGTGTCATCGTTGACCTGGAGGACTGCCCGGAATTGACGGTGAGTCGCTGCTGTTTGTTGCACTAGATCCTGATTTGTGAGTAGGAAAAACGGCACATGTAAATATTATCTAAGGGCTCATTTACACAGAGAATGAAGGATATTCTGTGTGATACAGAAATTGAACACACAATGAATTCCTATGGTATTTATGCTGAGTGTAGAGAAACTGCATCACTAGACAATGAACAACTGTATTTAGAAACATGAGCGATTTTGTCGCAAGGATGGAAATTTCTGGCCAATCTGTGGCCTCATTACTTATGTCACAGATGAACTTTCCTGAGTGAATGCTTTCACAATGCTTTATAATGCCCTTTATTTTTCCTTTGGGTTGCTGTATTTGCTGTGTTCGCCATATGTGCAAATGTAAAATTTTGCATGGCATTCCTTTTTCCAATATCCAGAATCCTATTGACGTATTCAGGAATGTTTAGGTTAATCATATTGCCACTATTAAAAGTGGCATGCTTATCAAAAGTGACCTTTTTGAATTCCGAGTTTTTTGTTACATGTAAATTACTGATGCTACTGATGCACACGTACATGTAAGTGAAATTTAGATAGTAGCATTCTGTCCTGTTCAAGATTGCATTAAACATTTATATGAAGAGAGACATAAAATGTTCCCAAAGCCTTGTTTCATTGAAACACAGACTGAAATGCAATCCGTGCTACTTTTTTGTGTCCACAGATTATCGATCATGTGTCGGCAACACCTATTATTGAAGTGTCTGGGAAGGTGCTCCCATTCTCCTGGACATCCATTTCCAACGAGCTCATACTGTGGTACTGCGCAAGCCTGCCGTATCGTTCGTATCTCTTCTACGAGGGCAACTTCAAAGCTACCATGAGCCCATCCCCGGCAAGTACGTAAAAAAGGTGCCATTCCACCGTAAACAAATATCAGGGTTTTAGTATGTTTTTGGGATGTATGGGGGTCTGCTGGGCACCTGAAGGCCATTTGAGACATCCGATGTTTCTTTGGTGTACATGAGTAAAGCTTTGGTAACATGGATACCACATTTTAATTGGGGGCAAATGCAAACACCCAATTGCCAAATGTTTGCCAGAAACTTGGAACAGGATCCACACACTGGAATCAGTGTGTGGATCCTCCTACCACTGTTACATCAGATCAGTATCTGATGTAACAGTGGTAGTTTCACACAGTGATAAGCCCCCCCCCGACTTAACAAAAAATAAACATTTGTGTATCTGACGCCACTTTGTTTGTGCAAAATTCTTAAAGCCTTTTTAAAACAATCTAAACCAATAGGAGCCTCAGTATGCTCCACCCACATAACGTCCATTGGCATCAGGGTGTCAACTTGGTGATACACTGAGACTTACGGTTCAGTCGGCTCTTTTCTGATGCAGATTAAAACAAAATGACCAAACTAATGGACTAAATACTGATTCTGTTGGATCCAGTCTCAAATAAATGTTTCTGTGGGTGGTTGTACCTGTCCAATGTCGGAGTTTCACTCAGGTTTCTTCACTATGATTAACAGACATTTCTTTCCATGTTCAGCATGCGTGCAGTACTTGGATGCGGAATTCCCTGGCACCTTCGATTGGCCGTCGACATCCCTGGTGACAGGCCAGCGGAACTGCTACATTGTCATACGCACCCAACCAGTGCTCAACCAGCGGATCATCCTAACCATCAGGAATCTCGTCCTGAAGGACAAAGACTGCCACAGCTACATGAAGGTACTTGAAATCTTGAATCCCTTGCAGTGAGACAGTTTGGCGTTCCAACAACGCTTGTCCAGTACGGGGCTATTCAGGAACAGCAAGGCACGCTTGTGATAGACTGTCCCTATCGGCGTAGCCATACTCTGAATCACTCACACGCTTTGTTCCCAAAAGATGTTGGCTTTTTGAAATATCGAACTGCTCATCGCAGGGTTCCATGGTAACACTGATTAACCCTGTTACTTAAAGTTCCACAGAGGAAATCATTTGCTTACAGTACAGGTACCAGTATTTAACTGCATTTGCAGTTGCTATTTGGCTGTTCCTGACTCGAAATATCAGTCAAGTGAGTAATCAGAAACACTGAGTGGACATTTTGAGTTTGAGAGACAGAATGGCACCCAAAAAATAAACCTACGGCAAAGTTGGTTCCTGCTGCCAAAAACTAAATGTTCGTTAAAAAAATGCCAGTTGGCATACTTCTGTACCTTCAAATGGAAAAAGTTTTAGAGACTTTGCTTTTTTTGTTAACACTGCCATAACTTGATCTAACCTCAAAAGAAGGTTTGCAAGTGAAAGTAGAGTGTCTTTTTATAATAGTAAAAGATAGCATTGTATAAAATGAAACAGTGGCCCAAGGAACATGAAGAAAGCATTTGATTTGACACCGGAAATACTGGTTTCCATTTTCAGGTCACAGATACCACCACAGAGCGCAGCGACACCACCTGCCAGACAGCACAGCAACCATTCACATGGACGTCCGACGCCAACGAGGTACATTTATTCCTGCTTCAATCAGGCCCCGCTTTTTGATAACAAGGCCTCACTGTGCAAAGTCCATGAACTTCTTAGTTTTACATCAGACCCAACTCTGCCATTCATTAGCGTGACCGCAAGGAACCTATCTTGTTCTAACAAATTCTAGCACTTTTTATTGAACTTACGAAAACAAGGCTACCCCGGACTTGAAAGCCTTATGATAGAGAGCAGTTGCTGGTCCTTGGCCATCACAAGCAGGTCTGACAGAGTCAAAAGTAATTTCGGAGCAGTTTTATGAGACAAAACCTTGTAGAAAGCCAGGAATAGTTTTGTTGATTAGAAGCTGTTCCTGGAAACATCTCTCCTCACAGTCAGTAGAACTGAGAGTGACAAGTGGCTGTTTGTTTCTTTTTTTCCCACGACAGGTGATTGTGCAATTCATCAGTGGGAACTCATTCAGTATTCACACAGTGGATGGCCACTATGCCAGTGCTCCCCGCCCAAAACTCGATGGTAAGACTATGCAGCATTGATCTTTTTGAACATCAAGTAAAGATAAACTTTTTGTCTTCCAAGGTGGTCTGTTTGGCATTCGGGTTTCCTGAGATGAAGCTGAAGGAAAAATAGAACACTCCACAAATACTCAAAGGAGGCTGTAGGATTGTTGCGTGCATTTATGCTTGGAATATTGTCAGTCGATATCCGTGAGTTTGAGTGGAATATAGAATAAATTGTTATGCCTGTGTTCCACAAACCGTGAGGACGAAGACCGAGTGGTATGTGTGACTTAGATGTACTGTGTTCTTCTGTGTTCCATGACTTGTAGTAAGATACATTTATCTTCAAGCAAACTTAATGTGTGCATCATATTCAAATGATGGCATAGCTATAAATTTGCCTTGTAGACACAATGCAGTTTATACCTTGAAATAGTGCACTACAGGGAAAGCAATGTAGATCTCAGTATGTAGTGCAGTATTTGGCCATGGATCAACCAATCGAAGAAATAGAGGTTTCAAGTTTGTGTGAAGATGGTGGGAACTATCGTTGCTCGGGTCCCATGTAAAAATGCCAACAGTGGTGTTGGTAGTCGGGTCCTTTTGCACATCTTCTTTTTGCTCTCTGTACCAGAGAGTCAGACGTTCACCGGCATGGCGGGATTGTTCACCAGCCCCAACTATCCAGAGGATTACCCCTCCAACCTGAGGATGGACTACCTCCTGCACGGCAAGGCCCACGAGATCGTCTTCGTCAACTTTGTGGAGCTCAACCTGGAGATGCCCAGCACCACCCCACTGGCGAGCCCCCGCTCCAAGCGGCATGTACTCTACAAACGCCAAGCCGTCACCATCACCCAGACGGCCTGTGAATATGACTTCATTGAGGTATTGTTTGCAATTTCAGAAAGGCCGTCTTGTGTCATTGGTAGTAATGCTTAGCATTCCAGCACCAATTGAGTATCAATGTGTTTTAATGGCGTATTATAACCATTCACCTGGCCCAGAAACACTCCTATATATTCAACTCCCTTGAAAGTATATACAGCCATGAGCCATCGTTGTAATTGTTTCAGTCACTACCAGGTTTTACCATGCCCTCTTTGCCCTCACAGGTACCCTGTATACTTGGGTAGTTTATTGACTCAAGTACGCTGGATGGTTAAACAGTTCACCAACATTGTCTTGCATTGTATTTTCTCTTTGGTGATGCTGTAAAACACTACGGTGCTAAGGCGGATCAGCCCGCATAGCAGATGAACTATAGGGCAGTTTGGGTCGGTATAGGGACCATCATTGGGATGCCTACGCCGGCATAAACAGATATTGGTGGATACGGTAAAGTCCCACCGAAAGAGAAACTTGTTTGTCCTAATTTTGCTTTGCTCACAAGTTCCTGAAAAGGCTATTTAAACTATGTGGTGTGTGAGCAAGTATGTAGGAGAACAAATTCTTTATTCTTAATTTCACCTCCCCGAGAAATTGCATCATCTGCCAAGCTGTAAGTAAAATGCACCTCAAAATTTACGAGATATCCTTGTAGAGGCAAGAGTTGACTCGTGTGAATGTCAACAATACCAGAACATATTTTAAAAACCATTCAAAAGTGGTTTTTGATTCAGAGGCATTTATTTGCCAACAGCTACAAGTTTTAATCCTTGCTCCTTGTTTTTTTTTACTAGATCAAAGATAACCTAGACACGACACGGAATGTTAGATATTGCGGCAACCAGCTGCCTTTCAGCTGGGTGTCCTCCGGCAATGAGGCTATGGTGACATTCATCACAGATGGCAGCGTGGTCAAGAAAGGCTTCAAGGCAGAGTACATATTCCAGCAGCGCCCCGATCCAACAGGTATTTTACACTTGTAGTTTAACGTGTAGTTTTAAACACTTGTAGTTTTAAACTTGTAGTTATAGCCCCTAACTGTGGAAAGACACCTTAATGGCCGAGGCTACAGTTGGGAACAGGTCCAGGGATACATCTTGATGATCTCAGGCTACGTCTAGGCACAGGGTTGGGCTTTCATGTAGGGTGGGGCTGTATTTGGGCTTTGGGGCTACATTTTAGTGAAAACAGACAGTATTGGTGTATATGCGCATCTCATGTTTTATCCTGGTTGGTCCCATACTTAAAGGTATTCCAGAGCTTTCCTGGACCAGGTTTTACTGGATGCCCCAAATCACACAAGAATGTGTGATTTCACAGCAAATTCCTCGCTGATTTAACACAAAATGCTTCCTGATGATGTCAAGCTTGCTATTATGTTTGCCATAGCATTGAATATGATTGCCTTCACTAATGCCAGATATTTTCAGTTTTCAGGCAGTTGGTTTTTTGAAAAAGTCTGTGTAATGGAAAGTTTGGATTATACAAAGGTGTTAGTATTACATCCAATTGCTTAATAGGTTGTGCTCATCTAGTGGAATTTGCCAGCAAACTTGTACCTCCCAATAGACCTCTATCATTGGGCAGCCATCTTGCTTTTCTACCATTCAAAACAATGTAACCAACCTCAGGCAGGAAAGAAAAGTAGTCTGTTCCCCTTTATCAATATCTGAAGATGTATTACTATTGCCAGTAGGTCCACAGGGAACAAAGCAAGCATGGCAGCATCATGATAAAGGTCTACACGAAAGTGACTTCAGTTTGTCATATTTCTTTTGGGGGGGTGTTCTCCTCCCCTTTTCCAGGCTGTGGGGGCATCTTTGAGGCTTCCTCCGGTGCCTTTGACTCGCCCGGCTACCCGGGCATCTATCCCCGCAACTCCGACTGCACCTACATCATTCTGGCACTGGCCAACCAGCGCGTCAAGTTGACCTTCACCAGTTTCAACACAGAATCTGACGACGAGTGTGAGAAAGACAATGTGGAGGTAACAATGCAGCTCCTTAGTATTTCTAAAGGGGGAGTATTTTCCACATCAGGGCTTTATCTTTGTTTTGGGCTTTATGTCCGGCATGAAACCACCTCTGTTGAACTAATTTTCAAATTAAAATTCAAAGCAAGTTTTAGAGGTTTGTGGTAGCACCATGCAAGGATACCTCTTTTTGAGTATGTTTGGTTCCGAAAAGGAGGGTACTGAACGTTTCGGAAATTATGCTCTATCTGCTATCAGGAGACTCCTGGCGATGGATAGGGCATACTATCCGAAATGTTGTGTACCCTCCGTCTTTTCAGAACCACATTTACTCAAAAAAGAGATGTCCTTCCACGGTGCTTCTTTACCTGAAATTGAAAGTAGTTCCATATTTTGGTAAATATGGGCTCAAAACTCTCAATTCCGGTGGATAAAAATAAATTTGAGCTCGATGTAAAGACCAAACTGAGACTCGGGAAAACCCTCAAAAGTTACCATTTTTGTCTTGTGGCCTATATGTGGTTAAGAATGTTCCATCTGAAGCAGTGTTAGTGCTCACTCAGCTTAGAATGTACATGTTTGGAATTTATGTGGTGTCATCTCACATTGGAAACTCTTTTCACAAGAACGGGCAAGTTTCAAGCTGCCTCCTTCTTTGTAATCATGAGAAATTTTTCCACCATTCCTTATCCAGGTCACTGACAAGCTAACCCAGAAGGCAGACCGTTATTGTGGCAACCTGGCCACTCCCTTCAGCTGGACGTCAGACTCCAACCTGGTCTTTGTGGTCTTCCATAGCGACAGTCAGCGGCAGTACGGGGGCTTCACCGTGGAATACGAGACAGAAGACAGGCCAGAAAAGACAGGTAACGCTTGGTGGAAGATATGCAGCAGTGTTCCCAAAATTGTTAAGCAGCAATTTCTATGTTCCGTGAGTCTCAAGGGAATTCTTTGTAGATCTCGAGGGGTGAATGCTGTGTGTGTGCATCTACTTAATATCAACACTACAACTAGAGGGGGTTTTGACTTAAGGACCTGGGGATACCTTCACAAATGCTGGGATAAGCAGTTGCTTCAAGAATGTTATGAGTGGTAGATACAGGTGTTTGTAAACAGAGCTTGGGGACCCTTGGAGGATGCTTGTCAAATCCATGATTTTGTAAGTTCAGAATAGATTTTCTAATTTCCAAGAGTGATGAATTAATGCAAGTTACCTGTCAAACAAAGAGTAATAGTTTGAAATCAATTCTGGTGATATTTCCATGATATGTCACATCACAAAGGTCAGATGTAACAGGGACACAAAAAGTCACACTTTTTGACCCCAAATTTATAGAATGACCCATGTGACACCACTCTTCTTGAAACGAGAAAGCTATCCCATCCACCGCTTCTTGGTGCAGCTCAGCAACCTACAGATTATTGTTGAAAACCTGTCGATTCATGCGAAGGCTGCCTGCCTGCCTGACCCGTGTTGTTTCTTTAGTCTGTCAGTACAACTTCAATGACCAGTCTGGTGAGATCCAGAGCCCAACATCCTCCAGCCACTACCCCAACCTCAGGGAATGTAACTACGTCATAACCGTGGAACCTGGCTATGGCATCCACCTGGTGTTTGTCGAGTTTGTTTTGGAGGGTCCGGCACCTAGCGGAAAATGTGAATATGACTACGTCCAGGTGAGCGTATCTCTCCCTAAAAATAGCCCAAGCAAATCCTCTGATTTCAATATGATTTTACATACACCCTGTGGGCTAGGGTTAAAACTTGCTGAGAATCTCTTCTGATATGTGTGCCAAAAACTCATTTCAACTGATTCACCAGGTTTTTCATAGTCGGATCAGTCCCATCTCAGTTATTCTGCTGTAAAATGTTAATCCGTCCACCACAAAGTTGATTCCTTTTTGGATGTCACGGATGGCTATAAAAGCACTTGCCTGTCAGCACTGTGGCACGAGATCAACTTCCACTCCGGGTCATATGTGAGTATTGAGGTTTTGTTGATTCTCTGGCCTCGCCCCAATCACTTGGCTGTGGCTTAAACACAGGACTTCAAAGGAACCAGCTGTAGCTATTACCTTTTACTCTGCATTCCTTGGATTCACTTTTAGTCTCTGGCTGTGCTAAGTCATCAGATGTGCGTCGTTTGGCAGCTGCCTATGGCACCATAACGTGCCCTCTCTTCGACCATGTTGTGTTTGTATCATTTTAATGCCACCTTGTGACTGTGAGAACAATTAGCCCCCAACATAAAATTGAAATAAACCCTCCCCTTTCTGCAGATCGAGGATGCTGTCTCAGGTACGTCAGACAAGCTCTGTGGCACCAAGAGTCCCTTTGAGCGACTGATCAGCACCAACCAAGTCAAGGTGGTCTTCAAGAGCGACTTGATTGTGTTTTACAAGGGCTTTAGGGCCACCTATGAACAGGTCGACCTGAGCACTCGGTCAGGTAGGCAAGAGTGCGACATCACATGATTTTGTTATTTTCCTTTGAAAAGTTGGTATTTTTGTTCAGGACTTTGGGCTAGGCATACATCATTGTTTTGGTGGTGCGACCATTATTAAGCACCTTGCACAAGCCATCTGGGATTAGCAAATAGGCTGGGCGGACAGCCTGGTTCCCACCTCGATGATTATTGAAAAGTTCAGCGGACAATGGACAGTCCGGGACTAGATTACCTGCATCCCCTGTTTTGTGCATTTCGACTTGACAAGGAATGACAAACATCAACCAAGGACCCTCTTTTGTTAAAACATAGAGACCGCAAACCAACTTCAGACAATCGCGTCAGTACACCCTATGAAATTTCTCTCAAATAGAATGTTTTAGTTTGGAGAAGTTGTCACTGCAAAACCAGTTCCCAGCTTAAGACTGTTGACTCTGTATCTGTCATTTTGTTGCATTAGTGGTGCTTTTATGACATTGCGTTCAGTTCTAACTTTAGAAGGACTCTAAGGTCTTTTCTTTTATTATCACATAGATTGCGATAAGGACCTCACCGCTCCATCTGGTGTCTTCACAACTCCTGATCACCCTGCCAACTACCCGCTGAGCAAGGAGTGTCGGTTCCACATAGTCGTGGCTAGCGACCAGCGTGTCAAGATCACATTTTCCGACTTCAGCCTGGAGGGCTATCAGAATTGTCCCTACGACTTTGTTGAGGTAGGTTTTCATTTTTTTACATTTTATAGATTCTACTGCGGTCTTCATTATTTTGTCATCCGAATAAACCGCAAAAAGAATTTGGCAGTTGGACGAAATACAATTGTGGCACTGAATTTCTTCCATTTGATAACTAAAAAACCTAAGCCTCTCTTTCTGAATGCGTAACACTACAAAAGGTTCTCCAATACCTGAAGAAATACGAAAAAATTCCACATTGGGTGATATTTGTGCCTATTTCTTGACATCGTATCATCCACCTCATTGTCATTTTCCCCCTCAGGTATCGGACGTTGGCAAGAACAACAAGGAGAAATTCTGTGGCAGGAAGCCCAGCGCATTCAGCTGGACGTCAGAGACAAATGACGTCCTCGTGTTTTTCCACAGTGATGACAGGACGCCCTCAACAGGTTTTAGTGCCTCTTACGAGTCTCAGCCCCTACCGATACAGGCTGCCGTGAACACGGGTAGGCCCATAATGCTTGATGTTTATACCTCTCTTCTGGATACGATATACTTTAAATACTCAATACGAATGATGTTTTGTAACCCTCTGGAAGTGGGCAATGCACCTGCACTGAATGTGAATGAGATAAAGAATAGCTGGTGTGCTTTTACATAGCAGTGATGTCATTTTTGTGGGAATACATCTCGTGGGTGCACATTTATGCATGGTTGAAAAACCTGATTCTTCTTTGTCACTGAGGGGACAGCTCTCTTCAGAGAAGATTGGCAGTTGAATGGGTTGCTAGTCATCAGATTCCTGTATGGTCCTTCAAAAGCAAGAATTTCACCAGAAATAGAAATATGAAATATTGCAGTGAATGGGGGGGTAGGTTGACTTGAACAGGTCCATGGTTTCCCTCTCTTAAAAATTTTTAAAAGAATTTTTAGGTTAGGATTACCTTATCTGTGTTGCAGGAAAATGTAAAATATCGTAGGTCAAAATTTTTGCTGTGAAAAAGTGTTCAAATGTATGAAAAGACTAATTTGAGTTACATGTATATATGTTTTACCATTTTTCTCAGCAACGGGGAAGTAAAGGGATATCCACTCATGGCATGTTATGTACACAGGTGGTCCTGTGTGGTGCTGCCATTTTTATGCATTCATAAATGATGCCCGTGTCTGTTTATTTAGCGCAGAGAGCCGTTCAGAAGGGATGAGTTCTTGTTTGTCTCTTGTAACGTATCTAGGTTGTTACAGTGACTACAACATCATACTGAGGGCCGGCACCGGCAAGCTGACCTCGCCCAACTATCCCCGCGATTATCCGCTGAACGTGGACTGCAGGATGCGCATCGAACTTGACAATGAGAAGCTGTGCCAGATCACATTCACTGACTTTGAGCTGGAGGATGAGACGAATTGTGGCTACGACTACCTGCAGGTAGCTATTAACGCCCCACTGTCTGTCCCATGAAATACGAAATGGGTTCTTGTCCAAGCCTTGGCTTAAACTCTTGGCTACTGATGTCGGGAGTCTATGGCCACATCTTGTGGCCGTGACTATCTGCAGGTAACTATCCCCCCACACTCCTGTCAAACCTTTAGATCAGAACTTGGTTCTTGGCCAAGTCTTGGCTACGAATCCGCCTACAGTTAGAAGTCTTTTTTTATCCATGATACCAAAGTGACACAAACTCCGACTTTGGGCCCGGAGCAGAAAACTGGTCCACATTGGGAGCCTCTGGAGTCATGAAGTTCGACTACGGCAAACCTTGAGCTGCTGATGCACTGAAATTTTCTTAGCAGAGAAAGAATGGAATCCCTTGGCTGCACCTTGATATCAAACATGACTCTGGAAACTGGCTGCAGCCACAAACCATAGACTTGCACCACAGACTTGTCATCTTGTGTGCTTTCGGCACTATTGAAGAATGCCAGAGCCACTTTTGAGTTGAAGGCCTCAGGAAGAATCTTGGACAGTGTTTAAGCAATAGGAATCCTTAACATTTTAAATTCTACACAACGTCCATTTTCATCATGCCAACCTGAAGTGGCATCAAAACAGAGCTCAGTTGCCTCCATCTAGAACAAAGTAAACTCAAAAATGGGTCCTGTGACTTGTGACTAATTTTCAGTGTGGGTTACATATGGAAACCAGGCTTAACATCCTGTCCTTTGTACTCCTTCAGCTGACTAGCATTCCTGACGGTGACACCGTGGCCTATTGTGGCCAGCAGACCACACCCTTCACCTGGCAGTCAAAATCGAGCACCTGCGAGGTCCTCTTCCATAGTGATGAGTATGTCCCTGCCAAGGGCTACCAGGCGATGTACGCCTCCGTGGACTCCTCAGTGCAGGGCAGTGCTGCACCAGCCCAGCTTGCCGTAGCATCGGCCTGCGACCAGCAACTCGGAGGTTCATCGGGGACCTTCACCTCACCCAACTACCCAGGCAACTATCCTGTGAACACAGACTGCACCACCACCATTGAAGTAGCCGACGGCTACCGGGTGAAAATTGAGTTCCAGGCATTTGATGTGGAATGGCAAGACAGGTGTGAATGGGACTGGGTTCAGGTAAATATTGGCACAAGGAAATGACATAATCTAACAAAGTTTCCTTCAGAATGGGTAAGGTTATTAGCAGGATGTTATTTTTTTTCAACAGACCGGGAAGTCCGCCTTTGATTGCCTACTTGAGACATTTTTGTATAGTAATAGAGAACATATACATGAGCATAAACATTCCTGTATGCCTTAAATTTTTTTGGCTTACTTGTGAATTTGATAGGTGAGAAAAGCACCGGAGTCACTTCCAAATTGTCTGACATCATTCCATTCAAAAACGTAAAACATTCATAAAAAAGAAACAAACATTAGAAAGGCACTCTCGTAAATTGCTGTATCACTTGCACTGTAAAATATCTCCTTTATGACAAAGAGTGGTTTATGGGAACTTTACAGTATATGTCTAGACTTAAAGAATGTACAATGTACTCGGTTTAACCTCTGGAAACACACAGGTGGACAAATTTGCACCTGCGGTTCTCGGAATGATACATCCTCCAAAAAGAGTTTCACGGGACACCCAAAACCTACTTCTCAGATGTCCCCATTTACTCCCTTGTCACAAAATTATATTGAAGTGGAAAGGTTCAGGAATGTCAGGGTTGAGGCTAATTTTGTGGGAACTTTGTCGTTCATTTCTCGTTCAGATTACTGACTTGGGCACACAGGAGGCGACCAACTACTGCGGAGTGTACTCCAGTGGTCTGGACCACACATCGACCACCAACATGGTTAGTGTATTGCTACACAGCGACAGCTGGGTTCCTAGGCCAGGGTACTCCGCCAAGTTTACCGCCTTATTACAATAATTCGTAAAGCTTAGCAAAGGGCATACATATATATAATTTAATTTATTGGTTGATTTATGTATATTTAAATGCTAAATATTACAAAATCTGCAATGTTAATCATTAATTTCAAATGTATTCAAAATAGTTTGTGACATTGTGAAAGAAAACTCTCATATTGGAGGCTTGTGAATAATGTTGACAACAGTTCATTGTGCACAATTTAGAGGTGACATAAACTGAACTGAAAACAAATTACAAGGCCTGTGCCTACTCTGTCAAAATCTTGCTGGCAATATTCTGAATGAGAAGAGCCAATGTGCAGAAATGTTCAAACCTGTCACCAAGTAGGGCAATAACAAGGGTGGTTTTTCATACATAGGATCTGTACGTGTTCTCAATTCATGCTCAGTGAAGAGATCAATATACACATATGCATTAGTGTTTCTATGAATTGATATCAATGCTCTGAATCATAATTAAATGTTTATTTTATGTAAACCACTAGCGAACTACTTGCTTGCGCCACATTGAAACAATACATGCACACAATGCACTACATTTACGATGATCCAAGTTTACTATGCCCCTAAAATAGAGCTATTCCCAAAATGGAAAAATATGTATCATTCTGTGAAATGATTCAGCTAAATCAGGAGAAATGTACATCAATTCATTTTAAGATTTAATGTATTTTGTTCATAGTTTTGATAAAAGTCTTCTGGACATGACATGTATAAGGATTTTTTCCAGTACCTGTGATTCTTCATGCATCTTGTGGGTTATGACTACAAAAATAGAGCAAAACCATAATGCTTTACACTTAAGCCTCATTCAACGTTCCACTTAGAATTCTTGTGCTTACACTTTAATCCACCGTTAAAAAAATTATTTTCTTATTCATTTAAACAATGCTACATATAAAGAAATAAAAAAATCTATTAAAAAGTACAATGTTTGGGTTGTTAATTTCTCTTAGTACTTCAAAATGTTTAGTAGAGCTGTCTAATAATTTCACAATTTTAATCAATTTTAAATTTATTCTCAAGTACATTTTCCTTTCATTGAACTTTACATATTTATTAATCAATACAAAAATTTCATTTTGTTTGAAGCATCCTCTTTTCAATATCAAAATGTTTAGATTTACTGTTGTGAAGATGTGCACTTGACAGTGCTGTTGCTAGGATTTTACTAGTGGGGGTACCAGTTTTCAATGATATCCTTTTTGAGGCAAGATTTTGTGAGCCTTGTTCAATATCCATTCGTTTTTTTTGGGGGGGGGTTACTGGGGGCATCGGGAATTTTGAGGGGCATGTGCCCCAGGCCCCCCGTGGCTACGCCACTGAGTGTAGAGGTCAGAAGGTCGAAGAGAAAGAGACAGGATAACGGACAGAGAGGAAGGAAAGGGCATCAAGTCGATAAGAGCAAATGATCAGTTCTGCAGTATGAATTTATACATGCCAAAGGAAGAGTTATTTTTCAGGATTCAACATTATTTCTTCAAGATACCAGTAATGTTTGAGGCATTTGTCTGCAAGTTTCACATTAATTGAAATTGAGAGCATTTGACATACATAAAAGGAACAAGCTCTATAAGTTTTCTTTTGCAGCCAGTATTGGGTTCTTTGCATATTGAATCAGCAACTCGGTTGATTTGTGGCACATGTATTTTTCGTGGATTCAGGAATACAGTAGTTGTAAACTATTTATTTTGGACTTGATAGCATCTAGTTCAATGGACCTGTAATATAATGGGCATCACGCTTCGTTTACACGTGCACTCTCCTATGACAGTGAGGTGGGATGCAATCTGTTAACCCCAATAGGAAACTACACAGCTTGACGTAATTATGTTTTAATTCTACTACAAATGAAAATGCCATTAGTTTTATGCTGTCTTGGATTTTATTTAGCAAAAATGGTTGACGGAGCTGGCCTGCAGTCTAAGCCTGCAAGATCTCTAAAACTCGGGTATATTTAGAAGACTATTAAGGCCTGAGTTTTGTCTCTGTTCCTGCCAGGATCACACATGTTCTAATGGAAGTTAAATCACAGACTTGCACGGCATAGGATTTTTGTGCAGTGGAGGCTTGGCCGGTGGGGTTCGAGAATGTATCAAGTGCTGTAGAAACCACAGTAATTGAGCTGCTGTGTGGGCTCTGATACCACACTACTAACCCATCCTAAGGGTCCACACCAAGAAGAGAAGTGCAGAAATGAAGCCCATCCCAGCACTGGGTGTGGTAGCTGTGGACACAACCAGTTCGAATTTGAACTCCACAGGAGCAGTCTTCTCGTTCATCCATTGTCGGGCGCGGTCCGTCTTCAGGAGAGGCCCCACCTCTTGGCGTATCCTCTTGTTGTAGTGGTTGTAGTATGTCAGCTAAATGAAAATCAAGGACCACTCTATTTAAGTGCATGTTGCTCCCTCAAATGAAATAACTTTAATAGTAGCCTTTATTTATAAGTCATTGGTGGTCAGTTATCCGTGACTGCAGAAACACTAGTAAAGGTATTGAGGGAGCTGTAACGAATCAAACTTTCCAATAGTTATCCACTATCTTAGGTATTTCCTGGTACAGAATTTATAAAAGAAGCATAAAGCTTGGTACATGTAAAGACATGTTTCAATTCGAAGGCAAATCACAACACATGTGCTGACATTACAGTTCATGTTCACCAGGTCAATATGCACAGGGAATTGGCCTTGAAAAAGGAATGATGATGTGAAACAAAGTATTAACCAGCCTTCATTTTGAGAAGCAGGTTCAAAGATTAAAAATCAAGTTGACAGAATGAAGTTTTCCTCGACCCCATATATTCATCCAAGTGCATAATTCATCATCTCAATGCACTTGGAGCAACTGTTACACAGGTAGCTCTGTTGTAAACATACCAAACATTGGCACCTTCAGAAAAGTGAATTGTATTTGAACACAAACGAAGCTATACAAGGTAGGATAATTGTGTTTTCCTTCTTTCTTGTTGGCTGACAGCCAAATACTTGACTATCATAATGTTACTGTTAACATGAATGTTTAAAATGAAATGTAGCTGAGACTTTCAGAGAGACGAAAACTTTCCCAATCAGCATTAAACAATCACAAAGACTGTTCCTTACAATATACATGTATATCAGAGACACAGGTATCTCCAAATTTTCAACTTTAATTTCATTCCATGATATCTTTCATGTATACATACATGTATATGGACCTGTTTAAAGTTGTGCAAATCATAGTCCTAAGAGACAGCCCTCACAAGAATCAAATCAATGACAAGGTACCTGTTTGGGTGTCATCAGGCCGAAGTCAATTAGATTAGGCTCGAAGGGCACCAGAGAAATCATCTCAAAGGTCATATACTTGTAGGTGTAAAACTGGTGCTGAAATGAAAACATAGTGAATGGACATCGTTACCCTCTTCACTACACAGCATTAGTTTTTGAGTGGACAGACAAGTACTTTTTCTCGTCCCACAAACATATAATGGGCAGTTTCACGGGAAAGGTTGAAAAATGAACAAATGGATATTGATGCTTTTTTCGATTGGAAAACTTTGCTGAAACTTAATGCTTTTTGTCTCACATGGAGTTTTACATTGTTGCAATCTCCAAAAAAAAAATTCAAGGCCTTACGCATTATGGTTCTCAAGATATCAACTAAAACAGGTGCTAAAACACAAGATTTGGAGTATCATTCAAATTTTCTAGAAAGTACAATTGATGTGAAATAAAATCAAATGGTAGTAGAACTGCCTGGTCTCACGTGGACATTAAGATGTGGTCCAAGAAAGTGTATACCAAATTTCATTGGAATTGATTGACCATTTTTGACACTGTTTTGAGTGAGACATCGGTTTGTTAGTTAAATGTTTTTCCAAAATATCCTCTCTTGAACATGGTATTTCTTCCAGAATGGAAAGAAATGAAATGTAACTCATTACCCATCAACACAACACTACACACTCTAGTAACCTAATATCAAAATATTGTACTGCACTGATCACAAGTAAATAAGATATAAATGCTCATGAATATGCCATGCAAATGTTAGTTAAAAACATCTTTTCCTGACCATGGCATCCCATGATTTGCAGAAAGTCAGAAAAATTGTTTTTGAGGCATTATCTGGTAGCTTGGCATAGACTTACATGATCAAACAGACTGTAAAAGCAATCAGACTTGAACCGTACTTGGTGTCATGGCATTGTCGTTAAACTTCACTGTCCTTTCCTGAACATTTAATTTAACACAGTACCCAGTTAAGCCACTGTTGCTTAAATTTGATGGAATGTGCTTCCATTGTAGAGTTTGTGTTTTAACATTAAAACCAATTAATTGGCCCAAAAATCCTGGTATTTTGTTTGGGGGTCATTTACTGTGACATTATGTCCACATAATACGAGTAATATATGCCCATATCAATTATCCATCTAATTCACACTTAATCAAATACTTATCAGAAATTGGCTGATTTACAGTTTCATACAGGCAAACTCACAAAATTTATGCATCGGTTTGCCTTAATTTCAGTAAGATAAACTATTTTAGACAATTTGCGGGGTATTAGAGTGTTAAGGAAATGACACTTTTGTAACAGGTTTGAAACCATTTACCTACACGAGTTTTAAACATTACACTCTGTGTTCACAGCCATTTCATTGGTTTTACCATAGAGCTCTGTGGTTTTACCTATGAAAAAGAAACAAGTCAGCTTATCAGGCACGGATCATGTGTTGATCACTCTTCAGTTGTTTTAATTTTATACATTTCTAAAACATCCTTCAGTATAGTTTTCACCATGCATATGTATGCAGGAAGCCATGTTTCAAATGGTTTTAATCCCTGCCTGAAGCCAATAGTGCACTGTTGAACAAGCAGCCTTAACATGGCAGAGAAACTGCAAATTAAATTTAACTGGGACCTCAGGACGAGAAAGAAATGTCTGAAGAAGGGGCCTTGCAGGACAACTGTGTATTTAAACAAACTGAAGGAAGAAAGCCAAGTGATGTATAGTATGAAGAATACAAAGCAAAGGAAGAATAAAAAGCAAAGGAGAGAAAGGCGAAAAGCTATGAAAGTTTATGGCAGAAGTAAACTTGCTGAGGTTGATATTCTTTAAATGATAAGTGCAAATAATTTGTTCCTGCACAGTTTATGTATTCATACATGTACGTATATATGTATATTGGTACATTTTCAGAATATTTCAGTTAATTATTTGGAAAATCCATGCTGGGTGGCACAGCCAATTTGAACCCAAGAGCTGGGCGGAAATTTACAGTACATCATGGCTAGAACGCTGGCATAGTAACATAATTATGTGGACTATATAACACATGTTTTCTAGTTTTATTTTGTACTTCATAGCAAAACATGTTCAAGTGATTATACTGATCCTGTCTATCTAATTAACTTTATGATAAAATTTCTTTATAGGATCAAACTTGATGAAAGGTAGTATTATGTTGAAATTTTGTCCTTTCCTGAACAAAATGAACCGTTTTCATAACATCAAGAGAGGCCACCATAACTCTTGAATGCAGTAACATAAAAAAACAAGTCTTTGATAGCTGTTCTCCCATATATGTTGCCCTTGGACAAAGGAGAGTATACTGAGCAGGATGCATGATTTTCTGAATTAGCAGAAATGACAGGTGGTGTTTTAAGAAAAAAAGGGAGTAAAAAACTTAATTTTCCCAAAATATCAGAAAATATGTGTTATTTTTTTTACAGCATAACTTGTATTAGCATTGAAGACATGAGTACTGTGGTGGCTGTCAACGAATTTATGGCAACCCCAAACATGTCTGGAATGTGGAAATAGCAGTTTATGATACATACTTTCAGTTGACAAAGTTTATGAAATGCCAAATGCAAAGTGTCTTGAAATTAAAACAGGAAAAGGTTTAAGCCTTGAAATTAACATTTTCTGTTACCTTTATTCATACACTTACAATAGCCCAACACGGTGTATTGATATAAGAAGTTTCATTTTTGACCCCTCGTGAGACTTTTTTGCAACCTTTTCCATGAAACTGCCCTGATGAATATGCAATAGTGTTTAAAGTATGCAAAATGAGTAGTAGAGCATTAGCAATTACAGTACTTCCAAGGTCTATATAGTGGGGGTTCCGATGTGAATCTTTTGGGAGAAAATATACATGCATAGGATTGAAGTCCAAGAATCTATGAAAGGAATTATAGGCTTGGACTCGAGTCTGACGATGCAGATACCCACATCTCTTTCGCACCAGTGTCACCATGTGTCCTAACTCCAATACTCCTACTCACTGGTCAGAATTTTAACCGCACTGCCTGTTGATCTGTTTGCAAGCAACTCAGAGAAGGCATAAGTAGCCACAACACTAGTCAGTAACACTAGAGTGGACACAGACATTCGGCTGGGCCAGACACTAATTTTAAGTTTAGTGTCTTTAGCCCAAGATTGTTTTGGGTGAAGCAGAAATTTTCCATTAATTTAAGGCAGTGTAAGTAAACTATGCCCTTTAAATTTGACCATGTTTCAAAGCACAAACATTCCTTTATAAATTCATCCCCGAAAGTCATATACCCCCTGATCTTTTTCTTCGCTTCAAAAACTCCTGCAACATATTTGTTAGCATACTATACTGAAATCCGAATGCATTACATGGGAAAGAAGAGTGTCTGATTTGCCTATTCTGATCTTTAACTGCATTCTTCCTCTAGTATCCCCCTATCATTATCATGATCATCATCATCATCACCATAAGCTCAATTGTCTTTCCTTGTACTTACATCAGTTTCAGCTTCCACAGACATCATTACGTTCTCTATGCGGATTCCAAAATCCCCATCTTCATAATAACCAGGCTCTAGGTGGGTGAAACAGACATTAAAAAGCTCTAAAAAGAAGCCAGCTTGATAAAGTGTTTTCAAGTGGGTTTGGTTGAAGAGTTGGTTCAAGTGAACACAAATTTACAGGCACTGTTATTAGTGTATTATGGACATGATATTGGACATGCTGAGGTTATCTTACCAAGAACAGTGAGGTGGGGGAGGATCAAGTCAGGCACCGAAACCGCCTTGTCACTTATTATATGGGCACAAAACAACTCTTCTTCAATGAAAATACAAATGTAAATGCAGGTAGTACTGTTTTCCCCTTTAAACTACATCAAAATTAAAGAGATAGACCCTATATATTATTTCCCTTCCAGCAACAAGTACGTAGGCCTAGTTCCTTTAAACAGAAAGGCTAACACATACCATCGGAGAAGAACATTCCAACTTCAATAGGTTTCTCCCTCGAGGAGTATCCGAGGCTGATCCTCGCTGGCCCTAAAATGGTACACATGGAAAGGAATAAGTTGAATGCAGACCACCGTTGAAGAAATCGCGTTTTTGCCAGTTTTTCTTTCAAATACTCCACTGACTCTGAAAATCTTCACAATGACAAGTACGACAGCCAATAAACCACCGGAACATCGAACAACATGCAACAGAGTCAGATATTCTATAGAAGTGTTTCTATGTAATTTGAATAATGTAGACTCACGTTTGAGGATCGATTTTAGAGACAAGCTACGACGGAGACCAGATTTACAAAGCTTCGGAAGACCGCTGAAGAGAGAGTTAAAGTAGCGGAGGCTGGGGTATAGCCCCCTCAAGAGTTTCAAGACAAAGACACCTATCGTGGCTGGGGGATACAGCCCCCTCAAGAGTTTGCTTGCATGCCCGATAAAAACGATAGCATCGCCAAGCCTAGGGCTATATGTAACACTTTCTCAAAGGTTGCATGACTTCCTTAAGCATGATTACATCTGGACATGGATAATGGCTTGAAGAAATTTTCTCTGTGTTTCAGAGTCCAGACACGACGAGTTGTGGTAAGAAATTCAAAATTAAGTATAAAAATAATCAGTCCTGAAAAAAGCCTGATGGTCTGGATCAAAGTGGAAGATCAAACCCACTCGAGCTTGCCCTTAGCATGCTATTGATTAAACTGAAAAGTAATGGCATAAAATTCATTTCATATTTTAGTTCTCAACAAAAATGTGTCAAACCTTCGTGCACATTCAGAAAACTGCCAATGCCGTGACCAGTTCCATGTCGGTAGTCAAGACCATTACTCCAGAGAGGGTTCCTGGCGATCACATCGAGAGCACGGCCTTTAGGAAAAAATAATTATCAGGTGATAACTGTTGTAGCCTTGGATTGAATGTTACAAAGGCATGGTATTTACAGCTGGTACAGCTGTTAAAGCCTACCAAATGAATTTTCTCAGAAACTTCGGGACAGCTACTACGGGCTTACCCATGGTAAAGGGAGAGGACTGCATGTGGTTAAAAAAGGTCTGCGACCTATGGATATCTCAGGAGCCACGGGTCGCCTGTGACATTAAAAGCTGCAAGCCCACACTTGTCCAACCCATTGCATCTTGTTCTTTTAATGAACACTCCTATTGGGGCCTGTTTGTAATGTTACAGTAAATAATTGGACTGGAATAAAAACTGATAGTAGAGATTTACCGTAAACATTTGAGCGAAAGTTGCTTGTGACCAAATCAATATGCCCCATAAGGACGCGGGTATAGGCTTCCTGCAGTGAACAGCAAAACGAAACCTCTGTTAATTCTCACAATTTTACCATTAAATAGGTCTGTTTGAGTTGTTCCATTTCAGATCTGAGTGATCAGCTTTGAATTCAGTATCGGTAGAAACAATTCCTCTGTATTCATTGGTTTCCTTTTCTTCATAATGGCCTGAATGGTATAATTCCAGACCCTATTTCGTAGAAAAGTTAATATATCCACTACAGATGTCTGACTTGTCGAAATGAATCCATTGAGATAGCCCATTAATTACTTTTTGGTTGTAGGCCTATTTACCTTTGTTTTTGCCTTAGGAGTTCCAAAATGAAATGTACGAGTTATATCGGTTGTTCCAGAGCTGCAATGTAACGCAAATTAAGACACAAAGTGGTTAAGCAAGTGAAAAACGTTTTCCTGGTTTTAATTTATGAACTTATTTTGCTGGGTATAGAGAATAACGTGGATACATTACGCAACGTATAAAAAGTTTCAAAGGACGTGTCGTTAATAGCCTTTTCTCTGTTTTAGCCATGTGATGCTAGTTTAAGGTCGAAAGGGTGGTCACAAATGGCAACCTTAGCCATAAGAATGATTTTGTTATTCTGTAAACTGACTTCGTGTTTCATGTTGCCCAAACGTATCGTACTTTGATCAAATTTGATCAAATTGGGTTGAGACAATCCTGTGAGAGAGAAAGAAAGCCAACAAGAAACTCACAAATACTGGCCACCAGAGTCCAGGAGGAGTGTGCTCTTGTCCGTGATGCGCACATTGGTTTCTTCGGAGGAGCTGCCGTACAATTATTTGTTAATAATAATTAACATAATTCCCCAAGGAAAGGTACTGTACTTGAGTCTTCACCGTAGTTTTGCCTGTTACTAAACTACATTCGTTGGCATCCGTCGTGAAAAAACCTGAAGCTCAGGTTTGATATGGTTTATAGCTGGTGTAATAGCTGGGATAACTTGCGTAAACGAAAAGAAAAGAAAACCATCCCATCAGCTTATAGTGTGTTCACTGTTTTTGCTTTCATGCATATAGCATGGATAGTTAATGTCACGTCAAAAAGTTTTAATGAGAAAGCAATTATCACAAATGTAATACATGTCATTGTAATAAGACCAAACCTGTAGTGAATTACTGCTGCGTTTGCGCCGAACCCAGAAATGGTTCCAAAACTGAGTGTGTCAAACTCTTCGTCGTCTCTAAAACACAAAACGGGCATGGAAAATTGATGTGCTTCGATGTAACATAAGGCATGGTGTAGACTCGAGAAGTTTCCACTGTACCATAAGGACCCAGTTGTATATATCACTATTACATACAGTTCATCCTCATTGCTAAGTAATTTTAAGGAAATATGTGTTACAGATTAAGCCCATAGAAAGCCCTTTTACTTTAGGATTGGTGTGTGCTGTTTCATTCTGTGTTTGTAAAGGGGGTTAACTGCATAGGCCTATATCACGTACTCGTGTGCCGCACAAAATATCAATTTTAGGCATGAACTATCTGTTTGAACATGTACCTTATAATGGCGCAATAAATAAAGCGACTTACTTTCTGAATTCATACGCCATCCTTTCAACTTCCAATTCTGTCAATGTGTCTGATCCAATTGCTGGGTCCTGGCGTACATTTATACAAAAAAAATAACATTTTGGTATTTCTTTGGGGAGTAAAGTCGAAAAATTGGCTACAAGTGCTTTAGTAATAATGCATATCTAGACCATTCTTGCGCTGACTTTGGACAGCTAAGCAACAATAAAAAAGTAACTCGAAATTCAGAATTCGAATAGCGTAAATATAAGGACATTGTCGAAAAATAACCAGACCACCTCCGAAACGACTTAGGTAGAAAATTATCAAAACAATAAACGTGCTAGTAAACTCTTAGCAGATTAAACGGAACTTCTTCCTTTTTCCAAACGGATTTCTTAAACTACTGTGATATAATTTTGGAGTATACACCTCCGTATACTCAACTATTAAGCTCGCATAATGCATTTCTAATCAACTCACCTCCAAGGCTGAAAAGGTCTCTTGAAGCCAGCCTCCCAACTCTACGAGGGCCACAGAGTCTTTAAGCTGTTCAATTGAGGAATCAGTTATATTAATATTATTGTTGTTGGATTTTGTGCCTTGAGCACGTATCAGCGGTATAGGCTGGTGCCGTCCTGGCGGCCAGCACCGTCGAATAATATAGTAGAACAACCATAAACCAGCAGATGGGATATATCGACCTAAATAAAAAGTTTGCATCTTATCTGCATTATAAACACTCCATTGATCAGCTGTCTACGTCCTGTTGGACATCACACACGAGGCGACCAAACAGACAATCCAAACCTTCACTGTCTGTCATCGACAAAGTTATCACCAGTACTACAGTCTCCGTCATCAGGTAGACTTACGTGAGCTCGTTTCATGCCCTCAATTTCCTTCTCACTTTTCATGGCTTTCATTAAGAGGATCGGGGATTGAGACATAATCTGCTTTTCCTGGGTGCAAAATCAACCAAAGTAAAAATGTAAAAATTTAGCATGAGCACTGGATGATAACCATTAGCTTGTCGATATTTCCGTTATTTTTCGAATCGTTTGAAATGTGAATAAAATCGAAAGCAATCTGTTCCTTCGATGATCTGAAGAGCGAACATTCAATGCATTCCACTACACTTGGGATTTATAATGAACGATTTCCATGTGAGTAATTTTGTATACCCAAGGCAATGACCATCTCGTAGCTTATACTCGGGTATCTGTTTTAAAAACCCAAAGTAACCCATGAAGGCCCGAGTTGATTCAATTAAAGAGACCCTACTAATTTGGTCAAATGTTCAATCAAGAATGGCTAAAAAATTAAAGAAGTTGATTTTTTGGGATAAAATTTCTTCATGTTTTCAAGAGTCTGGGCTGTTTAATAGCAATAGTGTTCTTCCGCAGGGAAGCCTTATTTTTAAGGATTCTGTTTGTCATTTTTGCCCTAGATGAGGAGTGGAGGCTTAACAACCTACTAGTTACCTCTGGTACTCGTTCATAAATGGCGTAGCTAGCAAGGTCGCTGAACCATATCTTCTTGATGCTATCTGAATCGCCCAAGACTTTTAGATCCGGAAGGAACTGGCTGTAGTCCAGAAACTGGGTACATTCTGGTAAAAGGTCATATGCAATCTGATCCTTAAAAATCATTTAAAGTAGGAACTGTATTCTTGGCCAATATCTAGACACCACCATTAAACACAACTGCTTGAGAAAGGATACAGAGCCAGATTTGAAATTTGTAACGATGGTAAAACTCCACCTGAGTCAGTCGATTTTCTATGCTTCAATTAAAAAAGGATGCGGTGTTCACGTCTTTTCAGTTCTTTCGTATGACAGTTGTAAGGCGAGCTACTTGACGCGTGCATCTTGTGTGAATTAGTACATTAAGGAAAGTAGAGTTGAAGGAGAGAAATTAGAGGAGGTTGTGCGGAGTTGCATCCCGGGACTTCTAAATAAGATGGCATAAGTGAAGCCTGGCAACATCAACAGTTTTTTTGTTATTTACCTGCTCCAGTACAGCCTGTAGCTTCCAGGTGATTCAAAACTTCTGAGGTAGCTCGCGTGTCTCGTCCATTTACGTACCATCTGTCGTAGAAAACGATTTAGTTGACATTTTGTTGGCAAAACAAATTCTATCAATAATCTTACTCTTGTTGACACGATTGTCAGGTCTTTATGGTACTAAATGTTTATAAAGAGTTTTTAAAGATCACGAATAGCCACAATGGATAACATTAAAGCTAATTTCCCACCTGCTTCTAATCATACAAGAGGCACAAGCGTAGAAAGAATTTACTTTGCAACAGCGGATACCAGCCAAAGTGAAACGCGATGTAATTACTTTGTTTCACCTACACGTGGAAAGCTATCTAAAATTGGCTGTTATTTTTATGAGGAATCATTTCAACTGTGGGCCAATTCGAAAGCGAACACTTACTTGATGGAGTCTTCCGTGATAATCAGATAGGATATGATCATGGGGTTATACGGTATATCTCTGCTCCTCATGTTGAACAGCCCTGAGAGGAATCACACAACAGCAAGTTGTAATTATTGTAGGTTGTGTAATTGTGGTTAGTGCCCCGAAACCTTTGCTGCTTTGAACATCGTTTTACTAGGCGCATTCTGTCTGAAATCATGCCTGCATATTGGTATAATATTGTTACGCAGGTTATCAGTTCGTGAAGCACAAAACATCTTTCGACAGTAGTCAAATCATTTGTACACATTGAGGTAAATTCGAACGTTCAGAGTCGTAAATGCTTTAAATAACGCCTTATTAACTCCCACCGTTTTTTGTGACGATGAACTCGATAATGGACCCAATCTCAACAAGAAAGTTACAAAGCCCGCCAAGCGAACTTGATTCAGTATATTACAATAAATGCAAGTCGATTCCATTCAGCTACTCACAGGCAGTTTCGTCCAAAGCACTAATCACAAGCACATCTGCTGCGTCCGGTTCCAGGTTTTTCATTTTAGCGCGAACATTTTCGTTCCCCGGGAGAGAAAAAATCTTCTGCTTCCACGTCTCTCCTATTTGTGAAAGGAGGGATCAATCAAAAGGTCGACTAGTTGTCGGGTGGTACATCAATAATAGAAAAAAATGAGGTTTAACAGGAAAACAATTCAAGATTAAGATTTGTAGATTTCCTTTCACAAAATCGAAAACTTTCCCCGGTGGAAATCATTTTACCGTACGAATTGGCAATTTTTTTGACATGGAGCCAATATATCAGCCATTCCTTTTCATGTAAAATAATAGTCTCTTATAGGTTAATAATAAGTCCTACTCATTATTGGCTTGTTTGTATTCCGGTTTTGAACATCTCTGGATAGTAAACCCAACTGTCTCTTGGGTGATGCTAAAAGAAGCGAAATTCTCTGGCATCCCTCGTGCTACACTTTAGGTGCATTTATTTCGTGACATTACCCGTATAGATGGTGGAGTCTAGGATCTTCAGAGGTTCAGTCGGGTAGCTTGGCTGTGGTACTTCGGTGTCTTGAGACCAAATTGTATCCACCAAATTGGTAGTCTCAGACACCATGAACAGTACTTTGTCCTTCTCAGCAGCAAATACACTAATGTAATTTACGTAATCAGCTGCGATTGGAACAAAAGACATCATATTATTCTTAGAGCCAAGGAACGCAATGAACAACAATGAAAGCAGGAATGCAAGTCGAAGGTATTACACCGAGCAGATGGATAAGACTGAAGACTAAACGCCACAGCTGCCAAAAAGTCACAGAGACTGTTCACAAGTTTATTTTCTTCCTTTTGAAAGACAGATTCAGAAATTTATCGAGAAACATAGGAAAGTTTGATTAAACGTTTTACAAATAACGGTCCAATTTACACATAGATTGTCGGGACTAAAATAAAAAAGAATTACGTACTTGCTGATATAACAGTAGGGTCAAATCCGATCCTGCTACCATTTGCCATGTTTTTGGCAATCCATTCATCAGGATTAGGAACATCAGTTAAGCCTGTCAATAAGAACAAACTTGGCGTAATACCGATGTGCTGAATTCTGACCACATTGCTTGCATGGATTTGGTTGATAATTTATTTGTATGCATGGAATACTGTTCCAGCATTTAAACTGAAAGACTGGGTTACTAAAGTGAGTGCAATCAATAATCATCACTGCTACAAGCTCTAGCAACGCTGCACTAATTAATGCCATTGTAATCGTGGAAATTTCCCTATCAACCACAAACCAAGATTGTCACTGTAGTCGTCATCGTATGCTGGACAGTGTGAAAATGATCAGTAATGAAAATTATCTTTATCACAGTCATAGATGCATTTTAGCAGACACCAAACCACAGCAGAAACCACTGTCGTCGTGATGGTTAGTCGAAGCATCGCGAACATCATCACCGTCACGAAAAACTCCGGCACCTAGCGTCCATCGCTGTTTTTTGACGTCTCAAGGATACTGTTGCTTTCAACTACTATTTTCTAACCTTGTTTCATAAGGTTCCAGTTGCAGTCCAGCTCTCTCTCTGCCTGCACAAAGTATCTCCCGTCTGTCCAAATATATGCACCGTTTGTTGCCGTCACTATCGCAAATCCTGCAGTAGGTGAAACAGTAATGACCATGCATCTATGTTCACTATTCATAAGAAGGCTTGACGGGAACATCTGGATGAAGCATTTGCTTAGTTTCAAAATGATGAGTCACCGTCGTACAAAAAGTTAGCATTATGAAAATACATTATAGCTTGCCATCTAAATAGATGAATGTTTAATGAGCCGATCCTTCTGCGTCCCAATCAGAAACAAAGCTCGCGAAACTGAACCACTTCCTCCCCTCCTTTCAAAAAAGATGGAGACAAATGCTACTACAATTTATAATAAAAAGTTAAAGTTTATCTAAGAAACACGAGTAGGTAACAATGCTGTAGATTAGTCGTCTAGAATATTTGTTTCACAGATAGAAAGGTTCTCCTCACCCGATAAGTCGACGACACAGACGTTTGAAAAGAAGCTTTAGCATATTGGGCCTGCAAAGAGATTGCAATGCAGCTTGTGTTGGCCAGAAAAGAGTTTTTCTTTTCTGTTTGATAAACAGCCTACCTGCAGATCCGCTTAGCCCAGATATGTACGTCCTGCGCTCATCATGCTCTGAAACATACTCACTCTGAAAAAGTATCATCGGTGGTTACTAATCAAACTCTCAATATATACATGTGTATACTTACAGTGTAAATTGAATCGAATTGGCTTTTGCATACACGTACATTTATTGCCTATTTGTTATCACGCATGGCCTTTGTTTCGAGGCAAACCCACACTTTTATGGACTTACATAATCTACCTCATTGGAGCTGATATAGTTTACATGGTCATGGAGCAACTTCTGACAAATTGAGAGGTATAAACCTTTCACGTCATCGATGGCTCCAAGTTAAATTCCCCCTTCTGTTCAATGACTGACTACATAGTACAGTTATTTTAAGCAGCACCCTCTTCCCATCAGTTTACCCCGTGGGCATCTTCCGACGGTACGAGGTAGGCATCGAAGTTGTACTTGGCCATCTCCACTCTCAGAGCAGCAAGGCGGGTCGTGGTGTCGACTACCGTGGGTGGATACACCTGTATTGGGTGTAATTGTAAATGAAACACGATATTCTAAAGGTGCTTTTCAATATGTACGTTTTAAAGGTTCGTTGCGCACAGGATGTGTTCACGCGCTTCACTTTCACGGACATAAAAATTCACTCCAGAAGGGTGGAATAAACCACTTTTTACCTGAAGGCGTAGCTAATAACTTCTGGTTGACTTTAGCTAAGTTAACACGCTTCCCGATCTGAATATCACATGTTCAGCGCAGCAGGGTCCAAGGTGTCATTTTACATCATACGAGTAATTTTAATGCGAATAAAGAACGAGGTGCCTTTCCATACGTACGTGTACTTTTTTGGCTACACAATGCGTTCGTGGGTTTCACTTTCAAGGACACAAAAGTCGACTCATTAACATAACACGCGCGTGCGTTGCATTCGACCGTCAGAATCACCCATCTAGCGATGTTGACGGACACGCAACGTTTTGTGCAAATGTTGACGCGCATGTGGAAAGGTGCCTTTAAACTGTTGATTGGTCGATAGCTGTCAGCTGACGCCATTGCATCGGGTAGGGCAGGGATGCTGATTGGTCACCGTATCAAGGTTGAGAGGTGACAGTGTTGCACAATTTAACCTAAACTACCTCTCAAAACAGCCTGCATGTTCAGTGGACTAAATTATTATCTATAGGTATCCACAACAAAACCCTAATTTTTAAAGTAATGGTAATCTTTCCAATTACCGGTGTGGGGGAGTCACAGTCCTTTGTTTCATCAGCTCTTGTCTGCCGATGATTTGTTTGTCCAGAGAATGGTGCCAAATACTGATCTATCTCCTTCCCAGTCATAGATATCGGACTGCTCATCACCATTACACATCCTGCTGAATTATAAATATACTTTTCCTGACAAAACCTCAAGGTAAAAGTTTTATTAATGGGACTTCAAATTGTACATCTTTTCCGTGTCAACGAAATACAGTGGTATATGATGGATGCACCCATTTATATATATAAAAACAGAGAGAACGAAAAATTTCAAGCAATGACAGGTTGAAAATGCAAGAAAGGTTGAAAAGAAAATTACGTCTACCACAAAAGACGTCTTTTCATGTTATGAAGTCATCAATCCTTGTATAATATTGCTCAAAAAACAACTTTAACATTTTAGTAGTTATGTGTAGAGAAATTCGTCTGTTTTACTCGAATATCAATGCACGTCCAGTTACCTTGAAAGTCCATGAATGCGACTTTTGTTGTAATAAGTAGTTTGGTTGTTTAAGATACACTCTACCAGGTCTAAATATATCAACGCGTTAGATCATTCAGTTCCCAAGTTCAAGCTGAAAAACATCTCCCTTATGCCTAATAACGATTGACTCACCTGTTAGTTGATATCTGAAAGCACGCAGATCTCCAGATCAAGATTTATGTAAGTGCGTGATTTCAAGTTGATATTGCAAATTTTCTGGGAGATATTCCGATGTATAGATTTGCAGATTTTTTAAGCATTTAAAATGTACCGTACTTCATTAATCAAGGAAGAATTCTCTTCACTCTCTGCAAAATTGTTGCCCAGCTTAAAATTTGTTAAATCCCAAAGTATCAACTCCTTATCTGCTTGAGTTCATAGGATGCATACCACATCTGTCATAGGATGACAGATGTGTGAGTTATTTTTATCTATTGCTGCTTTTACGTTCAGACTTTGACCGGCATCTTACATAAATACGGTTTTTGCTATGCAAACATGCCTGTCGTACGGGCTTCTCTCTAAATGGCTCGTGTTATTTTGTAGAACATAGTCTATACTGGTGGAGTTTTGTACTTAAATGAATAGATCAGTCCAGAATATATTCAGATAACTGTGCAGCCAGAAAGAGAGGATTCGTTGTACGAAGTGCTTGTTCTACACATTCGACACAGCCCTCCCCCACCGCAACCGGTACAACGGCAGCTTATACCATTATAAATGGTTTCTTGAAAGTGCGTAATGAGAGTTCAAAGATACTCCTTTCTCTCTCCTCACACAACAGGAGAATTGGTGACAATTAGACGGGAACAAGGAAAATGGACGTAAAAAGAGAAAAGAAATGAATATCGCCAATTCCCTCGAGAACGTGTCTAAAGTGACTCGCCTCCAGTCATGGCCATTTTGTAAGAACCAGTCCCTCCAAACTCCCAGTAAACAGTAGCATCGACGAGTTACATAGCTCAACATGAGACAAATCCCATTTTTAATCAACATATCCCTTTTGGTCTTTAAACTGACTTTGTGGTGCCAACTTTCATGGAACTAACCTGTGAGCAGAAGCACGGATGCAAACGACCGCATACTTCCTGACGCCATCTTCAGTGTATGGCACAGAGTGGTACCTGTCCGAAAATGGTCACAAGCACGGCAAACAATGACATGTTTGTTTTTTGATATTCTTTGTACACCTTTGGTCAATACTTTTATCAGACATATAGATAGTGGGCCTGTTCGTAATGTGCGTCAATAGACAATTATACAATAGAAACCCGACGGGGTTTCGGCCTCAAAATATAATATAGTTGGGAAATGCGATTGGTTTAAGGACACGCGGAACGCCCAGTGGCGACTGCTGTCTAATCTCAAAAGGACTTTGACTTAATCGGGTCCTACTTAAAAAGTACTCTTGCTAACAAGGCGTAAAAAGCTTTTATTCGCTTTAGCAAATCAAACAAAACCTTCATTGTTTCCAAAACTGCAGTCCCACTTTACCCAAGATATAATATTCACAAATCTTACAGTTCCTTTCAAATTCAAACCATTTCTTCATTCCAATTAATTAATCACTTTGCGTTACTGTAAAAACTATCGACTACGCCGTAGATCATTCAGAATGAAAACGTTTACCGTTTAAAACACAAAAACCAAGCCAAGTACTTTTTAAAAAGTTATTTCAAAACTTGTGTATTAAAATATAAGCATTATGCATAAGGTTTTCTCAAAACGCCCGTTAATCAAAGAAATTAAAATGACCATCTTTCTATTTATGTTTTAAGGTGTCAAATTATACGGTAACATGTCAATAAGATGTTACTTGGCAACATCTATGGAGATTCACCATATTCAGCTTCATAAATGACAAGTAGATTGGATAAAAAATACACAGAATTTGTATTTTTTGTTTGCTTTCTGTCTTTTTTTAACGCCAAGAGAAAAGTGATGTTTGTATTTGATTTTATGATTCGACGTAGTTTTTCAGTTACGCTGTTGACGTCGAAGTGCCATGAAGAAGCATGGGAAATGCCTCACGATTAAAACACCTGTTGAAGTAATTTTTAATAATACTAAAATAAAAATTACAAGGTTAAAAGGGCAGGAAAAGTCACGCTTTAGACTCTAAAGTTTAATACACAGTGACCTATACACAGCGACCACTGCACAAAATACCAAGGACGAAGTTTGTCCATGCAAAAGTTGTGCAAATTTACAGATATTATATATGCTTGGTGTCTATAAATGTACAACTTGTATAGATTGCAATAGGTATAAATTGCTGAGGGTTAAAAAGCCCAAAAGGAACACTGTGTACATTAACACATATCATTTACACAATGCTTTGAACAGATGACCTTGACATCCTTTGCTATAAACTATTTACGTCTGAATACATTAACCTCTCAAAATTACACCAGAAGTAGAAGTGGCATGTCACTTTTATTTCAACAAATTTCGTCTAGCAGTGTGGAAAATTACCATCGACCCTTCGCAAAAAATAACATGTGCAAGAAAGTAATACAGCTAATAGCCGACAATATTACATAAAGCGTAGGGGCCTATTAAAATTAAGTGGCGTGATATATACTTTTGTATGGGAAACGAGCCTAGAACACACTCAGGCCGGATAGAGCCAGGGTGTGAGGCAAATCAAAGCCAATAGCACTGTTCAACAATATAGGATCACTGCTGTTGACAACGTTCTTGCTGCTGAATATAATAGTAGAATTCTGTATTCTGTCGGTGGCTCACAGTTTTAGTAGTAAAATCCGTCATTAAAGCGTTCCTGGTCCATTTTCCGCAGCTGTGAGGGTAAATGAAAATAGTTACAAAACGTATTTATCCTGAAATGCTAATTTTTGGACAACTGTGTAGTGGTTTGAAGTATCAGAAGAGAATGATAGTGTTAAAATCTTTGGAAACTGGGGATAATGTTTATACAACCAAGTGCAGTCATTTATGAGGTGCATGCGTCAGTTAGTATTGAACTGGGCCTGGTACTTAACTCCTTTTAATTCAATCCAAATTCCCATGAGCCATGTATCAGTAAAGGCGTGAAAATAGCTTTATCTACTAGTGCGGGAGAAAACCACTTACTCAGTCGATTAAACCATCTAAAGATACATGCCCAGGGCGAATCACTTTTTTCTTTCCTTCCATTGTTTAAATGACTTGAGTTTTTTTGACTAGAGGATAATTTATTATCAGATGGTCAATCGACCATTCTTTAACGTTACTAAGTCTGGAAGATTACGTCAACTTCAGCTTAAACAAAATTGCTTTCGCATATTGTTATCTCGTGTTTTGACAATTTTAATTGATAGCGTGTCTTGTTTCTATAACGTTGGTTTAATTTTTCTATTTTAAAATTAATATTATGTGCTTTCAAATTGTAAATTTTGGGGTTTTTTTATATGTATAATGTAAACCGAGCGAGAAGGCTTCATGCTGCCTGATGAATAAATTATTAGTTATTAAAATGCATCTGATAATGTACCCGATAGTAGTTCCTATTTGGCAGAGAGAACAACGGGCGATCGCGATGGGGTCTGGAATCCCGTCTGGGCAATCGTCTAGCTAGACAAATGTTGCGAAATACCAAGCAAGTACCGATGACGAACAGTACCAAGACGCCAACGACAACCGCAATGGCAATTACTCCGCCATTACCACCTGCCATTGAAAAGGGATTAATAACTGATTTAAAAAGGAAGTTATCAACACGAGGTAAATAGGAAGTTCAGGGATATTTGAGCAGAAATCTGGATATGTAACATTGCCAATTTTTCTACCCTTTTCCGAGTAATGACGATAATTTATTTGAATCAAAATGACACCGTTGTTGGGCAGCAAAAAGTCAGGGTAGACCCGGAGTCCGGGTTCTATTCGAAAAGTCATTTTTAGGGCACATCTCTTGGTATAATATTAACGACACCTTTAGCAAAGTGCACAAGTCCAAATAACCAAATTCAAAATAACTCTGAAACTAGTCAGAAAGTGTGATTGTCAGGTTACATTTGGCATTACGTTTGTGCAGATCAAACTTACATAATTCTAGGTTGGAATGAACTTAACATGGGTGCTGTAAGACCTAGAAATGGGATTTTCCAACTAAAACAGATGGTCGCCGGAACACAGAGAAGAGCAATTCGGATTTGTAAATGGGCCATTTTCGCACGGAAATCTTCGCCCAATTGACCCACTGGAAATAAAAGTAAGATTTTGCTGGACCTATGATCTACTGTGATGGTAATGAGTGCATAGAGTTGTCATGATGATATACCTATATAAGATAAACTAGACCAGTATGCAGCGTTCGCACGTGCGCTTGCACGTGGTCGAAGCTGCCCGTGGGAACATTATATGCGATCATTATGGCCAAGGCGGTCCACACGTGGTGGCATAGTTTACATTAAGTTACGGGGGATAAAAAGGACTACGGTAAGTTCGTTTATATATAATCATCATTTCTTACACCTAATCGGTTCACTTCGGATTGTCATTTTGATGTTTGGAGTAATTAAACCACATTAGCAACAACAGAAATGTGGACTTCTGGCTGGTAACTATAAACAGTTAATTAATTTAAACCACAAACTTGGTCGTTGCAATTTGGGACAGGTGCAGTTTTCAACACTAACCTAAGTGGGTGTCTGTTTTCTAAACAATGCAATAAATGTTGGCGGTGTTCCTTTGATATTAACAAAAAACTATGCAGCTGTTGAAGCGAAAAATAAAGACTTAGTATTCACTCCACAATTCTTCCTCTTGTTTGCCTGCTACCTACCTAATAACGTCACGGTATATTCTGTTTTCGAAGGCCAAAAGGCCGAAGAGTGGCTTTTGTCATCAGTTTGCTTATAAATATAAATATAGACAGCCAAACTTGCGGAGCTATCAAAAAGGTTTTTCCAAGCGCCAGAAGTTTTGAGGATTTATGCGAGGCAGAACTATCTCATCTAGTATTTAGTTTTATTTATTTAAAAGGTAACTAAAACTAGGTGTTTGAATAGGCTTTATAGGTTTTAAAGGTGCAATCTCTGAACATTGGAGAAAAAGCATTTCCTGCTCTAAGGGAATTTTTGGCGATGTTTTTGGCGCTCCTGACGGATTGTAAAGTAGGCTACCTTTCAGAATTTAATTTTTAAAAGGTCAACTGGAACTGAAGTCCGTCTAAAATGAATCTTTGCTCATAAAATGAATCCTTGAGGGATAAATTTAAAGAATACCAAAGACTTCGTGGAATCAAAGTAATAGTGTGTAACTCGGGGCTCAAAACCTGATACTTCACCATTCAACATTGCACTTCGTATTTCATATAGAACGAAATGAATTTTCAGCAAATAGATATAATATGTATGGGTGTAATGTTCTACTTAGTGTCGTATAAAGGTATCGTATTCAACTGGTTATAAATGGCAATACGCACTTGACTTTATCTTGTATAGAGACTGCATTTCTTAAACAAACTGAAGAGCCTGTAATAAAATAGCATTCGTGAATATTTAAGACAGTCAACCCTATTTTATTGTTTTAAGCTGTTTCACTCAACTAAACAGCGCTCAGTGTTGAATGAGCCGTGTTTGAATTTGACGAAAATGCATGAAAAGGGTCGAGGTAAAAGACACGCGGTCTTTCTCATTTACACTTCTCGGGGATTCGAGGAAGGAGAAAGGGCAGAACTGAAGTGCAAACAAACTTTATTTGAAAAGAAATCAAGAGGAACAGAAGACCAAGAACTGTCCCGTACTTCACCAAGTCATACTTCATTATATGACCTCCCTAACATAACCTACCGAGCGCCACTCCGCCATGGTACAAGTTCAATTTCATCAAGGATCAAGAAACAGGGACACAGCTTTCGTTTCTGAACGCTCGCAATTTTTCACGCATTCTAGTCCTATTCCAATCTACGCATTATTCCAGGACGAAGTTCCAACAACAGAGAATACATAATCCCAAGCCCGTGGTTTTTCTGAAGTAAATAGACAGTTGTTCAGTGACAGGTTCAACATTCTTTTACCGAAGGCTCAGGCTCATTAATGTATTTTAGACGTATGACTGTTCGGTATTCCAGCAGCGCATGCCCAAAGTGGAGCATGTCAGAGGTCATTCGGGGACAGCAACAGGGCATGAAAGCTGAAATGCCGCTTCTGGAACCCTGAAATCAACCTGTAAGACTTGATTTAGCGATTAGTTCTCTTTCATTTACCTCATTATAAAAAAAATCCCCTCAAAAAAGGCCTTTGTGAAATAGATACTGACATTAAAATTTTTAGAAACTGAAAGAAAAATATCATGCCAAAAACCGACCCTTGGTTCGGAATATCTCTAATAGACGATGGTTGGTACAACTTGGTGTACTTGCGTGCCGAAGGAAATTTATTTTGGAATTATTTAATGGTGGTCTTATACGTAAAAACTAAGACAAAAAGGACACCAAAATAAGTAATAACCATAAATGATAATTTATGAAATAAACTTCAAATTCTAAGGTCTTATTTGACATTTGTTGACAAGAAATTTATCAAGTGATCCCGACTAAGAAGTTATAAATTAAACTGCATGTAAAAAAAACCCTAAAACGTTATGCGGTCTCTTTCTTGTGAAAACAAACGTGGATGAATGAGGAGACCTAAGAACGATTAATGCTGTAGGGGGAATGTTGCATCAGTGAAATTTGTTGTATATATCTCAGTGTGACTTTTCAACAATATAATTTGAAGAACACAAAGATGAATCCCACATGAGTGCTACTTGGGGTGGTTTCAAGTAGAGATTAGACTATGAAAATTGTAGAACGTGACAAGGCGGTGGCATGTAAGATTCCCATAGGCGGGCGGCGCGAGGGTTCTGGAAGTAGCCTCGGTCTTGACCTTTTGTAAGACAACTCTGCGCGCGCATCAGTTCAGCTCTGTCAGGGGCGCGTTTTCGCCTACGCAATCTGAAAAATGTTCATGCTTTGGTCATTGATTGGGCGTTTTTGCGACTTTGTTTAAGCCCAAGTGTCATCATGGTTCTGACAAAACGAGAACCGGAAGCTGGAGTTGGTTAAGCACGTACCAGTTCCCATTGGCAGAAAATAAGCATTTTTCCCGTTTTCAACGAAAGTGCATTGTGTATCCTCCAATTTGTTGCAGGCAGCGATTCAAAACGAGTACCGGAAAGTGAAAAGCGAGAACAGCTGTTCTGAGAAACCTCCCGACTACTGAGTGAAAACGACGCCTGATGACCACGTCGTCTGCTGACCTTTTTGACTCGTTGCTGGCTTGTAAATTTTGTCTCTACAACCGATATTAATCTACATGTTCCTGGTTAGGCCTATACTGTATACTATATATGCATAATTGCTGGTTAGGTTAAAAACAAAACACTACCTGCCCATATGACTTCGCCTTTTGAACTTAATCGTATAGTATTAGCATGCAACCAGGCCCCTGTATATAGTCAGGGGATCACCTTCGCTCCCCTGGGAATAGTTACGCGTTGTATGCCACGGGGAGTAATATTGCAAAGCTCGATTTCCTGATCTTCGTATAGGCCTACATTTTAGCAATTCTGCAATGCCCCCTTGTTGGTGGGGCTTAAAACAGGATCTGGGAGTAAAAAAAACTTAATTTTCATTACCATAGGCCTACCATAGGCCTATGTCAGAAATGAGAACCGAAATTGAAAAAGTAATAAAATAGGAACCAAAGTACTTAATTTATATGCTTTTAAGCTTCTACCAAAAAATCATTCGGAAGAGAATAAAAAATTCACAGAGGTTTTGCAATATTCGTTTTGTACTAGTTGCGACCTATAGGCCTACCACTGCTCTTTTTCACGCTAGTTTCGGCATGCATCTTGTCAAAATTACTTTAATGCGTGGAGTAGGGTATAAACAAAAGCGCAGATGAAAAGATCCGCATCAGCATTTGTAAAATGAATCCTACCTTCGCAGCAAAACTAGCTAGCAAATCGAGTTGAAAACAGATGAAAAGGAATGCCGGTTCAGCAAACTGCTGTGCCTCTCTCTCAAGTTTGAAATCTGATTCACGTATCAATTTTTGCATCTAATGCAATGCAAACTGGCCATGACATCTAGTCCCTAGATGCTCGTTTTCTGGTTTACAATTACTTTTTAGGCAAATTGATAAACCTGTCCTATCCATACAAAATATTGTTCGCTGGAGTCACTCGCAACGTGCTGTTTGTCCACCCAGCTTTGCGAAAGCCAAAGTAGATTCACATTTGGACAATTAGATTTTTGTCTGCGATATCTTTGCCAATTTGGCTATTCCTAGGTTTGCTTTCAGTGAGAGAATGAAAGAAAATGCCAGTAGAATAATATATTTCCAAAAACCAGCCTTAGTATATATTCACCGTAGGTACGGGGGAGAAGGGGACAAAATCAAGGTCACAAGTCTGAGGGAAACCACACGTTACTCCGTAACGCTGCATTCGATTAGTTTCCACGAGCTGCTCCAGTTGAACGTCGTCCCAACCGTCTCGCTTTTTGACAAAGCACGCAGGGTCTAGTTGCTTTCTTTAAGCTTATCGAACATTGTACACAAAGCTATATACTGGAACATTATTATAATTACGAGCACAAAGGTAGCCTGATGACAAGTTGTTAGACGTGTATGCTCCGTCTGTCAGTTTGGCAGAAATTTAAAATCCCGATTCGAGTATACCCAACGCTAATAAACAAGGCGTTTGAAGCACATTGCCATGTTCGTAGCATCTAGATAATATATTATCGAATGACATGAGAGTCACGATACTTAGGCCCACATTGGTAACGCGTTCAAGTGAGCTCTTTTTCTTGCATAAATCAAATTGAAGGTTTCAGATTTGGGCATTAAATCAAATAACCTCTCAAATATTGATCTTTTCCGATCCCAGGAAACAGACTGAAAAAAGGTAGGCCTGTCCTTTAGGATTCCCTCCACGGTTAACCCCAATATTTATCCTTTTTTTTCACCACTGGGCCTAAACTACGCAAGCCCTATATACTGCTTGAATTAGTCACAATTCTACGAAGACAGTCTTGATTTCATTCTGTTCCTCTACCGGCATTGAAGTCCGATCAAGGAACCACATGGGACCCTCGGTCAACCTTCAGGTTTCTTCCCGATTGTACGCCGGGTACTGTGACTTCATCAGCAGGGTTATTCGCAAGTTCCCCAGACACACTGTACATTTAGCCCACAAGTCAATGGTCGGTAGTTCTGTTATGCAAATACCCTGAAGCGACATGAATCTCCTCATAAGTGTCGCTGGATCTTGCATAATGTAGCAAGGTATGAGACGGAGAGAACCCCCCTGCTTTGTGTTGGTCATTGTCTCGCAGGAATCTGGGGAATTCCTTTCATACATCTCGGGGGGGGGATGTGTTAAGTAACAATAGTCTGGAATGTGTTTAGGGATTGGACATGTTGGCGGGGGTACCCCCTCGGTCTCATTTCTTGCTGGGTATAGGATCTTGACTGATAATGTTTCCGAAAAAGAAATTGACAAACTTGACAAAGTCCCGCAGGTAGGCAGTAGTTTTGGGGGAAAAAGCATTTCTTTCAGTGTACACAGTAAAATGGACGCCCGTGAAGCTTAGACCGACCCTTCACGCACTCTGATCCCATTCACACTCGTGTCTATACATTCTTCCTGGGATAAGCCTATTGAGTCTTCAACGGGAGAAGTAAACGAGTTACAGTAAAATGCCCTTTTTTGTGCCCGAGTCTGTTTCTAAAGAAAATAGACATTGGTGGAATCGCCCGGGCAAATCCAAAGAGTACCAACAACGTTTTATTGCATAGTTCACCACAATCTTTGCAACCTAAAGTAAGTAATCAACAACATGGCTCTATCGGCCCATGGTGGGCATCGAGGACATGTACATGTAATAGGAGCTCTGGCCTTACCACATTTTTTCCCAGAACATTGAAAGTAACAATGAACGGGTGATTCTTCCAGTTCCAACATAATCCCAGAGCCGGCTCAGGGTCGTCTTTAGGTCCACTGAATCGGACAAGTTGCCTCCACCATCCATGCGAAGACACTTCAGGTGGGGTGCGGTGATTGCTAGCCTAATTCACAAATTGAAGGCAATGGCGTACACCTGGGACAAAGTTTAGGCCTACTCGCCTCGTGCTCGTTACAGCTGACGAGCTGGTTGTCCGACCATGAATATTTCTCCCTTGATGGTACATTGAACTCTAGGATTCTTATGCTCCGTAATCCCCGTGGTCTTCTGCGGGGAAAATATAGCACACTTGAACGTCTGCCGCCCTTCGGGCGAAGCCTCGCTTGATGGATCATGAAAAATCCCACTAATATTGCCTATTAAAGGCAAAATGACGTTGGTGAAAATGCAAGAGAACTTCCAAGAGTGGTGACCGAAACGGACGACCAGCAAGCCATTCGTGGTTCAGGCTATGAACCCTTCTTACAACTAATCATCCACATTTATGTCAAGTAAACTTCACTTATCACAGCGTTTGACATTTCCGGATTTATGTCTGGTTGCAATCAGCTCAATCTGGGTTAAATTCAGTCTTTTGTTTCGAATGGGCCAATTCCAGTACTGCTTATGGGTGAAAGATTGGGGTCTCTTGTGGTTTGACTTCCGCCAAATACAGGGTTTGAGTTGTCTTACTTCAGCTTCCTGGGTGTTCTCCTTGAGCATGCTTACTACAAATTTGGATTGGATTACCTACTAAATTGTATGTTTTTTATATGTGCTGGTACCACACCATGTTTGGGAAAGTGGTGGAGGTGGTATTGGATGGACTGTACATGTATATGAAATAATTGGAATCCAAATTGAATTACCTAAAGCAAACAGCTCACCCATATCTGGCTTTATACTTTGTCGCTCATGCTCAAAAGCATGAATAACACTACAGGACTGTGTGAATGTTGAGAGTGGAATGAGACTATGCCTTTTTATTATACATATTTAAATTGAATTCAATACATGAAGATAATACAATCATGGTACAAGTGATATCCACTCTTGATTTATGTGTACTTTCTCTATACATTGTATGGTACAGAAGTTGCTCACGGTTAACTACAGATTATTAACAATGCTTTCGCTCAGATTCATATCACCTCTGGTGTACGTAGGCCTAACTATGTAACAACCTGGTTTTTCTCACTTTCAGGTTCTGCATAATATAAACCCGTGGGGGCAAGACGTTTTAATCATATAAACTGACCTATATCATAATTTGATGACTCTTATAACGAACTATAGGTTCACTTTCTTTCCCCAGGTGCTTTTCAGGGATGCACCCACAACGTAACATGTCGTTGGTGAGATTTCATAGGCGAATGCATAAGTACGGCAGAAACTAGCGGTTTCCGGTCTAGTCAGCATTTTTATCTATACCAGGGCCAGGGAGTCTGGATTAATTTTAATTTAGTATCTTTCTCCTTCAGTTAAAAACGATGGAAGCGGGCAGTATGTGCGTATCGTAGGGCAACTGACTGCTGTTGAGAAAAACATGTTGTTGACTCTCCGTGAAACAAACGTCACACAATGCACGCGGCAAACATCGTGGGTTTCCCAAATGAGTCTAACTGTAGACTCGGCAGTAAGTGCAAGAAAGGTTCCAGATTAAATTGCCAAAGGGGTAAAGGCGCATTTTGGATGCACTCAAATTTCAAGCTGCACGATCTTCAATCTTTTGCTTCTGCGCAACACAAATGCACGTGTAAATTGGGTAAGCGGCTAGTACTGCACATGCGAAAATCACGTGGGAAAAAGAAGACAAAATTTGCACAAAAAATGAGCATGACCCGCTAAACTGTGCAAGAGCACAACTTAAGACCTTGTTTGCATGCACAAAATGTGTGAAAATAACAAAAGGAAACAAAACTGACAAGCAAGTAAGCAATACTTACCCAAAATAAAATTCTTTGAATGCATGCAATGGCAGAAAAGGGGGCATTTAAGCTGAATTGTAATGAAGCGGCTTTCCACCTACGAATGCCTCTTTGAACACTTTCAAATCTAAATACGCGTACATGTACTGTGATGAAACTGAGGCTGTTTGGTGTAAAACAACAAATGAAGCACGAAAGCCTACTTTGTATCTTCATGTGTTGAGCTACAATATGTAAAAGCAGACACAGTCAATTTATGGAAATTGGGACCGAATTCATGGATGCATGATGAAAGGTTAAATAACTTTAAGAGTATACTTCGATAAACTGACCACGCTAGGCGTAGACAATTTTGAGTTGTCCACATATTTACAAATACTGGCCAAATAAAAGTAAGTGTTCAACAAGGTGTCCACTTTGTATCCTTGGAACACCCCCCCCACTTACGCAAACAAATTTTAATATGAAACTATAATTGTCAATTTATTACTTCTCGCCGCGAATATCCCTCCTTTGACTTACTGTCCCATAGACTTTTTTCTATTTTATTTGATGTATGTCCCAGCTTGCTCTTTAGAAGTACCCCAGCCTCTCTTTTTCCAAACTTGCTAAACAGGTTTTTCGAACCCAGACAACTCTATCTCGATGGTATGAACATTGAACATCCGGCTTGCATTTGATGAAGTGACACCTGCTCCCTATCCTCTTCACAAAATGCAGGTGTGGTTCACGTAAATAAAATATTTCACATTATGAAGCTTATAGCAACGTGAAGTAACATCGGTAAATCTCCCATCCAAAATATATAGGTCAAAAAAGCTCAAAAACTTGACAACCCAAAATTTTGAATAAACTGGAATTTTTAGAACAATTCTCCACAAAAAAAATCAACAAAAGACAATTCACGGCCGTCTCAGGCTTCAACTGTTTTTTAACTAGCTGACTTTGAAGATGCAAGTGCAGTAATTAGTCTAATATGCCACAAAACATCAAATAAGATGCAAGAGAGCCAAAAATAACAGTAATCCAATTTAATTTTAACGCTTCAGGCCCAAAATTGGGTATTGGTTTTGGGAAAGAAGCCTGAGACGGAGACGAAGTTGAGTACTGGGAAACAGCCCATAATACGGGAGTTTCACAACAGTGCGCCTCCAAGATAGTCTGCAACGCGTTGGCCAATCACAACGAGCGAAATCTGTCGACCCTTCCCAAACGTGCATTGGGTCTTGTGATTGGTCAACGAGTTGCAAACTCTTGGAGGCACCCTATTGTGAATCGTCCATATTATTCAACAAAATTAAAGAAACTGTTTATACATTGTAAATAAAAAATTGGGAAATAATAATGAACATTCAATTTTAAAAAGTGATTTAAAGTCATGTTAACAAAAATTTAGGATACATTCGGAAATTCATCGTGCTAAAACAATTAATGAATCCCAACATTAAAGTATGTGAAGCCAACAACAGAATGGGAAACATTTGAACTACTCGTAGTACTTGTCAATGAGGGCGCTATCAATCAATCCTGTTTTGCATAATTCAGCTGAATTTCCATCTGTAGATACGTTTACTTTTTTATAAGCAATTAAAGCATTTTTGGAGGGGTAATTTTTGAATACTTAACTTCACAAGGGAGTATATACTTTAATTAACAACACAAATGTGAAGAAAGTGAAAGCAAACAAGAAAATGAGTTGGTCTGCCAACACCACTGGACATAAAAAACCCAAATAAAATTTGGACGTCAGTTACTGGCAAGAGATCAGAAAATCGCAGTGAAACTGAAACCACTGAAGATTTGTATTGCCCCGCTTCTGTAGAAAATGCTTTTTTTCTCCTCCTACTTTGGTTTTTAATTTCAATATTTGAACTGCATGATGTACAAGGTTTATTAAAATAAATATCTTCACAACTGTCAAGTGCGCGTATTCAAAGATGACAATATAATGCACATTGCATAATCAATTCAGGCCTTAAGACCAATTAATAATCAATTCAGGCCGTAAGTTGCAGTGAATGTAACTGTTTTATCGTGTTTTAAACTGGAACTTCAAACAAGCAAATGATCCCAGGCAGGGAGCTGTATCCTATGATTCTCTTACCGACTCCTATATTACCCCCATTACTATGGGAACTGCCCGAATCAATGGTACTCCCTGTAAGAAGGCAACTGGTTGCTAGCATTGCCAATTTCCTTGGACACGCCACTGCAACCTCATTGGCTGCCTCCTCACCCTCCCTTACAACTCCTTGGTTATCTTTTCAGTCAAAAGGTGGGTAGAAAAGATATCCCCACAGCGTATGACACCTAGTTGCCATGGTGACCCCACCGGACGGCATAGTGAACTTTGTCTTGACAGCGGGCAGGCACCCTTGAATAACTTGGACCAACAAGACCTGCAGCAGGTAGCTGATTCACTCACAAATAATCTTCAAGGGGAAATCTGTAGCATGGTGCCATTGTGCTTGTATAACACCGCTATTGGATCAATGTACCCACAAAAATTCAGAAGCTTACGCGCAAGTGACCAAGAAAGTCAGTGGCAACAAATTGCGGTAAGTCTTCAGAAAGACCACTTTCTCCTATTCTCAGACTTTTGTCTCCTAGCAGCCCTTGTTACTCTGAGGCCAGTGCATGTCCGGTGGGCCTCGCAACTGTTACCTGACTTATCTAAGCCCATCATTATAAAGATGAAAAAAAAGTGCAAAAAAGTTAAAACAAAATAGAAAATGTGTACTTCAGTAATAATAAACAAAGGGATAAATACAAAAATGAAAAAAATGAGATATCAGAGAGGAATAAATGCAACAAGAAAAACTTAACAATAATAGTGGCTAAAGTCACCAACAGAACGACTCGATTTTCATTGCCTTCCACCACAGCTACTTGTACCAACCAGGAAAGCGAAAGATAACATGATGAATTAATATGAAACGGAACAAATATGTCTGAAAAAGAAAAGGAGTTTCACATAACCTCAGGCGAAATGGCTCCCCGAAACAGGCTGCTAAAGGTGAATTCACTGCATACAACCAACAATTGGTTTTTGTGGAGTGTGTTTGGAACCTCATGGCAAAGTCTGGGCACACACCTCTCTTTCATGCAAGTGACTTCACTTAACTGGAGTAAGACACATTGTTCTCTTATTAAAAACTGTTCTCTGCACCATATGGGTCCTCAAGGTGTTTCGGCATTTAGTATAACCAACAAACAGAGTATCCCATTTGTATATGTCCACTGACCCTTACTACCTGTGCATTTCGGTTGGGCACCTTTTTAAATCCTCCAAAATCCTCCATTGTGCAGAATCCCAGGACACATTCCTTACACTTTCAACAGCATCAAATCAGATACAATGGAATGCAACTGATTTTACTTTCCACAAAAATCCTAGAAAGTCTACAACTTCCAGTGGATTTTGCAGGGTCTGGGAGGTTCAGGGTTTTAGTAGATACAATCTGTGGTACAGGTGTTTTGCATTTAAAAATTGTGTAACATTTTTGGCAGTACAAGCAGAAGTAGGGAAGACAACGGATGTCGTCGTGCATTACTCACAGAACCGCACAGGCCAAACTCGGGAATGTTGGCATGGTCCCTCAACTCCGCACAGCCCTCGAACATAAAAACCAGCAAGCAACCTGGTCAGGGGCCCCCTACTCACACAGCGCCAGGCAGTGGCCGGCGCCAGACCCAATTAGTACTGGTTTCCCACCCACACGGGTGTCCACCTTCTTGGGTGTGTGGACATCAATGACCCGGGCGTCCCCGCACATGCCGTGCTCATTCCAGCCCCAGGCCAGCAGAACTTGGTCCTCTGAAACAGCAGGAAGAGCCAATGACAGGTGTCAACCGATGCAATCCTATAGGAATAGGGGCTTTGCATAGTAGCCATCTTGCAGGGCAGTTCTTTTGTTCTGTGGGAAAATGTGCATACCTTGTGGAACAATCGCACTGGCCTGTAAGATGGCAGCCATGCAAACCTTCTATTGGCTGCATGAAATGGTATGGGTCCAGCTGGAAATAACACACACACCTATGAAAAGCCACTAGCTATAAAGGTGCATGTGATTCTTAGCAAAATCATGTCAATTTAAACATGACCACTCTGTGTGGGCCATAATGGACTCTAAGTATAAATTGGAGAAGGCAATCCTTGGGCTGTGTCTGAAATGGGAAACATATACTGTTGAGTTCTTTGAGTGTAACGGTACCTGGGAACTACACAAGTGCATCATTAAAAAGCAATTGATCAGTGGTCGAACTATAGTTCGCACCTGAATCTACCCAAGGATTGAAACAAAGAATGATTCATGTAAACGACAACCAAAACAAGGCCCAAAGAGAGACATTGTGACAAACTGAATAGGCCCACCTGTTATAGCCAGGTTGTGTTCAGCCCCGCACACAATCTAAAAAGAAATGTACATGTCAAACACCTCTTAAATCATTATTTGACTATGTTTTCATGCCAAGATATCCCAGATATCAAGAAAAATTGGGTCAGGAAAACAATTCACTGTTTTGAAATGAATCAATTTCTATTAAACAATTTGCTGTTTGCACGAATAAACATGCAGAGCCTCGAACTGACAGCTTGTACAATCGCGTCGGAATTGCATTGTCCAATCGCATGGAATAACAACTAATGCAGCACATGCAAAATTACATAAGCAACATACACGCGAACAACTGAACCAGCAATATTTATTGTGTTTTAAGCTGCCAGATACAGGCTCTGTAAGCCTATGGCGGCAGCATGCAAAGAGGGAATAGGAGCAATTTAACATAATATCAGGTCACCACAGGCCCAGTCGGGTTTGGTTGGGAAGTTTGTATGGTTTAGTTGGGTTTGGTTTCGATTGGGTTGGTTTGGTTGGTTGGTTGAGTTTTGGGGGAAATGCCAACATTTTAATCCAAAACAGAATTCTTTTTACACGTACTTGGCACTTTTTACCTGTTTTTTATAAAATGCGTAAATTAGTTTGAAATTTCTTACAATTGGAAGTTTGAATCCCTTTCCAAATTTTTCAAACACGCACAAACGATGAATGAAAACAGATGACCAACTGTAGGACGGCAGGTCCAAGATTTCAAGAGCAGGTGGCTGAGTTGTTAATGATCAATTCAGCTTCCAAATGTCAGCATACCTGCCTACAGCCTTGGAGGACAGGCACCTCAACCGGGGTGCAGCTGTATCTGTTGGTACTCCTCTCCCCGTTGCCTTCACTGGTTCCCTCATCAGCCTCCTCCTCATCATCCCCATCATCAGGTTTCGCCGGGCAGCCCAGCTGGCCGTAGTCATTCCGTCCCCACGCGACTATGGTTCTGTCATCTGGAGAATGGCCCATGCATACATACTCTAAATCAATGCTTATCCCCAATACCTGAGCCAATAGCAATAAACCAGCTCCTTGTTCAAAGTCTTCCACTCCAAGCTACCAAATTCTATCAATCTTTCCACATAATGCAGTAAAGATGAGGCACTGAATACTTTACCGTGTTACAAAACATGAAGTAAACTATAAAGAAACTATGGGTATTTCCCTGGTAACTAACCAATATTACAGTGAGGAAAGCCTGTGAGAACAAAGAGAAAGTTCAGACAGGTTCAATTTGATGTCAAAAAATTCCAAAGTTTGAAAACATGAAAACTTCCTTTCAGCAAGTGAATGAAAACAACTGCAAAAGTGTAGGTATGAGCAGAGCAGCGAATACACAATGTGTACAGTCATTTCAACAAAGGGCCAGTTTACCCAGAACTGCAATCATGTGGGTCCATCCTGAGTGTATCCTCTGCACTGACCGCCCACCAAAGAACTCTCTGTCCAGGGCCTTAGGGAGGGGACTTGTGTCTGCCTTGGCAACACTCTCTGATGACGGTTCCTCACCCAGCTGCCCTCGTTTGTTCTCCCCCCACACGTAGATGATCCCTTCATCTGGGGAGAAACAGAGAATTACGTAATTGTGACAAGCATGATACATGCATGTATACACAGGTGCCTGTGATGAGACAGATCTGATGGACGCTCAAACAGACACTTAACTCTGAGCATACCTAGGTCCACACCAACAAGAAAACAAAACTTTGAGGAGTGCACACTCTGCAACACACAAGCTCAAACCAGATGGTTCATGCAGTCTTGCTCTGCTGTGATCACACAGCACTTTCCTGAGGCCAAACATTACCTATGAACAGAAAAGATCTTGCTTAGCAACAACCGGTTACCAGCCAAAATACATATCATGTATCACTTGTGACTGCTTCTCATCTGTATTATGCATAGTACATAATTCTGCTGAGTAATATCATCTGTCTTCTTCGGGCACATAGTCCAAATGTTAAAGGTGCAAAATCTCCAGCCCTATTAGGTAATTAAGCCACACACTGCCCTCAACAGAGCACGTATTTATCCAATGGCTACAGGATGACTCACCAGATAATGCCACACTGTGGTTGGCCCCAGCTGCAACTTGTATTATCTTGACCTTGTCCCCATCAAAGTTGACTGTGAAAAAAAATGGATACAGAGGACAAGTTACTCTTTTTAATTAAAGTGCCCATTTTGATTTTGCGCAACTTCTCATCCAAGTATGGGCTTACTGTACATGATGTACCAACTGTTGCAATTACTACCTTGTTCATCCCGTGAGTATATTGTGTGTACAATGACCTTGTAGTTGGATTGATCTGAAGTTAGCTTTGTAATGCTGCAACTTGACATAAGCTCCAACTCCAAATTCTCGACCCTACATGAGGAGGTTTTTGTGGGAATTTTGCACTGTTACAGGATTGAGTGAAGTGGAACGCAACTGCTTCCTATTTCTAGGGCAATTGGTTTGTCTTCAAATTAAAAGTACAAAGAATGTGCCATTGGTTTCTTGCACCGTGATCGATTTGGCAGATTCTGGAAGGTTCTTCAGAAGGCGGCCACAAGATTGAGGGTTCCATAGGAAATAAAGAATGAAACAATTAACCGAGCCAATTCCAAGCTCCGTACCTGGTTGTGGTTGCTCTGATTTTTCTGGCACTGCACGTGACTCCGCCCCTGCCTGGGCTCCTGCCTGGGCCTGTTGGTCAAACCGACCCAGCTGACCCTTGACCCCACTCCCCCAGGACCAGACGCGGCCGTCCTTGGTGACAGCCAGCGAGTGCCTCAGGCCAGCCGCAATGTCAATGACTGCGTGCCCTGACGGAAAGGCCTAACAACAAAAGAGTACATAGGCAATATGTACATGTAGCTGTAGTTATAGTGCAGTGGTGCAGCAGTTATTTCTGTCTGACTCGTGTGTGACTGTATGTGCGTTTGTACACCGTGCGTGAAACGGGGTTTACATGTCTCAGGTAACATACTTTACAACTGAAGCACAGGAAGGTGGAGGAAAAGTACACTAACTTTGAACTGCTGCTGTGTTCTCTTTTTGGGGATTTGCCATGTTCAAATGGGAATGGGACTTACCAAATGAGGCCCACAATTTCTTTACGGCAACATGCAATTGAGCTTGTCTTCTGACAAATGCCAAGATGCAATAAATGTTGCTCACTTGACTTATCTTCCGGAATTCTCTTCAGTCGCTTTGTTATGTTAACATTACACATACCATACTAAATCAAATAAAAGTTTCCTTTGTTGTTTTAATGTTAAAGTTTCGATGTGTTCTCATTCTAAAGTGTACAAGCCTGAATTATCAAAGAAAACCTACCGTAATTCTGGCAGGCCTCCTAGCTGTATGGGCAAGCTGGCCAAACATGTTAGACCCCCAAGAGAACAAATGTCCTTTATCTGCAACAAAAAGAAAGGAACAGCAAGGATGGATGAATGTGGGCTGTAACTGAACATCTCATACACTCAATGCCCGGCCAAAACTGGCAGGTGCCTCACTTCATTTACCCCATATGTACATGTACATGAATAACTTGACTGTCCAAAAATTGTGAATTAGAACTTCTGATGCCTCAAATCTGGTTGGCGTAGTGGTTCTTTCCTCGCCTTCTACCTCTGTAGTCTGGGTTCGATTCCTGCCTCGGTTGACATGTGGATTGGGTTTTCAGTCCCTGATTCCGTGGGTTTTGCCCAGAATATTCCTCTGGGGCTTTCCTCCCACCTGTAAAACTTTAACTACTTCTCTTCGTTTCCTCTCCACAGGTTTCTTCGGGCTTGTGAGCTACAGTGTCTTGGGTGCTTTTGAGGAATCTTTGGTGTCACTACCAGAACTGAATATTAATAATAATAATCTTTACTCCATTCTCATGAGGTCCAAGTAAATGATATTTCACTATGGGCGTTCATGGAACAGCAAACAGCTCAGCTTAACGAGTCAAACCTCAGTGAACTTAATTGACAAACCTGAAGCTCAAAACTTTACAGGTGTACATGTTGGCAAAGCTAAGATTTAGGAACTCTTATTGTTAGCTTCAACATCCACAAAAAGGATCTCTGCAATGAACTTTTACCTGTTATTGCTAGCGTGTGGTCCCAGCCACATGCGACCTTGGCAATGCATGGGAGCTCGGGCACCTCAACCAGCCGGTGCATGTTCTGTGTGTGGCCCAATCCCAGCTGGCCCTTAAAATTGCTACCACACATGAACACCTTGCCGCTCTCTGTTGGACAACACAAAAAGACAAAATCCCCCTAGAACAGATGACACAAAATTAGAAAGCAAAACCAAATCACAAACCTGCCCAAAATCCTCTCGGCGGTTTGGAAACTTTGGAGGATTTTGAAGGACTGAGGCTACAAATAAACACAGAAAACAATTTGTGGCTGCCAAGATCGTGGGCTGGACCTCGTGTTGATTACACCCAGCCATTCATAAATTTAGGCCCAGATTATTCTGAAATTTATCGGCTCTGCTTGCTGCCTCAACATACTGACACACCACTTGGAAGTTACACCTCCAAGGAACACATTGACATAATAATGGAGGATTTGTGCAGACTGAGGATGTATCCCAGCAAAAAGGCCCATGGAGTCTAGGGTGAACAAACTGACCCATTTAATGTCCTTCAAAATTCAACACCATTAATTGCAAAATTTTTATGGGCTTAGGACTGTATAGCCCAGCCAATATTTTTAAAGGTGTGGATAACCAAATCTGTGACTACAGTGCATACATGTACACTGTAGGTGAAAGTCTTCCTGCATATATGGTACCTGTCAATAAAGCAGTATGCCCTGCTCCGCCAGCGAGCAATTTGATCCCTTCTGGTGGATGGTCAACCACTTCTGGAATAAGGCAGTCTCGCGTGTGCCCCAATGCCAACTGCCCAAAACTATTGGCCCCCTGCAGACAGAATCAAGAGAGTCAGCTTCTGAAGGCATTCCTTCTGCCCCAACTATAGGACTGGTCCATAGTTTGCTTCAATATGGCCAGCCCATCTGTTGTATAGTGTGCCAGCACGTGCTTTCCTCTTTTTATGTTACATGTGTTATTGGCAACACTTGCTTGCACACTCTACATGTACATGTAGTTTTTGATTCCATGGAATACGCTTAGGATGGCATATTCTTGATGAATTTTGATGAACAACAAAAACCTCTCAAGAAAGTTGAGAAATCTTCAACAGGGGAAGTTTTCATGAGGCATTCATATACTCCTCTCAAGAACCATTTTCTCATGGGAAAGTAAATGGTGTATCCCAAGACAGTTGTGTACATGTAATACAAAACATGCAGTTGGGACCGTCCCAACAGTAATTGGGACATGTGCTATAGTTGGGCATAACACATTCACTATCACAAACGATCTATACACGGTGGAGCACAGGGAGGGTCATTGGGGATAAAATCTGGAATTGTCAACTTCTAAGACATGTAAAGAAAGATGTGCAATACAAAAAAACTGAACTGAACACCAAATATGGTTAAATCCCTTTACACGTATCATGTTTTTGTTGTAAATTTCAATGAAATATGAAAAGAGAGAACAATTATCACATCTGCAGGCCCCCTTTCTTATATTGTCTACTCAGTTATTATGGAATTACTTTTTCCTGATTGCCTTTTAGTTTTAGTTTACTTTGATAATTTATTTCCTAGTCAATGTGTTCATTTCTATTTAGTATCTGTATCAGTCCATTTGGTACAAAATCTCCCACCCCCCTCTTATCTGAAATTCCATTTACCACAAAACAATCTTTCACAACCAGCATGACCAGACAACTGCCATGACTATGGAGTGAGGACTACAAAACAGCAATTATGGTGACTGACTAACATTGATAACAGGGCTGATCCCCGATGGTAGATATGGTAGACACATGGTGGAGTCACTGTGGAATTAGGCTATAGATCTGATTATCAGCCATGTCAGTAAATCCGCCAATAAAATCTAATCTGGACCATCTCATACCTGGCCAGCATGCTCAGCACCCCAGGCACAATTTGTACCAGCGGGGTACGGTGAGACCAAAACAGTGGCATTTAATTGTGCCCAAAAATGATGATATGCGACCAAATGTTAATTCTTATCGCTATTAATGACCATGATTTGTGGCCAGTATTCGCCCACCTTGTCAATCATATTTCATGAAAGACCACGGCCCAGTTTTCTTCTACGTGCACCGTACCGAGTGATGTGTCTCTGATCATGCGTTTTTTTTCTCTGCTGTACTTTATACACGGCATGAGCCCATATTAAGCTGCAATGTAGCTTAATACATGTCGGTACATGTATATACACACACATACATGTACAGGTGTACGGGTACTAGGTACGCTAATTGACTGGTTCATGGTCACACGCTGTATAGAGTGTGTATGGGGAGCCAAGACATTCACGTATCATGCGTATTCAATAGATGCACTGGCAGTCTATACATGCCACAATTCCAGTGCAATAAAGTTGTTCCAGTCCTAAATGTAAGTTTTAAACCAAGGTTTCAAGCTTCCCTTGGTCCTGTCCGGTCCCAGGTATGAAAATTTGAAATACTCAAAAGAACAAACATGCCTTGTCTTTTCTTTCAGCTGTTTTTTTAACGAAGTGGCTATCATTACGGCAGTTGTAATGCATTTCTCATTTTCTATCGTTACAGCACTGAACTGCACAAGTGTGATGACATAGCTGATCATCACGATGGTTTATATATTTTAAAATTACCTGGATTGCTGAACGCTTGTGACCGAGTGGTCAATGTGGAAGGCTTGAAACCACTGGCGTGTGAGGACCATTTTTTTTTTGCCTAAATTTCATGTTTTATACCATAATCATTTTTTTTTGTTGGCTTCTTTGTATAGGTCTAAGCAGGAATCTTTTTTCTTTTCTTATCAAGGCTTTGGAGGATTTTATTTTTAATATATATTTTGTTGCCATTTTTTTTAATTTATTCCACAAGCACAAAATCCAAAGCCTGACTGTCCTGCGGATAATTGACCATGTTAACAAAACAATGTTTCTGTGTGTATTGTCAGCCTACATGTATAGGACAGTGATGTAGGCCTAACTTGTGTATTTGAGAATAGGCCTATGTATAAAATTGACCTGGTGCCTAATTTTTGGTTTCTAAGACCCAGTGGCTCCTCATTTTAATTCATTTTCTTTGTACAGCACTGATTCGTACCCAGGTAAATCAACTTAAGCCTAACTAAGGCTTGCACGGTCAACTCCCGTATCATGCCCGTCCAGCCAGCTCGTACCTCAGAACTTTGGTGTGGGGTTTATCGTCGGCTGTGCTCCCATGTGGGATCGGGAGCGCAGCGGACGACGAACCCCACACTAACGTTAAATCTGGGTCCAGGGTACAGCCTACGCTAGCTCATCGACCATGTCGACTGTTCCGTGTTTGACATGATCAATCAAATGTCAAGTAGGCCTAGCCTCAGCTGACCAGCTGACCAGCTGACTCAGCTAGCTCATGAAGCATGTGAAGTCTTTTCCATATTTAAACAGGACAATGCAGCCAAAATTAGTTCATCATACTTTTCAACAATTTCTGCAAATAGAAATGACATCAATTGAGAATGGAAATGTTCAAAGTGACTTCTAAACGTTCTAATATTAAAAACCAAAACAGACGTACCCAGGCCAACAGATTTCTACTGGAGGCAGCCATGTTGACATCCCACAGTGCTTTTCGGCACCAGTATGCAAATATTATGTGATCACATGACTATCACATCTCCCTATCGATCAAGCAATAAACTTTATTAGTTGCAATTTTCCAAAAATAAAACTTTAAATAAGGTTTCCATTGTTTAAGTCTTCCATAAAAACAAATATGGGTATTTCATGGATAAATTCTATGAAGAACCAATGAGAAATTGAAGTTTCATTTATTACACAAAATTTGAATATTCATAGCATGTTAATTTCAACGAGAACTGATTTTTCAGTGGAGGGGACTGCCCGTCTGCCTTTCTTCCTATTCGTTGGACGTGGACAGTACGCTCTCTACAGCCAATCAAAAACTCCAGGTGCACCTGTAAGTCTTAGATTTCCTAAATCCGCGAAAACTATGGACCATATGCAGTCCAGTATGCCTTAGCGGTAGTTTTTATCAATTCCAGGGCATTTTTGGCCCGATTTGATCGGGAATACCCTGCGAGATTGTTCGACGTTTGAACTGGGAGAGGTTTGCCCTTTGTGGCTTTTGCTGTCATGGCGTATGCGATTATCTTCATGTGGCGCGCTAAAGCTCGCCTCGTATTGTCGTGTGCTAGATTGTGTGCATGTACAGTACATGTACATGTACGTACACGTATAGTGCGCGGCTGTTCTGTGTGATAAATTGGTGTGCAGCAAACCAGCAATGCAGTGACCATTCATCCAGGAAATTTCAGAGAGATAAATAGTTCCTTCGTTATACTGCTGCTACGTGGTGCGTCTTTGGAAAGTTTTGTCAAATTGGACGAGCACAGTTTGACCCAGCATTCATTGTATTGCCCATTTAGATTTACTTTGCATGATGCAGCCCTTGCAAGCAGGCCTAGCATGCAAGCTGGTGGGTCCAGATGGATTTTGTTTGTTGTTTTGAATTGCTCTTATTTTTCTTGTTACAGTTGAACGTGAAACGAGTTTATAGAAAGAATGTTGCATACTACCTCCACTTTTTTAATCTTAGGCCTATAGTCCTGTATAATCTTGGGGCCATCATCTCATTCAAAGCAAGGTATGAATCTGGTGCTGAGAAAACTTTCCAGTTTTGTTTGGAAATTTTTGACTCTTTATAGGCTTTGTCCATAACGCTGGCGTGGGGGTCAGGATGCAACATTCTTTCCTAGTTTTGTTGAGTTCATTTACATTGTTAGTGATTGAAAATAGAAGAATCATGTAAAATCTAGTCAGTTTCCCTATATGATTGTTTTCATAAAATTTGAGAAGACTCAAAAGTCCCAAAGTGAGGAGGCCCTAATAGTCGAATTAGAAATGTTGCAAGCACTGCTGAATAGGCAGTGAATATTGGATCACAAACCGGTCCTATTGTGCTTTCCTCTTGTACTGGCATAGTAACTGAACACGCTCAGTAAGTGGTTTGAGGACTAAGAAGTTTTACTGAGACAAATCTTCTGGGTGCATGTAACTTCCGGATTATGCTTGCATTGTAATTTTACATTCATATTCACAGGATGGAATTTGAACCTCATGCATTTTGGGCTGTCTTTCCCTCTGAAAATATCTTCCAGAGCCACGAATCACAAAAAGAAAAGTGCTAAATTTGGCTCTTTAGTGATGTCCCTAGATGGAACTCTTTCTGTGACATATCTTGCAATGGATTTGATTTAAAACAATAAAAGGAAGATATTGCAACTGTTTGGAGTAGGAAAACCTCAAAATGTGCTGTAATTCAGACTAAAGCCTGGTTTCCATATGGTCATTTGTGATGCAGATGTTCTTCAAGACGTGAAGATGCAGACAGTAACGGAAGAGACTCTGTCATTCCACCCAAAAAAGTTAAACAAAATGGCGTGCGAAAGTCGGAAAATTTTCACAAAATATGCCTTCTTTAGGTGACAATGTTGCCAAAGCCAAACTGATACTTCAGTGCGATGTACTTTGTTAATGGTCACCGACATGTATTTTGTTGATGATTTGGGCTACAGATCCTAGTAATAAGGAGAAAATGGATAAAATGAGTGTTACTAAGTGAGAGAAACATAGCTGTATGCCCGTCATGCCAGCGTGCGTGTGTGTATAGGCCTACTCACTGACTTGATGCAGACAGTCAGCAAAGTTGAACTGGGCTCAACTTTACCGACCCATCTGGGGCTGGTTTGCCTTTGTGGCGACACTTCTGTTTGACGTAATTCCATTTGTCTGCGTTGCAGTTTGCATCTTGATTACGTTGCTCTCTGCATTTCTCACGTTGGTATAGAAACCAGGCTTAACGCTGTCGTATCCTGATAGGGCTGTGCTGAACATCTAAATAACCGAATAGTAGATCGATGACGTGCAGCTGGTTCATGGCAAAACATGTACTTTGCTTAGAAATAAATACACTATGTTTACTAATGCGTCTTTTTTTTGGCTACTTCAGGAAGAGTGTTCTTGTGAAATTTCTGTGTGGAATCGGCCGTCGGTTTCTGTCAGACAAACACAGAGCAAATGTCCACCGTGCAGAACATTACAACCCAGGCACAGCCTGTGCAGATCCAAGTGGCCCAGTCGGGACAGCAACAGGTGAATTTTACACTTTTGTAATCGTAGCTCTTGGGTTGATGCAGTGACTTATATGTATCCTAGCCTTTGGTTGGGGGGGGGTTTGATGTTGTTTTTAAATATGAGAGTCTAGTACTTTTCTTCCATAAAAATCTGTACCCCTTCCCGGAAAGGTAGTACATGTTGAACCACTCTAACATGGGTGGTGATCCCGAAAGGATAGAGGGAATATCCCACCCACTTGTTGACCTGGGGGAATTACTGTTATAATCATCGCCCCCCCCTCCACTTTTATAGTCACTGACTATATGCGCACCTGTTGATCGCACCAGCAATCTGCACTTGCTGGTGTCACGATCTTACCTGGGATGGAGGCTGTGCTGAGCTTTCAGAAATCACTTCCTCCCCACATGTGACAAGAATTCAATTCTCCGCCCATGGTTTCTAAAATGCTGCCACTTTCAATTGCTTGAAAAAGATCTCGAAATATAATGAGTGATTCACAATACTTGCCCTCCCCCCCATCAGTGACTTATTTTGTTACTCTGTGTGTTCTTCCACCCAGCAGCCACAAGTTGTTCAGGTTGGGGGCACCGGGCAGATCATGGCCTCTGGCCAGCCAATCACCATCCAGCTAGCAGGTGGCCAAGGGGGCACCGTCCAGCTTCAGCAGGTCGGGCAGATGCTGCAGGTGACCGGTCAAAATGGCCAAGTACAGCAGGTATGTTGTATACTGTGGGTGTGGCTATCCACTGTAGTAACTCAGGGGGAAAACTTGAAGCCATTGCCACACGTGTACAGGTATATTGCCCAATAAGGACACAGCCTAAGATTAGGGGATTACACCGCAGTTGTAGTGAATTGCCTGTGTTGAATCTAAGTCTGAGTCTCAAGTTAATCATATTCTGAGTAGTATGGGTCAGATTCCATCCATGAGTCACTTGTGCAAGTTTTTTCATTGGTAATACAAGCTCAGATAAAATGAGTGTCTGGTTAAGATGAGCAGATTTCGCCACTCCTGACAAAAGTATATAGATTCCTGTGGGGAAAACATCTTAAATACGAGATTTTGATTAAGATGAGTGCTTTTTCCGGTCCAATCGAGAGGAGGTGTATTGTTATCTCTCTGTTTAGCACAAGAATTTTGAAAACAACTTGTCAATCTATGAACCCATTCATTGCAGGTGCTGTTGTACCAGGCGAGGTGATAATGTTCGCTAATCCACAGCTGTAGTTTTGGGGCATTTCAGATTCCCAAGCGATAAAAGGGTTTTCTTTGTGGGCGCTTTCATGCTGCCCAGTGAGAACGAACACAGCAGACAATGGGCGTTTGCAATTCCCAGATGGGCCGATCAGAATAAACTCATTACAAACTCCCCACCAAAACCTTAAAAATGGAATAGAAAAATGCCCCTACACAACTTACGTAAAATTCATTTCTCATTAAAGTCATTCTTCTCTTACCCATAAATGTCCTTTTGGAAGTCAAATTTACGAGTTCTAATTCCTCAAAGTTAAAAAACCCTTCATTTCCAACTAAAACCATATTATCCAGGCCCCGAACTACGCCCTTTATTGTCTACCAAAATTTCCTTCGCTTTGTTCATGTATCAAATAGCATCTGTTTAGTCAGCCAACTGAAATGTTAACATACTTACATCCGCGTTCTCTCACGACAGCGATCATTCCATGCAGGTTGCATCACTTTGACAATGATTAGGGTGATGAGTCCGCTTGTCCCGTTCTATTGCTTATTCCGCTTTGTTCTTCTCAATTACAGTATAGTACACGTTTCATTACAACTCTTTATTTAATCTACACGTATATTACACTTTCGTCAAGAGCATGTTCAAACTGTTGTGAAAGCAAATTCATTACCCTTCAATTGTAATACGATTGACAAACGACACATACAATTGGGAAAATACTTTTTGCCTAAGTCGAGTTTCCGGAAAATATAAGATAATTATTAAGTTCCGAGGCTGTCATTAACGAGAGTCGATTGTAATACTTTATTTGGTCAACCTTAACCCCTGGGTGCGGCTTACATTACATAGAACTCTGTTTGATTGGGCATTATTAGGGTTTAATGTAGACTACCCGATCACTGTGGATTGCAAAATGAATATCGTAAAACTTTTTGCAGAAATGTATCACACATTGTTACATGGCTACATTTCTTGATTTGTTCTTTTGTTTTGTGCAGATTCAACTTGTTCAGCAACCACAGCAGGTCCAGTTGCAACAACAACAGCAAGCGACAACGACCACCCAGCAGCAACCCCAGCAGCAACCGCAGCAACAGCCACAGCAGCAGCAAGCACAGCAGATCACCGTACAGCAGCAGCCCCAGTCACAGCCGATCATCTTGCAGGCTAGTCAGCAGCAGGTGGCAAGCCAGGGCGGAGGCCAAAGTCTTCAGGTCGGTTGCCGTCGAGATGATAAATCAATGTTGTGTAGTTGGTGTTAGAAGTCTAATGTGTCACAAGTCCTTTCAGAAGCCCAGTCACAAGTAACAGGTTGAACAGTGGCAAAGGAGCACTTTTCTTACAGTTCATAAACCTAGCTTTTAAATGGATTAATAGCTGGTGACGGTCTTGTGACGGACTCGCAGGGACATGATGATGGGCAGGACTGCAACTCTGGCTGCACTAGACTTGACTGCATAATTTACACATGTCAGACTATTAAACTGCACTGTCCAGGACTGAAACTCTTGCTCAGCCTCGGACGTGCTTGATTTTGTCGTCACTTGTATTATATTTTGCTCAGGTTTATTTCTCAACAGAAGTAACAAACTGAAAAGTAACAAAGGTCAAACTCGATGGTTTATTCCAATCGCTTTAAAAAGAGTATCAATGATCCTTTGACACACGATGCAAAAATGACAAATTCCTACAAAGCTGTACATGTTTTGTGCCTTTAGTTGCAGCAGTTTGTCACCCCCGACGGCCAGACCATCCTTTACCAGCCGGTCACCAACACGGACAGCACGGTGGGTCTCCAGCAGACGAACCAAACTACAACTCAGAATGCTAACTCCATCATGACGGCCATGCCTGTCAACTCCGATGGAGGAATAGTCATGGTAGGTTTGTCCATGGCGAAATGAGTTTCTCGATAACTTGTTGTCAAGTGGAATATTGCGTGGCATCTTCTTTTTGTGTGCATTCTCACCATTCCATATTTAAATTTGACTTTCCCAGACTCGACATAAGAATATTGTTGCTCTTGTTACGATATGAGAAAGTTTTGTGCTCAACAAACCAGTTTACCTAGGAAATATTGTGCATTTTTGAATGTGCCTGTTCATTACATTCCAGATGGTTCCGGGAACTGGCGGGGTGTCAACTATGCAGAGAATACCCCTCCCGGGGGCCGAGCTTCTGGAGGAGGAGCCGCTGTATGTCAACGCCAAGCAGTACCACCGGATATTGAAGCGCAGGCAAGCGCGGGCCAAGCTGGAGGCAGAAGGGCGGATCCCAAAGGAGAGGAGGGTGGGTGTTCACATTCCTTGCTCCAAGCTTCATATAGACTAATTCGAGGAAAGCGTCATTACTTCAATGGCGTCACCCAAATTTTTTGCTAGTAATATCTTTTAATTCTTGATCATCAAATTTTTCTGGAAGACATTTCCAAAAGGGACCTTTTATCATTAAAGAATGCTACCTTTAGGTTTATGTGGGAGACTTATTGGCAAATATCCAATCCAAGCACAGCGTTACAGTGTTTAAGCTGGACATCAACCTTTACTCCTTGGAAATAGTTTCCGGGCATCTTTGAGAACTTGCCTTTATATCCGTCACTGTGCAGTAAAACCGTGTTACATTCTTTGTACTTGAACAAAGTTGGTAAGTTTGCTCTGTGTGAAGAGGCTAACATACCGTCTGAATACTTAAAAAAAGCTGCAGAACCAGGTAGCAGCTTTTACAGTTCCTGGTATCAGTTAGTTCCCAATTTTTGCCCTATTTGACTTTAAAAAATGGAGGGGTTCTCTTTGGAAATGACCAGCCCACAAAATAATGCTCAATTTTAACTTTCCCTCCATTCTTTTTGGGAAATTCTAGAAATACCTGCACGAGTCGAGACACACCCATGCCATGAACAGGGTGAGGGGAGACGGAGGCCGTTTCAATACCGGAAGTCGGGGGGTGGCGACCAACCAGTCCTCCTTGGAGGAATCCCCAACCATGGTGCCCAGGTCAAAGTTCCCGCAGGGGGAGAACGTGTCACAACAGCAACAGGTAGACCGCACATGGAGAGTTTTTTAAAGTCTGTTAATGCTTAGACTTCTTGACTTAAACTATAAAGGATGCTTTAATGCCTCGAACTGATGCCCCATGGGACCAGCACGTTGAAATGAATACATCCATCAGCACTTGCATAGCACATTGCATGCAAGGTCTTTGTATGAGTGCTTTGTGTACATTAGCAATGGTATTCAGTGGTCTACACAGCATTTTCCTTTGTAAACAGTTCGGTACTGACTCTCAGAGGCATTGTATTGCCAAAACTTGCAGGCACTGGAAACTAGTGTTGTAGTCGAGTACATATCCATGAGTGTGAATACTTCTGCATGAGTAAAAGTACCAGTACATCGTCAAGAATCCGAGTGTGGGAACCTAATGAATGTACTCAAGTACGAGTACATGCACGAGTACTACAACACTTCTGGAGACACATTTGAGAAATGTCTCAAAACTGAAGCATTTAACCTGAAACAAGGCATGTGAAAAGCATATATCACGCTTACTGAGAACAGAGCCCAAGAAAGTCACATGTTCCCACATGTGCTTGTCTAGCCGTAGTCAAAGTTACACCTTGAAGGAGAAGTTTTAGTATTTCCCTCTTAATTCCTCTTTGGATTCATAGCATTGCATGCATAAAGACACAGTGTGTGTAACTCACCGTTCCAGAGACTTTTCATATTGTCGAGCCAGGTTTGGTGTACTGTATCTAATATTCTTTGCATGTGTTTGGTCTTTCCAGTTTTCTGTCAACAACCAAGCTGGTAACTCTGACTCGGACAGCTCGCTCAACATCAACCTCGACATGCTGAGTGATTCCCCTCAAATCGGTGCCAACAACCAGTCGCTCCTCGAGCCGTCGCCCAATGTCACAACCAACGGGACGACAAACACCGTGTAGCTTTTTGATACATGTAAGATTTGTAAATATAAGGCAAGGAACGATAGTAACGTCAAATCAGAAAAAGTGTGGGATGGAGTCATGGAAGTGCTGCATTGTGACCAACAATCAGCTTTATTAGAGTTTCAGCCACACCCTTGAGACAACTTACATCGTTTCAGACAGGCGTTCTAGGGTCGCACTAAACCATATAGAATTAAGAGTGGCTCAGGTCGACCCAATTAAATTTTGGTTCCAGACAGACAAACTTAACACATACATTTGCATTGGCTTTGGCTTATGAGAACGGCGACGTCTGAAACTAAGTTGTGTCATTCAGAGCGCTTTCAATTGTCAATCTTTCGTCTGCTAACACGCCTGGTGGTAATTGTTTCAGATGTTGCACTTTTGCCGTACTTAATTGAAAATTTGTTCATAATTTGGATCGGCGTTACTCTAGAATGCCTGTTTGAAACGGGGGTTAGATTTACATGCAACACACATTGTATGTGGCATGCACAGATTAAACCAGTGATGAAAGTCGTTGAGTGCCATATGCACGGTGCCGTGTGCTGAAATGTTCTGACGCTTCAATGATGGTACATACACAACTTTCAAGATGATGAATAGTGTGTACATGTCATCACAGACAGGCAAAGACTGCCCCGCTTGCTACTTTTTTGCCATTCGTAGATTACAGTAAAACACATAACCAGAAAATGATTTCTCTTGTCATTTCGATCTTTTTGTTCCAGTGTCTAAAAGCTTTGTGTTGGAACAGTTGTTTGGAATAATTGGCAACTCAGGAGTCGTGTTCCTGCATTCGCTCCTATGGGGGATAAACATGGGTATTTCTGAAAAGCAAGAATTTGATTTCATGCATAACAGAATTTCACTTAAATTTAAAGTATCGAATGTTCCACTGCCTCATATCTCTCGGCAAAGTTGTGAGAGTTGACAATATTTGTAATCACATATATGGGAATGGAACACAGAATAATGTAGTGTTGGCCGAGAGGTATATGGGAACACATTATTCTGTGATCCCTGAATGCGAGTGTGATAACAAATTTATCTTCAAGCAAACTTGACGTGCAGTTAAGATGTTTAATATAGGGGCCTATGTGCACAAGCGCGCCACCTTTGAATTGAAGGTAAATTTCACAGTTGGGCATTTTGCTTTCAGCGTAAAAATAGTGCATTGCCTGGAGTTAGAACAACGCATTATGCAGGCTTTGACATGGACCGCGCAAGCCAGTTACATGTATGTCACACTGTTTTATTGCCATGGATCGACCAAAATCAATGGGTCAGTAAAAATTAAGAATTCACGTTTGCGGGAAGAGAGACATAAATGGCTGCACAAGCCTATTTTGCTCATTGCAACAGATTCACACCTATTTATCCATCTTTTTTATGTTGATTAGATTTTTTTTTTCTCAGTAAAGTCCACCTGCCACAGGAGTTAATTTTTATGAAAAATAGCAGATAGACTTCGACTAAACAAAAGTCTTTCTCCTCTTTTTATAAGGGTTGAAGCAGGGCTTGTTTTCAGATGGAGATGACAGATTTTTTCCAAGATGATGACAGAATCTCCAGACTTTTTTTCTGGTGCATCATTTTGTGTCAAAAAAAAGAGAACTCGCCACATCTAACAGGTTTTTAACTTTTACTTTTCATTGCCAAGTAAATTATTTGGATCACATAAAAAGTCAAACTACATGTACGTGGCAAATTAAAAACCTTCCAAAAAAAAATTCAGGAAAAAAGAGCAGGTTGGATTGAGAGAGTGCTTTACTATTTTAGCCGGCCTCACTGCCAACATTATATTATTTCAAAACAAAAGTCCTGTCATTTGGGTTGTAGTGAATTTCAAACATTGTTTCTCCACTTTCTTCTTTCCCACTGTAACTCTAGGGCACTGCTTTTCGAAAATGCATGGAGATTGAACTTTCAGTGAATGTGTCAACAGTTTTTGATCACCTGCTCAGTGATTTTCTTTACAAAATGAGGTTCATTAAAGTTTATTTCTTCAGCACTATCCCACCATTGTACCTGTATGTACATGTACAGTGTATATGTATCAAGCACCAAGCTTGTTTTTCTATCTTCAGAATTTCCAAACTTTCCTAGAAATGTAGTTTGTGTAAATATTTTAATGGCTTTTCTCTTGTTCGCTGCTTTTTTCTGTTTTTTTATGTACAAAGATTGACCCACTTGTATTAATTTATATTTCCCATTTTAGTAGAAATAAAAGTGATACGAGAACTGAAATTGATACAAGTGGTAGTGATGGGGGGTGTCCAAAATGATGTTTTATGCAAGTAAAAAAACAAATTTGCATAAAATTTGTGCAAATTATTTCCGACCTGTTGAAATGAATACAAAGAGCTGCGAGAGACATTGCAAACCTACACTGTAATACATGTACAGCCGAACCTTATTAAGAAGAGGTCCTTCGGACGTGGCAAATTACCTTGTTATAACAGGAACCTTGTATTATCAGGAACAAAAACAAAGGGTTGGGACTTAAAATTTTCCTTATTATAAGCAGAATCTTGTATTAACCGTATTTTTATTAACAAGGTTCAGCTGTACATGTATTTCAACACCAGTACTTTCCTCTTTCGGGCCTTTGACAAGCAATGAGTGACCAAAATTGAACAAATGAGGGTAAACCGCTGTACAAGGAAAGAATTCACAGTAAAAATGAATCGATCAGATACATGCATTTTTTTGTTGTATACCTGAAGTTGCAGTTTATTTCCAGAATGCACAGATGCTGTCTTCAGTCACTGACAAACTGGAGTCTGCAATCCTGAAACACAAACGACCTGAGTGGCTGTACATGTATACTGTTCGGGCATAAAGATGCGTTTTTTTTTATTTCAAGAAAACTTAGCAGAGTTAATGCAAGATTACGCATATAAAACTGCAGGGTCTGAAATGTTCACTTTCGCAGATGCGCAGCATACAGTGTTTCCTGTGCGTATGTACAAGCCAGTCCAAACACAGGATGATCTGTTACAGCAGATGTATCGCAGCGTCGCGAGTGGGGAGTGGCGTTTGCCTTTTCTGGAGAAAAAAAGAGGGAATTTTACATTGTGTATGACTTCTGTACCCCTCCCTCAGAGTGCAGAATAATGCTGGTTACTGTTCTAGTTTACGAAGGCAACTTGCAAAATGCTTGAACATGTACGTGTACTTGTGGACTCTTGACAAAGAACTTTCTTGATGTTTCAACTGTGCTGCAGTCGTCAAAGGGGCCCTCCTTTGTCATGAATGAGAACTGGTACATGTACATGTATGTCCTCACATTGCAGTGTATTTGTAAGTCACACAAGTCATCACAAAATATTTATGAAATGAGGGAGAAGGTGAATCTGCATACATGTACATGCACAGTAAAACAGCCACAGTTGCCAATACACTTTAAAATTGCATGTACATGTAAGGTGTACTTGCACATTTTACTGTAGGCCTATACCACAAGCACAAGAGAGTGAAGTACATTAGGTTCAAGCAAATTTAGATCGACTAAAACGCACACATGACAATCCTCATCACACATACGGATGCTATGTATAACTGAATTACACGTATTAGACTTCCTGGACAATGGCACCATAATACCATGCAATGTACATGTACATGGGATTATAATCACACTGACTGCGAATTAATCATTCAGCAATGTTGATTCCAGTCTCATTTCAAGGAAAATTAATCTACAGTTACTAACGTACATGCAATGTCCAGCTATACATTTCTGTGTACACAAATGTATGTACATGTACTGTATGAAGATGGATTTAAAAAAGAAAACAAAATTGTCAGTTGCCTGTTTCTTTATGAATATTAAAAATGTGGCAGATACATGTACTTAAATATGGTATGTACTTTTCTGATTTTTACACATTTTTACAGTTTCCGGGGTGAATATACATGTACACATACATTGTAAACCAAATCTGGCTTGCAAAGTATTGAATGCTACATTTACATGTATGTTTACGTAGGAACACATGCTCCTTACAATACTGACATGAATGCTTTTTTACAAATAGCAATGTTTTGAAGAATATCCCTTTACAAACCCAAATTTAAAAAAAATGCCTTCACAGAGTCATTTTGTGAGCCGGATTCAACAGGTATGCTCATGTAATAGAATTTTTTCAATTCAGCTGTCAAATTTTAAAATCTGCTTCTCTTCAAAAATTAAGACCATAAGTTTTTTTGGTCATTTCCCACTTGCCAACTAGACATTACTGACATGCTTTGGCCCTAATTACATGTACATAGGATGCATAGACGCGTGTGAAATTAAAAACTGGAAATAAAATCTCATAAAATACATAAATGTATTGTGCAAGAAACATAGTCAAAGGCCGTGTCAAACTTGTTAATGTACTCTAAATGACCATACTTGGCATTGTTTTGAAAATAGACACTCAGAGGTGAGTAGGATGTCACTCAAGCATGGTACATGTACATACAGAATGTTGCCATGCCAAATGTTGCTGCGTAGACCAATTGGTGCATGAGATCCCGACCCAACGGGACTCCTCCCAGTGATATAAATCAGCTGCACATCTGATTCTGGGGATTCTGCTGTTGCTGGAGGAGGGAACTTCTGGGTGTCCACTGACCTCAAGCTGGGGATTGCTCCATGCAGAACATTGGGTTATAGTGTATACTGAATAGTGTACACCCTTCTGGCTCTCAACATCAGGCCTAATTACAGAACTGAAAAAGTGTCAAAGGCATTCTTCCCTCAGTATTACTGGATTATGGTGAAATACATGTACATGTGTACCAGGGGAACCATACATGGCGCTTGCATAAGTACTCATTTCATATGCTGCTTGCCAGGAGAGAACATGGACCAGCTTATATTGCCAACATCAAGGCCATCACCTTCCATATCCAAGCCAACGAGATCCCCAAAGATTTGGCCAAAGCTCTGGTTGTGCACACCATCACTGGACAGACTGCCTTTCTCTGGGGTCAGTCCCGGCAAACCCAGATCCCCTAGTGACCCTACTCGCGACCTCTGACCTCTCACTGAGCCCCGCTGAGAACTCTTGTAGTTGGGTGTCAGGCCAGGAGTCAGGGAGAGGTCGCTCGGCAAGTCGTGGAAGATGCCGCTGTCGGGATCGAGGGGTGGGTTTTTGAAGGGGGTGAACCCGCGCAGCGGTGACAGCAAGGTGTGAAGGTTGCCTTGCTTGCAGGGCGTGGAAACAACAGGCACGCCTTTCAAGTTGGGTTGGCTCTGTGGGGGTGAGGCTAGCTCTCGCTCGAAAAATGCCGAGAAGGAGTCATCACCTTCCGTTTCGTCTGTGTCCTCCTGTATGCTGGGCAGTGAGCTACGCCCTTGCCCTGGCACCGTCTGGTGAGGTAGATCACCGTTTGAGGTGCCAGGCACCCTAGAACCAACGGCGGCCGATGATGACGCCAAGCTGGATGTCCAGCTCCGACCGCTGAGGTCCACGCCCGAATCAGACCCTGAGCTGGTGTTACACAAGGAGGTGTTTCCTCCGCCTGCCACGCTGCCGGCACTAACAGACCAGCTAAGATTGCCACAGCCCCTGTCAACCGGGTTCACCTTTGGCGCAATTGGAACCACCCTGCGTCCCCCGACTGTCTGAGGAAGGGTTGCGAAGCGCCGGAACCCACCCATGATGATGGGAGAGAGGATATGGGGGACGGCCTGAGGCTGTCCGTCACTTGGAGTCTGGCCGCCGTTCTGGCTCGAGGGCACAAGAAGTGGAACAGGCACGAGTGCATAAGGCTGACTGCCTCTGGGGAGAATCAATGGTGGCTTCTTCGTCTTGGATCCAGTACCTGTAGTCACAAATAGTCAAAGAGTTGAAAGCCAACATTCACAAAGCACTTTGTTCGAGTCCACACAGGCTCTAGGGATTATAGCAAATACATGTAGCTAATACACGTATTCAAAAACATTTGTGTGTAATTCACGAGTCACAAAGCACTGATTCATTCATTTGAACATCCATTCAAACTGTACAATTTGGAGACAAAAATAAATTATCCGTAATGTTGTAGTGTTGTGTTCTGTACTGTACGTTTCAGATCAAACGGGTAAACTTCTTTTCATTTAGAAAAAATGAAATACAGTAAACTAAGACTAAGTCGGCATCGCGTAACTCGTCACATCGTCTAAGTCGGCCTTTTGACAAAAGTCCCAATCGTTTGTAATGCATTTCCATTGAAAATTTCATTTCTAAGTCAACATTTATAAGTCGTCATTTCATATAAGTTAGCATGTTTTTCTCAGTTCCTTTTCCACAAAACCACAAAAATTCCTTTGTGTAAGTCAGCATTAAAACAAAAACGCGCTATGGTATCAGTTTCCTTTGCCGCAGTTGCCAAGAAGTGTCAAGTGACAAGTCCCTCATTGCTTGACTGATGTCTGTTTATGAGCAGCACATGCTCTGGTTGATAATCGGCGAGCATGAGTACGTCAACGTCAATACCAGTATTAAACCCTTCTAGTGCACTCTGTCCATTTTGGGGGTCGCCTTATTGAACATAGTCTGGTTCCCTGCCCAAAAATTCCCTGGAGATCCTTGATATTGATTTGTCAGGTAGTCAGAATCATCGGGTCTGGTATCCAGACTATATTGAACGAACTTAACCAACGCGCTTGTGTGCATGAGTGTATTTTTCTGTACCGTAACTGTATCACGTACATACGTACTGCACTGTCGAGTCGTGATGTGATACGTGTATGCAAGTGGCTTGCCGTCCTTACTTTGTCCTTAGGGGCACATGATCAATTATCCAATTTGCAGACCGTAAGGATAATAATCGAGAACTTATTTGCTGGGATCGACCATGGAGGTAAATCAAAGCCATTGAATCAGTACAAGGAATCATACTGTACATGTACATAGGCAATACATGTGTACGTGTAAGTCGGCAAAATGACGACTTACAGCACAAGTCGGCATTCGCGTAGTCGTCATAATTTCTTGAGTCCCAAGAGTGCCCACTTAGCTGGAGTTTACTGTAGTCATTGTTTTCCACATTTTTTCCTCAAAAGAAGTCACAGTCTACGAACTACCGTAAAGCAAAAGTAGATGAGACCAGTTGGACATCAAACACAATTTCTTCATATTGTACATATACATGTAATGGACAGTAAACTGAGCGAAACCCAAACAAATATACGTGTATCTTACTAACAACTGCTGCGTAATGGAAAAACTATTGTAGTGTACACCTGTACCTTCTAACCAAGAAAATTATTCCGATCATGTCCATGTTTAAATTGTACTCATCTCCAGACACCACCTGAGTGACCCTTTTTGAGCCTAATCATGCAGAGAGAACTTCATAAAAATGTTTACCTGTGAAATCTTTAGAACTGATGTCACTTGCCATGCCCGTAAGAGGTCTCGGAACCATGACAACCGGCGGCATGGCCCCACCCATAAACAAGGGTGCCCCCTGCTGCTGCTCACTGCCCACAGTGGGCTGCACCATCGGAGGGGTAGGTGGGGCCACCTCCTCCAAGAGAGTGCCACCGCGTTCCGGGTCGGCTACGTACATGCGCCGTTCCGGCAGGTGGACGACGGTTCCTGGGCGGAGTGTCCAGAAGGCAGGCTGACCATGGCTGATCGGAGGCTCGCGGACAAAAATCTTATGCAGGGAGAGGTTATGTCGGATAGAGTTCTACAGGTAGACGAAGAAAAAAGAATTCTGCTGAGTTAGCGCCCTCTCATGTACTTCAGGCAAACATGAAAGCAAGTTTTTCACTTAAGAACTATTTGCGACCAAAATTTTGTCATTCACTTGCCCTTCCCAGCACCAAGTAAGGGTGGAGGGTGTCGAGCATACAAACTTCTAAGTTTAGCAGCTGTGAGGGAGCTGGTGCCCTGAACATACACGTACCCTCCATCCGGCCTTGGCTGTTTTGAAGTATGGGAAAGTCTCCTCAATCCAGGTGTAGATTTCGCGCAGGGTCATCTTGCCTGTCTTGGAGCTGCTAATGGCAAACTGGATCAAGGTGCTGTAGGAGTAGGTGGGCCGCTCGAACCGTGGGTCCATCATCTGGGGACGGGACAGGCAATGAATATACCCCATCAACCGAGATGACGATAATACCAAAGCATTTATGAGGAACACAGTGCCTTACAGTATCTGTAATTCACAGACGCCAATATATTGTCATTATGGTTCCTTGTGCTCACAACCTTTGAAAATTCCTGAGACCAATTCAGTTCCCTGGGAAATACATGTGTATATGAACAAGCCTGGTACTACTTTTCCAGGGGCGAAGGGTAAACACAACAACCCTCTCTGCCCTAATACACGTAGGTACCCATTCACTAATGGGTGGCAAAAGGCACTTAGGGGTAAAGTGACTCAAGTAAGGAAACAATGTGTAATCACCAAACACCTGCCAGGATTCAAAACCCAGGCCCTGTGATTGAAAGCAAAAGCCACTAGGCCACTTTGCTTTAGGCTGGTCCATGCGACGACCACTGAGGGCTCCAAACGCTAGCATCACTGGTTCAAATGGGAAAAACTTACTGTTCCCACTTGGAACTCAAAAATGCTAGTTGCTTGATTACAAGAGTGGTCAACTAGCACACACATTTGCTCAAAGATGGCCTGTTCCATGGAGAATGCTGCTGGCAATACAAGGACATCACCAACGGCGATTTCGATTGAATAAGAATGCCTTCAATTGTCAGACAATCCCAAACTCTCCCAGGAAACTGTCCCACTCTTCCTAACTACTTGTGCTGTAGCAGGCTTCAACAACAACTTTGTACTGTGCAGCCAGGAAGTTTGCCTCTTGTCCATTCTCAGAAATACATGTAGAACAGCACAAAGAGAAGAGAAAACAGTTGACAAATGCATATACATATGTACATGTACTCACTCGAGCAGTTTGAAGGGTGTTTGGATCTAGATCAGGTGCAGACATTCTCTTCAGCCAGGTGATGTTAGTCAGACTGTCATCAGCATTTCCTCCTTGAAAAATAAAACACAACGTCCCAAATACTGTATTACAACTGCAATTATTTTTGTAGGAAGTGACCGGTAGTGATATCCAATAATACTTCCAATAATTCTTTAAACTGCAAAATCCAAAATCTTGAACAACACATCACTTTAACCCTAAGCGTCCAGCGTACTTTGGCTAGAAGCCCTGCCAGACACATCAGTCTACATCATTTGTCAAAAGTGGCTTGCCTGGCCAATGTAGCAAGATCCAACAGGTCAACTCTCCCGAAGGCCAAACAGCCTGGAAATCTGTGGTTGCCAGTCACCACAAGATCCAACAGTGCCACTGTTCAATGGGACTAGCTCCCATTGTCTCAACATGGCCAGTTTGTTCAGCTGCTGTTAATTGCCCAGTGCATCAAAATGCATCAGACATTTACATGTTCATGTAAATCCGATGAACTGTACTGCGTCTGGCAGGGTTAGTGTTAATAAAGAGTGCAGGTACATGTACATGTACAAACCTCGTGTGACCCATCTCCCAAGTGGCCCTTCCCTTGGCAAAAAGGGTTGACCGCTGATGTCAAAGCAAAAGTTTCCAGCACACTGCAGCATCTGCTGGCTGGCTGCCAGCTGCAGGAGAGCTTCCTCCTGATTGGCTGGCCATGCATTTCCCTCCAGGCCCTCGGTCTCCAAGGCCGACAACTCTGAGTACAACTGCTGCTGGCCAGCGTCCGTGAAGTGACACAGGGGCGATGCAGTGAGGTCGAGCCCATCGAGCGCTGGCAGGCCTGATTCAAGCTCCTCCTCACTCGGTTCTAACTTGATCTGGCTCTCTATGGCAGCCTCCAGGCACTTCTGTGCGGAGTCGGGGGTGCCATGTTGGACCGCCCTGGGAGGGGTGCTCATACAAATCGCTTGCCCAGAACTGACAGCATCCGCAACTTTGCCAGCATTTTGGTTTGGTGTATTGTTAACTGTGCCCTGGATGCTGTGGTTCATCACTTTTGCATTGGGATCGGAATCCTGTTCCAATCCTACAACTCCACTGTCTAGTTCAACGGTGAATTCCTTATTAGAGCAACTTAGTTTGACTTCTTTATCTGTGGGGTACAGATCCTCAGATAAAGCAAGTTGTGTCCCCCTCCCAGGGGACCATTTGGGTAAGGATTTCTGCTGCTTTGTTTTATTTTTTGGCTGCCGTAGAATGATTACGTGGTTGGCGTGGCGACGCTTCTTCGGCGGAGACCGCTCATCCTCGAACCCCACTTTCCTCCTTTTGTCATGGAGTGTTCCGCGGTTGGACTTGTCGGCCGAGGTTGCAAGGACGGGCCTTGGTGAGCACCCCGTCCGGACAAGGGTCGATGCTTTGTTGATGGGAGTAAGGCGGGATTTGATCCCATTCCGGCGGGACACTGCTCTGGGCGACGCAGGGCTGGCACCCACCTTAGCGAGGTTCTCCTTATGGTCATCCATCTCAGACTCTGAATATGGATCTTCCAGAATGTGGCGTAGGGCTTCTGACAGCTCCACTCGGTCCGACATTGTGCTGTCACTCATGTCATGGCCTGTCTTTTAGGATTAAAATACATTGATCATTACAAAGTTGTTTTCCCCAGCTGCATGGATATGCCCCTTTCTTGAGCCCAACAAAGCGAAAATATAATGAAAAAAAAAAAATCACTTGCAGTGACAAAACAGGGGGAGTGGCAAGGGGAAATGGGCCCCAACTCCTGGCCAGAAATTTGAGAAGGGAAAAATACAGTGATGGTTAAGCTTGGTAAATGTTTCAACAATGGCCAAACCCACTGAATGCCCCCCCTCCAGAAAATGAGGGCACCCCTGTGTGCCCCCTGCAAGAGGTACATGTACCCCCAGTTACACCACTAGTCACACAAGACACTTGAAACAATTTCATGTAACAACAGTTTCAAATACAAGCGTATAATTACCACTATGCTCACTGTGCTGTATATGCAATGTCATGTCAGTAATAAAGCGTCCGCAAAAAATTGGGCCTGAGTCACAGTCAAATTACCGAATTGTCTGTCACTTTGACTTTTTGAGGCACAGACTGTCGAATGGTCTCCATGACTGAGTTGTCCCAATTTGAGTTGGCATGGCAAACTTACATGTACATGTAAGTCAAATTGCCTGTGACCAACATGACCCATCATGATTAAATGTCTAGGCCCTAAACTAGTATTTAAACAGTCACAGTCTACATGTACCATGTGTATATGACTGGTACCCCCATCTGTCATGTCTGTGGGGTTTGACATCAGCCACATCCCCCAGAACTATGGGGTTCGTCATCTGTGGGAGTGCAGTGGACGACTGGGAGTAACAAACCTGGGTGGGGGTAGGCATACTCTTGTGACCATGATGACCATGACAGTCATGACAGTGCTGTCAACCGTGTAAACAATTTCTCATAAAACTTGACCATGTTTACAACCACTATACTGTACATACATGATCACGATGATACATACTAGTTAGGCCTGGACTATAGTATAGGCCTACTTGTCATGCTTGTTTATCTGTTTATCTCTGTTTTCCTTCCTCCGTGATACTAATACTAGTAATAGACTTACATCATACACAGTACATCACGTACATGTATGATGTAGGCCTACCAACCATGCCTACGGCCTATGCTGAAATATGTGAAATGCAAAACAAACTCATACTAGTTTTATATTTCCTTTATTTATCCAGCAAATTGCGATACATTTGATTCAGTGGAACATTTATTCAAACAGTTATAAAGCTGTGTCTTACTTGTTGAAATATCCTTCCGTAGATTGAGAAATTCTTGGCGAAATAATCACGGCATAAAAATGATGCACACACTCCTTTGCCAACTCACCGGTTTTCACAGTGGTGTATTTAAACTTCCCTGTGGTCCAAGCAGCCAATCAGAATCAAGTATCATAACTCTCCCCTTTTCTCGGTGAGTCTCGTTACAGAAAATTTTAGGTCTGTGATACACTACGTTTCATTGGTTATTTCATTTTAAACGCGGGACGTAAGATTGAAAATTTTGTCCAATCAAATTATGTGTTTTATTTTCATTTGGAATAACTCTTGCGACTGCGCAGTTTAACCATGGACTTCCTCACCGGGAATTATGAAGGGAGTCAATTGGGTGGCATCGCCGCGTTGGTGTCTTTTTTATTTTACTGACCACTTTAGTTTATTGATGGCGGAATGCTTTAGAAAAGTAAGTGATTATTGATTGGCATAAAATGCTAAACTAGCCACGGTCGTGGAGGCAGGTGAATGAGGCAGTTCGACATGGTCAATACGGCATCTTGGGCCTGATCAGCTTACCTGCTTTAGAAAGTTTAGTGCTAACGACAGGCCGTGGGCAATGCTGAGACATGGCCGAGGGCGCCCTTTAAAGTTTACATGTACGTACAATATACATGATGTAAAAAAAAATGATATAGCCTGTGACTGTGAGGATGTTTTAATGCAGGGCGTAGGGCTACCCTTAATTAACTTAGATAGTTCAAGCATGGTTCAAGTAAATTAGGACCCTGCAAATCGTCTCTTTTATTTTTAACATTTGCTCCTGGACTGTGGTCCGACCTTGATGGATGGCATAGGCCTATACTATAGTATTAATTATTACATGCTTACTAGCAACAGGCCTAGCATAACGTGATAAGCAGGATGAGAAGTCCAAGTCGAAACAAAGGCGACCAGAGTCCCCTAAGTAGTGGGAATTCATGTAGTGCACTAGCAATTCAATGTCCACCTGAATTTCCTCACAAACATGACAAAGCATTGCCAAACCTCTTTCTTGAAACCTTGCTTTATACCCAATTGAATTGGTTATAAACTGGCATGACCGGTACTAGGCCTATTGCCTTCATGATGCATATGATGTTGAACATTGGCTTAGCCTTTGCCTTTGTGAACGATTTCAGTGTCATGAGATTTTGTTTGAAATCTAATACATGTGCATTCCCAAATTTTTGTGTACGTACTGTACGTGTACCTTTGAATGGGTATGATGTGGCTTTGGTTGGCAGAAGATCATTGTAATACAATATTATGCTTCATTGAAATGAAAAGAAAGTTGTCAATACATGTAAGTGCATCAGTTGTCTGCCAGTGAAGCATTAACTCTTATGTGCGTCATTACGCCTTCTAGAATAGGTGTACATGTATTTCCATCACTTTCATGTGGCTAATAGACCTTTACCATGATGCTGCCATGTTTGTCTTGTTCCCCATAGACCCACTGGCCACAGTTATACAAACTCACATATTGATAAAGGGAACAGACTGTTTTCCCTTCCACTTTCCAGCTTAAGTTTGGTTATACTGGTTTGACTGGTGGAAAAGAAAGATGGCTGCCCCATGATTGAGGTCTATAGGCAGACTATATGTAGGTAACTACATGTTTCTGTACAGGGAAAAATTTGTGGCATCCGTACACGTACATGGAATTCTTTCCAACCACTTTGCACAACGTTCTGCCATGTACATGTACTGGGAGTAAATGTACATGTACTTCACCCATTTGTCACTCCGCACTGCCCACTTCCCCACTTCACCCACGCATAGGCGCCACATCGCCGACAAATTATTCACTCCGTTTGTTCACTTAATAATTATTAATAAAAAAAATTATGGCTTTAATACAAAATACTTACACTTCCACCCCTCTTCCTATTAAAGCACAAAGCTACCAATTATATGTACTGGTACCTTTCCACAATTACGAAACAAAGATCACAGTTAAGTAATCCCACCATACTTGCACAGTACTGTATGTGGGCCAACATACATTTCATATATCAAGAGTTCATACGAAATGCGGATTTTAGTGGCAATCAATCAATGATTTCAGTGTCACTCTTACCGTGCATCGTAAAAGGTCTACTGACATTTGTGGGGTGATGTGTCTTTACATAATTTAGTGCTGTACTTGTAAATACATGTACGTGAAGCAAGGCAAAGTAGCATGTGTGTGAAGTGGTTGCGAGGGAAGTTGTGAAGGTGCCAAGTGACCATTATCGATGCATTTGTGCATTCATTTGCTTACCTCCTCATGTACATGTTTTATTTGTTATTTCTTTTGTTCCCAATAGAAAACAAGATACATGTAATGCCGCGACAGAGGAAAAAAGGTTCTTCCAGGAAGCACCCTCTGGTGTTCACAGAGAGTCCAGTGGAAGTCAGCCGTCGGTTCCCGAGTCCCGTCTTCGCAGCAAGAAACCCAATCGGAGCCAATCTTGTCGCTGTTGATGAAAAGCGGCACTTCTGGGTATGACACAGGGATAAGAAATGTGTACAGCTAGGCCGTTTGAAACTTTTGAAGTTGTCAAGATACCACCACAGTACTTGCCAACTTCACAAATTCGAACAGTAAGCTACCAATTTAGCAATTTTAGAGGTAATGGATATTCACCATTTGGGGAAACTTATCTGACAGGCAATTAGTGCTGACTCTGTCTCGTTCCAAACACATATAGATATTTTATTGGCTATTTTTGGTTCAGGTATCACCGCAAATCGATCCGAATGCACCTCACACACCACCAAGGCGAGGCCGGGCTAGACGAAACAAGACGGCCTGTTCTCTGGACCCGTTGACGCAAACCCAAAGATGCAAGGAGATTACCCGGAGAGAGACAGCAAGTCATTTCACGAGCCTGCAGTTTGTCCGGGGCAATGCAGGAAAAAGCAACAGCGGGATAGTAGCAGCTGGCAAGCAGGCAGGCAGTGACTGCTCCTCTGATTCCTCAACTGAATCAACTCTGACAAGCATCAGCCATGTAGGACGCGAGGGGATCCAGCAGGAGGTCCAGTTAACCAACAAAAGGCGATCGCCTCTTAAGGACATTGGAATTGCGGGGAGGACTCGGGCCCAGCAGAGAAGGTCAAATCCAAAAGCAGCCAAAATTGGAACCACCTGTGCTTGGAGAATGTGGAAGATGACTCATGGCATATATGTACATCAGCGACTGACAAGCAAGGAAATAATAACAATCCGTGTATTCCGAGTGGTCAGAAAGAAAATTGTGGTTCTAAAAATGACGTGTATGAACACCATTCAACAGAGCAAGAAATTTTGTCACCTAATGACACAACCAGCCCAGTGAGCTTGATCGCAAAGAAAAGAAAATCAGACAGGACTTCACAGAAGCCTATTACCAGAGATCAAAGTGCTGTTAGCAAAGCATGTGGAAACAATAGAAAAGGCCATTCGGTCCGGTTTCATCAGTCTGAGACCTCGTCATCTGACTCCCAGAAGAGCTCAGGCATATTGCAAGTCATGAGGCATAGGAAAAGAAGTGCAATTTCGGAAGGTGGCGATACCGGCAAGGATACCAGCCAAGGAGGGAAATGTGGAGCCGGGAAGGCTTCATCACATAAGGCAAGCGTCTTGGCCTACGATACCCCCGAAGCAGAATATGGGGTTCGGGTAAGCCTGCGGCGCAGACGAAAGCTGCTTCCAACACCAGCTAGAAACAAATTGATGATGTGTCTCTAATAGGGCTTTTGTCAAGTCCCTGTAAGTCCTGCCACCACAGCTCTCCAGTCTTGGGCCAAGTCACCATCCATTCATACGAACGGTGACAGAAGTGTTCCTATGCCATCATTCATCCTGTAGCCTGTGTCTGGTGTTGTGATGGACTCGACTGTAGCACTGGTCTGAATCGGCTAATTTGTTAATTCTTGTGTAACACAAAGGGTGGATCTAGGGGATCTAGCAAAGGGCCAACCCACTCCTCCCAAAAGAGCTCCCCAAAATTGGAAAAAAACAATGAGGGAAAGGCATTTCGTTTTGGTCTGTTTCATTTCCCTTCCTTCCAAAAGCATACACAAAGCCCCAAAATGCCAATGGCTAGAACGCGATGCACCGTATCCGTGGTTTCCTTTAAATATGGCCGGTTTTTTGGCTCAGTGTTAAGAGGTACCTGTGGGAAACCACTCGACATTAACCCGCTTTTTCAAATTAGAAAAATTAGACCCCGACCGCACAGCGTTTTCAGTGCTTCAGCAAATTAGTCTTTTTCTTTTCCTTTTATTTCCGTACATTCTGGTACCTGTCTCTCTGACAGGACTTTGTCACATGTCACGTGTAAGTGCAGCTGCAACGTTTACAAAAGTGCACATATGGAAACTGCGCTTTCTATCCGACATCGCCCGATTTTCCGTTCTCACGCATAGCCACTTATCAATGATCAAACCACCTGCACTTAAGTACACATGTACTTCATTTACAAATCGAGAAAACTTTATTCAGCTGTTGACATACATGTATGTTGTTGCACATTTAGCACACACTACTTTTTCAGTGAACACACAAGCATCACTTTACATGCATTACAAATGAAATGTTGGTAAAACACGCCTAGCAGGTGGCTGAACTTGTTTGGAAGCAGAAACAGAACCCATAAATCGTGTGCAAGTCACGTGTAGATAATAATAGTGAAATAATCACAGTGTATAGTACGTCGCAGTTGCGACTCGAACCAGCTGTGAGATAAATTTCAGTCATCCTTTTTGCGCTTGTAATTGATATTTACATGACATTAAGGTTTACTGTACACACGGTCTATTTTCACACCACTTCTTTTACTTCTTTTTTTTATATTCTTGTTACTTTTACTTATTTCGTATTCATTTCCCCGCTCCACAACCTCGACAGGCATTAGGGCGTCTTAAGTTAATTGTAAATCTGGGGTTCCCATTTCCCGCCGACCCTTATTTTGGGCTCCCATCGACAAAAAAAATTTTTCCGATTTTATCTGGACTTTCCTACCAATAAAAAGAGAAGAAAGGACAATCCCAAGTTATTATGGAGCAGGAAGTTTCTTTTTCTTTTTAACCCCTTCCCCCGATCACCAACGCGCCCTCCGTCAAGATGAAAAAGACGAGAACCATAAAATTAACTAAACTGAAGCCTTTCTTCACCAATCACATTGCTCCTAACAGACGATGGTAGATATCTTCACAAACACACAAAAAAGCCGATGCTAATTACTTTGCTAGATATATAGATTCAGCGTTACATGGCTAGTAACGACCACGGCAACTATAATTTACAAAAAAATTCAAGTCTTATTCCAGCCTCTATAAATGGACACGAAAATGAGTAAGGGAACCATTTGCGTGTATATATGTGGACTAGTGAGCACAACTTACCGATATACCACGTGCCCGTCTGTCGGAATACGCATGCAGGTCTTGCTGACCATTGTTGTAACATGGAGGAAGGACACAGAAGGAGTTACAACTCGGGCACATTAAAGTGCTCGATGATCATCGCCGCCAGGTCAGACGAACAATAGTAAACATTCCAAAAATGCCTGATTACTGCCTGCTGCTTAGCCGGACAACTGGGTCCAATAATATCGTTGAAATATTTGCAATGTTTTCTTTGCAATTAACTACAGCTTCCCAAATTGACCAGGAAATAGAGAAAAAAAATCTAACATTAGATTTACTTTTGCTGTCGTCGATATTTTTTTAAGATTTTGATGCACTTTTCCATTATCCATGCAGTGTTCGTAATTTTATTTTGTCTCTCCAAAACATCAGTTTACAAAGTCTTTATACGACTTTGGCTAAGACTCGCCAACAACATGTTGACCACCACAAGACGGTTAAGTTCACCAAAAAAACCCACAAAATGCGCTGTTTCATCACAAGGAGTGATCATGAGATCTCAAACAATACCTTTTTTGTGCAAATTCCGTTATAAAAATGATTCAAATAAAACACAAAATTTATTCCCCAAATAAGTTAATACAAAAGTGTTCGATTGGGGCAATAACTGCACAAGAATACTTGTACGGGTAAAAGCAACTGCGCAAGCATTGAATTTGATGATGTTGTCAGATCATAACAGGCACCATAACGGGGGGCTTGTGGTTATTAAACAGGTGGTGCGTAACAAGCAAGCTGACATTAGCCAGGAAGTTCGAACTCCTGTGTCCTTCCTCCATGGTTGTACGGAGGCTTAGAAAGGCCACAATTATTGCCCCCAAAATTCCGTTCTCGATGCGCCGTTATGTCCAAAAGATTTTGTTAGAAAAGACATAGACTGTAAAATATTAACTTCCAAAGTCTTCTGGGATCACTAGTTGGTTTCGGGTCCTGTAAAAATACGTTGGGTCCAAGTTCCACAGCAGGAACTAACTTGAAGGAAGTACATGTACAGCGTTTACATCGGAGTATTATCAGTCCTGAATTCCAACTTAAAAATTGGCAAGGGCTGAGACTAAGACCTACATGTATACATTATTTGAATGCAGTTTTCAAGGAATAATTCACGAAAATCCAATTGTCCTGTCATACGGTAATACCGTAAGTTATTACATGTACATTACATTTTTAGGGACAAAACTACTGTTTGATTTGGTAAAAGGTGTTTCAGCTGCGTTTTATTTACATCTCCACAGAAAACTCACAATCAACTTTAACCAAAAAATCTTGTCACAGATGCATCAGCAAGTAAAAGCAAAGTTGAAGAACCGCGCAGGGAGGCAAGTTCGATCTTCATGCTTCACTGATATTGTTCACTGTGATGAGGCATGTGAGCTCATTATCTGAGAACAAAAAGAATCAGCTTTACTGCCCATGGAATAGCCTGATTACAGTGCCATTCATCGATCGAATGCAACTGCCGCTCGCGGCAGCTATAGCCCCTTTCCTGTTATTTGTTTGGTTTTAAAAGGTGTTCCCCTGAAAACCATGAGGTTTAACAGTCACTGAGTCCTTGGCTACGTGTCGGTTTCATAATGTGTGATATGTCAAAGGTGACACTCTTCCCTTAAAGTCTGGCACCGATGTCTCCTCAGCAACAACAACTTCCCCACATTTCGCGACAGGTGGCAAGGGCCATTGCGCAGTCTCGTACCCACTCTGACTGGTGGCCCCACCGCGGTGAGCTGTCGATTCGGTCCTCTTGTTGGCAGTCGGCCCACTGGTCTCGTCTCCAGGCATCAGCAGGCACTTTCTCAGTCTCCCGCGAAAGTCCTCGTACAGAAGCCCCCCATGGTCAGGTACCCGGAACAGAAAGCCCTTGAGCGGCATCAGGCAGAGTCCACGGCCGTTCATTTGAAAGAAGCTGTGGTCAACGTCTAGGCCATGGGACTCTTCCATGCGACTCAGCCAGGCCGTCACATCATAAGGAGACCACAATCTGGGATCTGAAGAAAATCAAAAAATCAAATCAACACAGCTTAAAAACAAGGACTTTAATATTCCAGGTATATAACCCCCTTCTTTCCAACACTTGTATCTTTTAATGTGCATAAATGTAGATGCATAGCACATTTTCGGATACATTTTCCCTAACGCTCCCGAAGGGGACAAATGGCAAACACCCCCATATAAAATCGTGTTTTCAAATGTTATTTTCCTCGGTAACTGTTGGTAATTCAGTTTTCAAGTAAAAAGTGACTTTCCGCTCGAGGCTTTATAGTCCTATTGCTATGGATGGTCGTCCTTCCGGTAGGAAATCTAAAAACTATTGCAAAACATAAAAAAAAAACCAAACCAGCCTGTAATATATTGGGGATTAAAAATGAAGAGTCGTCCATTAATTTTGCGTGAATATGGGTGCACGTTTATGAGTATGCATGTGAGAGGTGTAAATACATGTCGTAACGACATTACATGTACCAGAGGGCAGTTCGCCTGCGTCCACGGCGTGATCCTGGTGTTTGCTCAGTTGTACGTCATGGCTCCCGTTCACATCTCGGGAAGACCCACCACTGGAGCAAGTGTGAGAAGACACAACAGGTAAAGTGGAAGCCTTTCTCTTCAGGGTTAACCACTGATTTACCTGGAGGCAAGAAAATGAAAAATAGAAAAGACTTTGCTAATTTGTAATTCTTCACTGAGATTAAAAGTCCAAGATGTAGCCGATCGATAAGCATGGGATTTCTGTCCGTCTAAAGGCCGGTTCAGGCGACAGCGAAGCGAATTGACGTCACGACAACTTTGTAGCGAAATTTCGCGGGAGTTGAAATGTGTTCAAGGTCGGCGAATTCGCTGCGGAAATTTTTGACCTGTCCTCACAAATTCGCTTTCGTGTTTGCTAAAACCGTCCAAATTTCGCATACAATTTTTGAGTCTGACTCAGAGACACAAAAGCCACTAAAATCCTCAACTGCGAGTAAACAGAGGTAAACAAGTCTGAAAAATTGACAGGGCCTCGTCGCCAGTAACTAAAATGAGGTCCTTGATTCTTTGTTATGATCGTAATTTGAGTTTGTTCCTCCCTCAAAGGAAACACCCGTGACTTCGAGAAATCGCTCCATCACGGTTCTCTACCGTGACAACTCCTGCTCGTCGTTGGATTCGGTACTATACTCCGGGCATTACGTGGACGATGACGTAAAACAGTAAAATGGCAAAAGAAGAAAAAACTCACCTTCAAAAGAGTGAGTTCTTTGTGAATTCATTGCAAAAGAGTGAAAACTACAGAGTGAACACAACCTCAAAAGAGTGAAAACTTTATCAGAAAAAAATTGAGAAATACAATTATGATTCCTTTGAATAGTGTTTCACTTTCTGGTGTTTTCACTCCCTTTCGAATGTAGCTATATTGTTGTTAAAAGGGGTTCACTCTTTTAGAGAGTTGAATTTTTCACTCCTTTGCATCTGTGTGCCGTCTAATTAATTCGCTGCTTTGCGGACACTATAATTATACACATTAAATCTTAACCATGATGAATCCTGCAAGAAAATATCTGGTTAGCGAAATCGCCATCGTACCTTCGAAACCGTTGGTGTCACAATCACGACCGTTACCGACATGATGATTTGGAGGAAGGTTTCTTACGGTGCGATTAAGCAACGAGTTGGTCGCGATCCGAGAGCGTCGCGTCTTCAGCGCCGCTCGATTGCTCACTGATTGAAATGCCACGGTACTGTGCACTGAAATCTCAAACAGCGTATTTACCGCCTTTCCAGGTAGACTACCGAGAGCCCCTTAAGCAGAATTCACGCGCTTTTTGTACGGTCAAGCGTACACATTACATTACATGAACTGGAAGTGAGCGACTCTTGGAAACTGTGTTACAAGGAACTTCCTCTCTTCTTCGCGTAATCTGCCACAGAGCAAGAATGCGCTGTATATAGTGTGGCTAACCCGTATCCGTGTCTGCTTTTGCACCAAATAGCGGCGCTGGTCAAAGCTGACCTGTGGAGTATTCAGCGAGAGGGGGCATTCCCCTTTCGGCAGATTTTATTTTATTTTCATTTTTTGTTTACAAATAACACTTCATAGATGAGTAGGAAAAAAAGTAATCAGTATCCTTATTTATCAAATAAATTATTACACCAAACCCTCAGAATACAACATCACAAAATAAAAGCAAGGATGTTGAGACTATTTGTTTGATATTTTGATCGCCAAACATCTTGTTGAATGAGCCCGAAGCCACGTTCGCTTTTGAATCTCCCCACGCCGCTGAAGCTTGGAAACCCTGCCTGAAGTAAATGTTAAACTTCTGAGCTTCTAGGGCCGTTCATGAAGTGCATGTAGGCCTATATACCTGCAAAGAGATGGTTGAGTACATAACGTATACCTTGTGTGCAAGGGGAGGAGCCCGAGGCAATGTGTACGGTGTGCTGCGCAGTGTTGCCTTAAAATTACCATACTTTTATTTTATATCATCATGAAATTTGAGTTCTCGTAAGAATTTAATGCTTACCTTGCATTTAAAAACGACGCTTGGAGTTTAATCACTCTACAGGCCAGCTCAATTTTAACATGATTTTTTTTTTAGATATTTACACACTGATATTGCGTTTAGGAATGTGTTTAAATGCTGAATGCTTTCCGTGAAACGTGTTTAGTTTGCAAAAACTTCTAGGCCTATGAAAACATTTCTAATTGCATTTCAATGCTAAACATGTTGTAAAACGTGTTCAAAATGTGATAGAGTAGGAAACCTTGCGCAGAGAGGAAAACTTTATGAGGCCGCAAGGCGTTCGCTTCGCAGAATCAGAGCAGTGTGAGTACGGTTCGGGAGAATTGCTATATTCGTGGACTTCGCCGCGGAGAAAGCTAACCATAGGCGTGGGTGGGTGTGCGTACTGTAGTTCCTGGTACCGTAGAGCTACAAACCCATGTACATGTACATGTACATGTACTGTACTGTACATTGTACATTTGCATGTATATGGCTGCATATCGCAGTTCAATCTCAGGCACTAACCAGGATTAGTCAAGGTCGTGCGCGGCCACGGTGCCCACATTCACCGTATCACAGCTTTACAATTGAGCATTAAATATCAAAGGAACGTGATGGTATTTTCAGGTGAACTCGCTCGGAGTTCGACCAAGCAGATTTTAGTACCCCATGTAAACAATGTTACTGACGTAATACACTTGTATGTAGACAGTTACGGATACATGTTCATGTATATAAACGTCATGACCACTGAATCCATGGGGCAAGCGGCGGGCCATTTCTTCCCTAAAAAGGGTGCCAGTACTTTTGTTATTGAAATACATGTATAATGAGCGATAGCATATCACAGGCGGATCCAGGAATTTTCGAAGGGGGGGGGTCAGGTCGGAGATTTTTTGCAGTGTCTCATTTTTGCTGACAAGCAGAAAAGATGGTGAAACATTGTACATGACATACACGTGTATAGAGTGGTATTGTTGCAAAATACCACGTTTGTTAGGCCTCCCGAAGTTCGCCCTTACATTTATTTCCCATCATCACGGGTCAAAATGATCGAATTCAAGGCTTGAGTTGGAAGAGTTACCAGAAGTACAAATTAAGGTATAAAGGGATCCGTACGTAGGCTACGTACGGTAAATACTCTAGAAAGTACAATTATGGAAGTTACCGTGACCTGCACCAACCCATCCACCCGACCAACCACCCACAGGCGCTCATATTATCTAGAATGAACATTAAAAACAAAGAAACCGAAGAAAACGCTATTGTTTCTAACACTGGGATCGTTCTTTAAAGCTGGACGTTTGTTGATGGTTTCACTGAGTCTTTCTCTTCATTTTGCCACAAACAAACATGACCTGAAATGCTTTAAAAAATTTTTTTCCAGAAAAATGAACACATTTTGTGGACCTGTCTTGCATGCCACAGGCGTCGTTGCCACAAAAACAAATGTGATGTGATGTAATTCAGATGTCCCCCCCCCTTTGTTAATAGTCGGGATAATGAACGATACTATAAGACGACTTTTGCTTAGTGTTCGAGCTTTTCATCGTGCATGCTTGTATCTAACACCTTCCTCCCAGAATGGAACGCGTCGCAAGTCCAACAGTTTAGCCTAATTTTAACGGGCAGTCACGACTTTACAGCTAATGTGCGGCCGCGCAGGACGATGACGTCCAGCTACTGCAAGCCGCTTGGGATGCGGCGGGCTGTGACATCAATGGTCTACCGGATCGTGTTTATGTTATTGGTGGTTGCCATGACAACCCCGCGTTAACGACACAGTCGACGTCATCAACACACGATGCGAAAACGGAATCGAAAAATACATGTACCGTGCGCAGTCTCGTGGGTATTTGTTTTTCTTTCGGAACTGCTAAAAATGAATTTTTTCAGTACCAGTGAACACCATAGGCTTATTGACCTGTGATGGTATTGTTGATCGAGAAAGTCTGCACTGGGTGGGGCATTCTCATCAAAGCATTAAGCACATAATTGAAAAAAAGTCATATGTTACCAATACAAAACCAAAGGTAATTTTTTAGCTGCGAAGGTTTGCAGTTGCACTGGTGGTCACATTTCGGTGAATATCTTTATATAGAGATGGAAAAAGTGGGCGCTGTCAGTATAGGGGAGTTTACGGTCTGAAATACGACATGATGCAATACCACGGAGATGTACATGTACATTAAAAATATTAAGTACGCGGGTAGCCATAGATACTGGCTGTCTTTGTTGGCGTACCGGGGCATAATCTCTTATGGATGAATTGTTGGTCCTCCCAAGAAACATAAATACCTGGTGTATCAGCAGAAACAACAAATAATTAATCTTTTTTTCTTTTTTTTTACAGAATTGGATTTAACCGACTCTCTTCTGCACTAAAAAAGGTCAAATAAATTGAACACTCCTTAAACTGTTGCTAAAGGACTCACTTTGTGTAGCGGCAGTCAGATAATATCAACGGCCTGCAATCTTGTGTGATATCTTCTTTCTTAGAAGTTGGTCAAATCTCATCCCAAAATGAACGAGCTATATACTAAGGTCAACGTCATTTCACGTACCAACTGTACCTCAAAATATCACAAAGATGCCCCTCTTATTGAGATCGGCTTTTTTTGCCTTGTGGTGCTAGTGGCCCAGTGGATTTACCTACTGTCATTGTCATCTATACTTCCATCCATTTTCTTAAGGAATTTAACTACCAGCACCTACCAGCTGACGTTTGCAGAGTTTCCGCGAATTCTCTGGCGACTTGGTGACCGTCTTTCCGTCGCGTCGTTCAACGAGAATCGACGGGTGAAGTTTCTTCCAATTTTCGCTTGGCAGACATTGCCTCTTGATGTCACTCAGGGTGAAGTGGTGAAGCTCACTCACCATCGGTTGGACGACCAGCGCCTTCATGCCGACTCAGTCTCTCAAGCTCTTTTGGGAGGCAGAAATTTAATTAGCTAGATTTCTGAAACACGCGGCTATATCCACCTTGCAACGACTCGACGGCAAGAAAGCCGAGGATGGCCCAAGTTACAAGCACAGACCAGATTCACAGTTTCCAACTGCACATTTGCCAGACAGTGCAAACATTTTTAACGTGTCCATTCAATTTCTCAGCGATAACGTTACAACAGAGAATGTTAACAGCTTCCGACTGGGATCCGGATGCACCACACTTGAAAAGGCCGCCGCAGCTACCGCCAGTGAGCTCTGCGTGATCCGTGGATTATTGCATGCACAGTACCTGACCCGGCATTCGGCACTCTGTGTGTCTCGTTGCGTGCTTGACACAAAATGCACGTACTTCGATACTCCGGCGATCGCGATGTCGTAATTGTTGCATGCGAAGCCCCGTAAAAGGAACACTGGAATGAAAACCGATCGTCGACTTCCTGTGATTTATCCTCCGAAACACAAAAAAGAAAACCGGATCCATGATTCAGCCATGATTCAACCGCAGTCTGTTGACGGATCCTCATGGAGAACCCACGCATTTGTTTACGGAGATCCGGGTTCCCCGACCTTTGCCTCAGCAGTCTCTGACTGTCAGGGCGATCCATTCATTGAAAAAAAATGATGTTACCAAACACTAGACTTGTATCATGCTTTCGACTGCTAGGCAATGCACGTACTTGGTGTGTTATGGAACGAATAGTGCCTTCCTCCATGGTGCTGGAGCAAAACGGTCCGACGAAGAAAAACACTGAGTATCATAGCTTTTGTTGAGGCTATTTCCAGGACGGCTAAAGACATGATATGTTGGAAAAGAAACAGCTTAATTGAGCAAACGCTGTTGTACGGGTACAGTCGAACGTGCATTGTACATCATGTACACAACCACATCCTGGTACGAGTATGACTGAACAAAAATACATAGGCCTACCGCGTACATAACATCGAGTACAAAGTAAACAAAAAATACGTTTTACTTAATCAATTTCTATGATTACAGGTATCAATCTAACTACATTGCACGGACTCTTCCATAAATCGGTTATATGGTAGGCACCTGGCCAGCATATCTGGTTCATTTTCCATTCTTTTTTTTTGTGTAACTTTGAGCATGCACGGCTCTATCTGAAACCTGCTAATGATAGCTCTGTTATTATTTTCTTGGGGAGGGGTATGTTTGCCGCCACCGAGATAGTCTCCGATTAACGAGCAATTTCACCATGGTCCTTGCAACGTGCTTTCCTCTTTCATACCAGACCATTTTTCTGCTCCTTCAAGATACTGTCTTAAGTGTGGCTGCAAGGAATTTTTCTTAGACGCACTTTGTCTTCATCTTTGTACTCTTCTTCAATGTATGAAAACTCTTTCACATTCTTCTTTGGTTATGCATTAAAAAGTGGACTTTTTCAAACAACTATACTTATCCATGCTTTCTTGGACAACTGAGGGCGCTGTTGCTGGGAAGTTATATAAGGAAGACATAGTTCATTACGTAGGCTTTTTTATTAACATTGTGAACCCAAAATTTACGTTCTGAAAACATGCATTACAGAGAAAGCGATTACCGCTTCCTTACTGCTATGTAAATAAACAACAGTGAAGAAGAAAAGAAGAGAAAACCGAGTCCAGCAAAATCTACAAAAACACAGCATTTTTTTGTTTATATTTTTGTGTACATTATTGAGGCTTCTTCCTGAAATGACATTACAGTTTTGCTCATAAAATTCGCGAAATCCATCAGCATAAAAAACAAAAGCAGTAAAATACCCTTTAAAATAGTGAAACAAAAGCTGAAAATGAGGCTAAGTGAGACATAAAGATGCGTTTTATTCAAACAAATTGATTGCAACCACCCTATAAACTCTCACAGGATATTCCAACCTTGAAATGGAACATTTCTCCCTTCGTGCATCTGCCATTTAACCTGAATGCAAAGTTAATAAACATGAACGTGGTCTGCATACAGTTAATAATTCGTCCCTGACGATTACGGGCACTGAATGGGAACTGAATAATTATACGCGAAAAAGGCTCTACATGGCTTAGAAAAGAGTTTGTCCCAAGCCATTATTGTACTGACGGTATTGAAAGTAGTATTTCGGGGCGCGTTACCATGGCACTTGATTTGGATTCAAGTTGGGCTTAACTCGTAGTTATTAATTCTAGGGTGAGGCCTGCTTCATTTCATCTCAGAGCCACTGTGATGACTCTAATGCTCAGCTCGCGTTGGAGAAGCACTACTTCGTCAATCAGCACCGAAACGTACCCTACCCATGTGGCATGCTGAAATCATAAAATAATAAAACTCGGGTTGTCCACTTTTCTGTGCAAAAACGAGGCTGAAATAAAAGACCAAGTGTATCTGTAACAGCTGGAAATAGATCTTTTCAACAACGTTCGTCCACGATGGCCACTAAAATCACAGTACGGGCAATTCTTGCTCTAGTGTTTCAGGCCGGGTTCCAGATTAGCGTGGATGGCAAGTGCAACATGAACATCACCATTGCCAAGCTGCCTAACGGAGCTCGACGCTGTCAACCTCCGTGGCTTGCGTGGGGAAAACACTGCTATTTGAACCTTTCAAAGACGAAGTACTATAACTTCTACAATGCCGAACGCTACTGCCAGCAGGTGACTGGGCGTGGTGGGGGAGACGTCGTTTACCTGGCGTCGGTAACCAGCGAGGAAGAAAACCAGTTCTTACTCTCGTACACAACTGCCGCCGGAAATCGCGCTTACTGGATCGGATACCGCTACCACACGTCTGGGTTTATCTGGGTGGATGGGACCACAGAGACTGGGTACGCAAACTGGCGTGACGGAGGCTACGTAACAGGTGGGGGTCGTTGTGTGGCTGTCTCTGAAGGCTTGTGGGGTTCTTACTGGTGCACCAATTCCAACAGCTTTGTGTGCAAAATGGCGATTGCAAAATAATGAAAACCACTGTGCACAAAGTATCGCTAAGACGGCCGCTCGCAAGTTCAGAGCAAAATCTCATTATTTCTTTTTGTGATATCCTTTCACGGCACCCGTCCATACCTGTCAAGCAGCGCTCGATGTATTGCCATCATCCAGGACACTGACTTTGCATTTGTTTTGAGTCCGCGGTATTAATCTGCTTTTCCCGGTTCGCCTGCAACTTGAACTAATTCAGATGCCAAAAAATTTTCCATAACAACGTAATTATACGAGTCTTGAATGTATAAATGATGTTTCGTATAATAAAAAGATGCTTTCCCTCATGAATGCCATTAGACGATATCATTTCTTGTTGCAGTTTTGAAATTTTGAAGATACGTAACATGTTTCCGAATAGGTAATTTACAAATGTCATACTTGTGTACACCGTTTTTGAGCTAATAAAGAATGACGAAAACGCCATGGGTGTTAGGACTGAAGTGCTAGACAGTTTTCATTACAAGTGAAGAAGAAAACAGAAAAATAATGACCTTGATTAATGTATGCCTCTCTAGGTGTTTTCGTCCCCCAAAGATTTTCAACAACTGCTTCAGTGTTATCATTAAAAAAAAGTTAAACCACCGTGTGGAGAAACTCCATCTCACTTCACCCATGCAAAAAAGGGTTCTCAAAATAATATTTTTTTTTTTACAACAGTTTAATTGAATAAGACAAGTTTGTCCGCGTTTTAGGAGAACATCAAGGCGACTGGGTAATCTGTTTGCCCAAGAGTTAGGCGACTCATCTGGTACCTAACGCTGCGTAAAAAATGCCCAGCGTTTTTACGGTGCAAGGGAGCAGCGTGCTTTCGTACGCAGTAAACAATTTAAATTGTTAGTAGGCCTACGTTTTAAAATAAATTCCGTAATTTTTTTCAGTTCGTTTATTACCGAGTGCTGGAAATGAAAACTCTTCAGGCAATTAAAATTCACATGAGTAATTTGGTTTATGAGTGCTGTATATACATCTGCCGTATAATTTCTCTCGGAAATATTGCCTGGTTAATTTATTAGGTAAGCCATTCAACAAGATTGTGTAAGTCGATGTGACCTAGGCCTATTGTTTTTCTCTTCTCAATGTCTGAATCTTACACCGATCCTGGGTCTGTTTTAGTTATTGCCGATCCATTGCTTGGAATTATGTCTTAGTTCTAGTCGCCAACCGGTTTGGCCGGTCAGTATACGTTGGGGCTACATGCATTTGATATTTTGAGTGAAACGCACCTTTGTTATTCCGTTGAGAGTTATTTTTCCTCAATAGTAGCTCCAATCAATTTGTTTTAGTACAAACCTTCAAAATGCACACTTATTTTCAACTTTCCCCCCGTATTTAGGTACTTTGCTGCCTTTTGCTTTTTGTGCTAATGAGAATTTCCATATTCATGAGCAAAACTGTGATGTCATCCCAGAAAGAAAGCCTAATGTTACATTGTTTGAAGGCCTACAAAAAATGCCATGCATATTTGCACATTTCATTTGACTAAAAATTGTCTTCTTTACTGATCTATTGTTGTTTATATGTGCACATAGCAATAATTGAGCACCGATACTTTTCTCAGAATTGTTTAAAGCAAAAAAAAAATGGGTTCACAATTTTAACCGAAAAATCTAATGAACTATGTCAATTGTCATCCCAGGATGACATAACATCAACAGTGCCCTCAGTTGTCTAGGAAAGCATGGGTAACTGGAAGTGTTTAACAAAGTGCACCTTTTCAGTGCATTTAACCAAATGGGAGTGTAAAAGAGTGTTCATACAATTGAAGAAGAGTACAAAGATGCAGAAAATATGTGTTTAAAGAGAAATTCATTGCGACTACCCTTTAATAAGTTCAGAGTCAAGAGAAATGTGTCGGTTCGTGGTAAGATTTTTAATTGAATAGGTTTTTTCGGTTCCAGTGTGTTACCGGATATGTGTGTCACCTGAGTAAGCTGTGAAATAAAAATACATGTACAAGAACACTAGAAGAGTCCTGCCTTGAGTCATCCATTCTAAAGCTGCTCTTCCTGTTTGCACCATTCTGTTTGTGGAAAAGGAAACAAACGCGAAAGAACAAAAATAATTTCATAAAATTATATCCCACGTTTAGAGGCAAGTCTGCGTTCAAGGATAGATGCGTGAACGGTAAACCGGATATACATCTTGGCGTACTTCCTCTGTAGGTGCTTGAGTTTTTCCCATCAGATTTGCCACCGGGCATCGTGCACAGAGAAAGGTTGGCATGGATATTAGCCTCGAGCTCAAAGGGGGCGCAATTTTCTCAGCAGCGGAAGCCCCTTTAGTTGGTGCTGAACGTCGATGGTTCACGAACTTACGCCTATAAAATGCATGGTTACGGTCGTACCCGTAGCAAAATAATGAACAGTCTCGACCAATGTGGCCTTTTCAACAAGTGAGAGGGTGCTTCTGCTCGAGTTGGATAACCTCCAGTGAAAGCAGTACAGTGCGCAGAATGGCAAAATACATCTCAAGCCCGGCGGGCTTGAGAGCTGAGAGCAAACGGGGACGTACGCCAATGACACAAGCAAAATTGGGAAACCAAATACACACAAGTGTACAACCAAGACCTTGAAATGAGTGACGTTGAACTATACGATGCATGGACTCCTTGGGGAGACTTTCGAGACACCCTGTCCCCAAACTGTCCACTACATGTGAAA